TCGTAAGATGTCTCGCACCTGCCCATTTCCGTACTCCGTAGATGATACGATCTTGGACTTCCAGGTGCCCCAAACAATCCTCAGAAGTGACACCCCAACAACCCTGACAGAAAATAGAAGGCAGAGAAGATGTGGACCATGCGGTGATGTTGAATCCTCATGTGCATGCCTTGAGTCTCTAAGGTCACATAACTCTAACCCCTGAATCAATGAACACGGGCGAAGGGCAAGGGGCAAGTGATCGGCACCATTAATATCTGACCCATTTCAGTTTTCCTCAAATTGGCATAGCATACTACCAACTTTGCTCACGTCTCATCAATTTGCTGCAAGAACCAAAGGGATCACGTGACTGTGCATCCAGCCTTGTCGCACCATCCATCGAGACATCCACCAGCGTCTCACCCTCGCCCCTCTTCTCACTCATGCTGGACTATGCTATTCGCACTTGAATGGTGCTCAGAGTTGCGTCAATCCAGCCATTATCCGTGCCCATGTAGAGTGCCTCTGCACCTTTGGGAATTGTTCTACTGTGACCGCTGACTCTCGCAACAATGCAGTCCATGAAAGGATGGACATTGGGTCGAGCGCGATGCCTTGGTGCTGGGTAATGCAAAACACTTGACCCTCATTGGTGCAATAGTAGAGTCTCGTCTTGCAATATGCGTTACAGTACAACATGCATTTAGTCAGGGAAAGGAGCACACGTCGGGATTCGCGCTTCGAAGAGTCCACAGCGAAAGTTCATCATTGAACCGAGCAGATGATGCAAATGGAGCTATGGGTGACCATGGCCTTGGCCAAAGTAGTGCTGGGTAAGGCGCAGTTCAACTCAATGGACCCATTGAGCGCGCTAAATGCTACGCTAGTATATTTCTTCTACGCGAGGACCCATTTCTTCGCGAAGAGCAATTCATCGGCCGAGCAGTGCCCAGTGTCACACAGTTTCAGTGTGCACAGCCTCTGCTTCTGTGACCTGCTCCTGGTGCGGCTGCGCCTGATGCTCTTGCTCGAATTGGAGATGTTCTTGCCCAGAGAATTGTCGCGAGGCATCATTCTGTTGTGGTTGTTGCTCATCGCCTGGTTGATTGGTCTCGTCCCCGGCCTGTACACCAGCTGCCGCTTCAAAAAGGTTTTGTTGTAGGTTCTCTAGACTCGGGTCAAAGGCAAAGGTGGCGTCGGTCCCATGTGCAGGAGCCGAGGTAGGTGCGACGGATGTGACCTCTTGCGAGCTGACTGCGAGCATGGCCAGGAGGCGCATGCTCGCCGCGTCCTGGGTGAGAGCGGCGCCATACTCGTCAGTAATGCCGCTGACGCATCCTTCCTCTATTGTGCTCCTGGTGGATGAGCTCTTCGCCATGTTCGGGCGTGCATTGATTGCATTACCAACAGCAAGCTGCTGTGAGCCATCATAATGCTTTGGTGCAGTTGGATCACCGCCATTGCCTGATTCGTGATATATGGAGCTGTCGCCGTTCTGGTCCAAGCCAAATGCCGAGCTGGATGCAGCTGAATGGCTTCCGCTCTGGATGGCGGAAGCGTTCTGCGGTTCCGAAGGAAGATGGTGGTGCTGCTGCCGCTGATGGGCTGCCATCTCCTTCTGCTTTTGTGTCGCTCGCATGACGCAATTCAGGTTGAGCTTGACGCAGCGCGTACAGCGATCGCTGCCTTCAAGGGGCTCAGTGATGTCCTCGACCGCCTCGATGTGGGGTGGAAGGATGCAGCGCGACTTTTTCTTGCGACACGGCTCGCAGCTGACCCGCGCGTAGGCGTCGCGCTTACTACGAGTCTGCTTTGGCGGTGCGTTGGGATCGTTGTCCTTACGCCTGCGCTTACCACCCTCGCCATTTGCCGCTTTGGATGACCCTCGCTTTTTCCGAGTTGCCGCATCTGTCACGCCAGCGTAATCTGCGTGCTGCTCCCCGCCTGGCCCTGCCATTGACGCGATTGTTGCATCCGCTTCAGGCGCGACTGAAGTGTCGACAGCCAGAGACTCGTCAAAGTACATATTGGTCGCATCTCCAGCATCCTGCTGCGCTACCTCAAACGCGGCCCGGTCCTGTCCCGCAGATGGAGGAGCATCCTCACCAATATTGGCTTCCGGTTCCTCGTGTTGCAGAGCGGCATGGTAGCTCGCGGGAGGTGGTGGTTCCTCCGGCGCGTTTCCCGCTTGCGCGGCCAGAACTTGAGCGATGGCATATGCCTGAGCACGGAGAGATTCTTCGTCCATGTTTTCTACCGCCGAGATAAACTTGATGGTTGGATGCACCTAGTAGAGGTCGTCCACCCTTGACAAGATCAGAGAGAGCTGTACGGATTCTCTACGCGACGCATTTTTGACGTGGTTGCTTTCAGTTGGCGCAGCTGAAGAGTGGAGAGCAAAGGATGAACACAGCAACCCTAACCCTGTGAATGTTTTCTTGCAATACACCACAGCTTGGTTGTGAATCGTGGTGGCCGACTTGAGATCGTTCCCTATTATAGGTCGCCTTCAACAAGTCATTATCATTCTCCATGAGAGCAACTGTTGCTATGTGCGGAGCTGACTGCCAGGAGCGTTCAGATGGTTGATGTGCGGCTTGGTGTATTTTCTCGCACAGAATGATCGAAGCGGCCGGGGAAGGACGTGTGCTCAGCGCCAGTGGTGCGCAGCACAGCGCTGCTTCAAACGGATCACCCCTCCCCATCCAGCTTCAGCCTTTGACACTCGACTCAACAAATCACTTTCTCAGCCCGGAGGTTTGCCAAGGTTTCGATCCAGATTCGTTCTTGCTATCGCGAAGATTAGCGACCTGCGTCCCGCCTGTTGGAAATACTCAAAGCGGCTTGACAAATGGTGCCTTGCAACAGCAGGTTGCACTGCAAGACTTGCACAGTATCCTCGCCGAGTTGCGAGGCCATGGCGAGCTTCTACAAGACGAACTCAAGGAAGTCATCAATAGACACTATCGTGAATTTGTCGGGCTAGCTAGGTGCGCTGTCAGGCTCTAAAATTATAATGGCAGTAGTCTGAACAACAATCTGCCACAGTGAAATTCGATCTGAATCACATCGCATCAGCCGGCTGGCTTGGCAGACTTCCGTTTCAGACAATGGACCGGACGCCCGGGCCCTTGTAGGCGGCCTCGGTACTTCTGAAATAAGGCAAAGAGTGCAGATCGTGCGCACTGCATTACACAGCGTGGAGGAGGAATTACTCGCCGTCCTCGACGATCGCCACGCGACAATTGCTCTGGAAAGAGACCTGCTTGCACTTTTGGAACTTGACGCAGCGGCAGGAAGACTAGAACATGTGCTTGGCCTGTCCAAGTCGCCTACCACCGAACCTCATCGGCTGGACAGCCTTGCAGTACAGCTGCAGCACGCGCAAGCCGAACCAATTTCGTGCACAGACGAATATCTGTACGTTGATTCAGATGAGACTACAAAAAAAGCTGTTATCTTTCTCGAAAAGGGACCCCACCCAAAGTCACCCCCACCAGCTCCTGAGCAACTGCATCAGACGTCGAGCACAGTGAGCCTCCCAAGCCCGAGGGCACTGTGTGAGTCGTTGAAACAATATCAAGATTTAAGGCGACTCCTCGCTGCAGCTTCTCCAACTGCGGATTCGCACGTTCTGTCTTCCAACTTTCTCGCAACGCAGTCCCTTCGCCTCGCGAAAGTACAAGAAAAACTATCGGAGGAAGCTGAGCTGCTTCTGACAGCACTGCTTAGCTGCGAGGACGGCAGCTTGTTGGTGAACCATAGCTCGGAGAATACCTGGAAGAACAGTCCCTTGGCACAACACACAGACAGAGGCAATGACGCACTGGACCGCCGGAAGGCCGAGCAGGAAGATTGGTTGAGCCTATGCATCGATGCACTCGCCCACACTGCCGGCAAAGACCGCTCCGTAGGCCTCAAATTGACGGCCTCCCTGATTCGAGAGACTCTTGTTCAACCCGCTCTTCTGCGAGTGAGTTTGTCTTGCAATAGTCCGTGGCCGTAGCGACTAGTCATCTGAAATTTTCTGGCTTTCCAGAACATTTCTGTTGAAGCACTAGGCAGAACAAATGCTGTGCCGCTTGAGCATGACTCTGCTTGGGACCTCGTCGGCGTGGACTTGGACTCCACCCTGGGAAAATTCTACGGACGTCTGCTCTCCGTAATTAAACTAGAGCTACTTCCAATAGCCACCAGTGCCCGAGAGAGAGTTGATATTTTTGGCAAAGTTATTTGGCCGGACACATTACAGGTGCTGATGGACACACTGGGGTCTCAAATCTTCTTTGTCGGACGACCTGAGACATTTCACTCCAACTACCGAATATCTAAAGCCTTCCTGCGAGCCTTTGTCAGCCTGGCGCCATTTTCAGCCTCTTGCCAAGCTGCATTAGAGCACCCTACCCATGAAGCATTCAACAAGCGATGGCAATTGTTGATTTACTTCCAGATGCGCCAACGCCAAATCATCACGTCTCTCGAAAACGAGCTGGGGAATGCATCAAAATTGAATGAATTTTTCGGGGACAACAAGCCACTGATGCGCGGAACGGAAGCAACACTCGCGTCCTTTGCGACTCCTTGGAGTGCGGATGTTCATCTCGACGATCTGCTGCTCCAGCAATGGCGGCTCAGCTTGCAAATTTGCAGTCGATACAAGACTTGGCTGTACAGCATTCTACCTGATATCTCTGGCGATAACGAGGAGCCGACAAAGAACGCTGCTTCGGATACTCGTAATCCCAGTGGTGCAGGTGCAGGCCTTCTTGCCTCGGGCGGTGCCTCGCCTCCTGGCGGCGTCACACCAGCTGTTCCACCGAATACGGACACAACCGTTGAAAATGAACGCAAAGCCCTCACAACAAATTCCATCATCATTGCAGCAGATCTGTTGCTCTTAGAGCGCGAGCTCCTGACATCGTTCGAGAATCAAGTCGGCCCAAGGTTGCGAGCTTTAGGTGACAATGCGGATGGAATTACAACACAACTACGCGCGAAGCTCAGGCAAGCGCTCTCTTTCAAGCAGTTTCTCGTTCCCGCCCTGATCAGGTCGATCAAGCGCGTCGTCGCTGCTCAATGTGCAGAACCGATACGCCTGGTTCGACAAGTCTCGACACAGTACCGTTCCGGAACAAGCTCCCCCATGGGCCACTCGCGATCGTCATCATCGTCGCAAGTTGAACCCAGCTTCTTCGTTCCACACATTTTCGTTCCACTGAGACAGTTGTTTGTGGCTGCTCCCAACGCGAACACGAGTCCAGGCCATGAAAATGGCGGGCTTGCCGCAATTGCCGCCGGTCGACTAGACATTGACATGAAAAAAGACATTTTCCTCTCTACAGTGGAAGAGACAGTCGACAAGTACGCTTCGGCGCTCTTTACGATGAACCAGACACATGAATCTTTGCGTCGCCTCAAGCGTAGCAATCAGGCCCTCGGTTTCGCGTCTTCCATCTTCGGTTCCAGCTCTATGAGTAGCAAAAGCACAGAAACCGAGGTGACCAGGATGAAGATCCAAATGCAAGCCGATGTCCAGGCTCTCAAAGCTGATCTTATCGGCATTGCCGATGCTGCTGGGGTGGACCTCAAGCCTGACGAGATGGACAGCTGGAAGCGGCTCCTCGCTGCGGCAGCCGGTGCTCCCGAAGATGTATCATAACCCGTGAGGGAACCCTGGGAAAGATGTATCGTTGTGGCACCCAAATGCGCCGTGTTACTCTCTCCTACTGACCAAGGTGCCGTCAAAAGTCGAGGTGGCACACTCGCGAGCATCAATGTGATCACACCATGCTATTAGCAAGGACACTGCAAGTTTCCAATTCGCATAGGCAAACACACTGAAGAAATGACGTTCGCACGCCAGCTGATTTGTTCGAGATGCAGAAACGAGAGCCAATTTTTCACTTCTGCTATGGAACGGAGATCGGCCACAATGGGGCAGAGGTCCGCCCAACTCGGTCGACCCACTTCAAGCAAGGATTCCTGCAAGGCGTGCGCGTTGTCGCTAGAGTAATCGATGTTGGATTTGAAGTATCCCTTCCGAGTCAACAATACTTTGTCCGCAGCTTTGATTGCCTGCTTTAGCACCTCTTGAATCTGAACGTTGCTGTTTATCTCTTTCCCTATCGTTCACCTTGGTTTGATGACGCCGTGTTCTACGGTGTGAAAGACAGTCAACGATACGGAGGACGCCCAGAAACCAGTGCGTCCCCAAGACGACCTGCCGACCTTGCTCGTCCGCACCCTGGATGCCGCTTGTCCTCAAAGCGTCACCGGTGTGCTGGCCGAGCCACCTGCGCACAGCCTCGAAGAGGACAAGGGGTTTAGCGGTCTGCGCAGAAGTCTCGAGCACGGGAACGAGCCTGAGAGTATTGAGCTTGTTAACCGTCTCGGAATGTGGAGGAGCTGCAATAATTCACATAGGCAGCGGAGCGGCCACTTGGCTTTGAAGCTCTCAGCAGCCCACCTTGATCCATCGGTAAAAGTGCTGAACAGGGAGCCATACAGCTTGGCTGGGGCAGACATGCAAAGATTCATCGTGCGATTGTCATCGTTCAATAATTAACTGGCTGCTGTGTCACAACCGATAGGTGTCTCCAACTTGCAGGTCGGAGACACCAATGAGGCCGTGCCTCAAAGGAAACAGTACCCATGAATCGTATGGATGCAACAGTGGATCCTGTCTTTGGCGCGTCAGATTCGAGACTAGGATTCGGTAGATACAACGCCACTCTCGAGAGCGATCAGATCATGAGCATCAATTCTGTCCCTACTTTCATCCTGTTGGCGCTCAAAATATGCTCCACGCCATGTGTCATTATTAATGCGAACAGAGAAGATTTGCACGTCATGACTCAACTCCGAGGGTGATTACGTGGCTCGGGTATATTCTATGCATAGCTATCGGTCTTCGATTCGACTATACGTGCCTTCGGGGCATTTGGCTACGCTTGCCAGGGTTTGATTGGGCTTGCGGAGACTGGTGTGTGTGGTACCCTTTGTCCCTTGCACTGGAGTTTGAAGGGTTGAGGAAGGAGATGGATGTTTTCCTCTGTTGATGATAGTGCCGAGCTCTGTGTCGGACGCAAACGCTCAAGGGCATGCCTTGTGCTCCAAAAGGTAGACCTGAGATGCAAGAATGGGTTGCGCCTGGCGTATATGCTACAGTGTATGATTCTGTGTCCAAACTGGACAGCCTTGTTGATGAATTCTACGCTTGCACCGTGCTTTCGCCTACTGATGCCCCAGCTCGTTGTGATTGCATCATTTTCTAAGTCAAACACAAGGTGTCAGACTGACGCAGGGAATGATTTCTGTTCAGTTACTCACTACTTTCATCACATCAGACACCACACGCATGTTGTCCTGCTTTTTCTGAATTGTCTCTTGCAATTGTTCGAGGTTCTTTGTGACGAAAGATATCTTCTCTTCGTACATCTTCCGGGCAGCTGCAATCGGCTTTTCGACGTAGTAACCGGTGCCGACATCCACGATCACTTTATCTGCGTCCGAAAGCTTTCCTGATACGTATAATGATGGCGTCAAAGGTATCAATGATGTTTTATCTATGGGTGTAAAGAGGAAAAGGGAGTAGAATTGCCGATCCGAAGAATTGTCAGATATCCAAAGAGCCGCATTGAGACAGTGTCCCCCGGCGCACCTGTGGACGCGGGAGTGATGCTTTGAAGCGATTCAATGCAGCTTTTAAACTTTGCTTGCGCGCCTTTCAGTTGACCGAAGGAAGAAGTGAGATGTTTGAGCTCTTGTTCCAGTTGCTGCCTGACGTCTTGCAGTTGCGGAACATCGAGGTCCGCAACGTCGATCGTCTGTTGCTGCCCCTCAGCCGATGCCATCACGTGTGAAGTGACCAGTTGACCTTTTCTGCTGCGTTTTTCAAAGCGTCGACGCCTTCCGATCTGTTTGCACGCGGGATCACTTGCGCAATTCTCCAAACCGAGCGACAATGATGAGATTGATGTTGATGATATTGGTGCATGTCCGCGCTGACTTGACTTGAGGGCTTCCTAGAACGCTTCGGGTCGTCGTCCGTGTCTCCGTTCCGCGGTCCGCCCCACAATCCAATTCTTCAAATGCCTCGAGTTGCCGAGCAACGAAACACTTCAGCAAGACTGGGGTTTTCGGACGTCTGGGGTACTGTGACTGAGAGCGAGAAAGACTGCACCTCGACTGGCAATCGCTTGACTCGCTGCCAATAAGAGCTGCCCTTGCAGTGCTGTGCAGCAGGAGGGATTTGGCTGGCGCCGTGTAGGCGTTCAGCTTGACCTCGCGAGCATACTCGTCAGCCATGTCTTTGCTGCCGACCAGTGATGCCCCGCTGGAGCGCGCGTCGCAGACGCCACCCCCGCCCAATAAGGCAGTAAGGGTATCAACCGTCGAGAGTTTTGTGGTTGGTGCCTTGGCTGCCATGACGGCGTGAGTTAGTTCGAAGGTGGGCATGCGGAGTTATGTATGCGCCTCGTTGACATATTCATCTTCCCTCTGGTACATCAGCGTGACCGGTGAGCTACTGGATATGTGATCGGAGAGCTGAATGGAACTTTCTGTAAAGCTGATCTTTCTTCCTTGCTTGCTTGATACACCGCAGTCACGAACCCAATGGAAGTCTGCAAGACCCGAATGCAGTTGCAAGGCGAGCTTCAAAGGGTTGCAGTCAAAAACGCAGCGGCATCGCCGAGACTGTACAACAATGCTTTGGATTGCTTTTCCAAAACACTCCGCTCGGAAGGCATTCGCGGAGTACAGCGTGGTCTCGGTGCGGCATTTGTCTACCAAGTGCTGCTGAACGGCAGTAGATTGGGGTTTTACGAGCCCTTTCGGAGGGCCATCAATCGGGCAGCTGGGAAGGACGTCAAAGAGGTATGGGCTTTCGGAGCACTTCTGGCAGGCGCGTCCAGTGGTGTGGTCGGAGCTATGCTGGGCAACCCGTTCTTTTTAGTCAAGGCAAGAATACAAGCATATAGTCCGCACGTCAAGATCGGCAAAGCAAGCCACAACTATAATGGCTGGATCGATGGCTTAAAGATGGTATGGAAGGAGGAAGGCGTGCGGGGCTTTGGTCGTGGTATATCTGCCGGTGTCTTACGAACAGCCATGGGCAGCACAGTTCAGCTTCCTGCGTATAACTGGTCAGTCATTATCATTCCGCCTCGGTCAGTAGCTGTTGTTGATTCATGTTGCCCTTCCTGCTCACCCTTAGGATGAAGACCTACCTTGTCAAGCTGGATCCAAGCGCCAACCCTTACAATCCATTCACTGCACTAGCAGGCAAACCCAACTCTTTCTTCACCTACCTCGTCTCCTCTATTTTCAGTGGTCTCTGCGTCTGCGCTGTGATGCAGCCGGCTGATACTGCATTGACGCGGATGTACAATCAGCCGGTCAGAATAGACGGTGAGCCTCGGTTCGACTTTGTTTCATCCTGAGCGCCGGCGGCTGATGAAATGTTTCACAGAGCGAGGCCGATCCGTTGGGGTGTTGTACAGGTCGCCATTTGACTGCCTTTGGCAGACAGCAAAGGCTGAAGGCATCATTCGCGGCTGGTACAAGGGCACAACTGCACATTTATTACGCATCGCTCCGCACACGGTCCTCACGCTTGTTATGAATGAGGCATATCTAGTACGTTTGTTGGCGTGAGCTCTGCAACCGTGGACCAGAAGAACACTGACTTAGGTCACCTCGGCTTTCAGCGATGGTACATCCAGTTCAAGAGCCCAAGATAGACTCTTTAATGTATGCCTACATGTAGACATGTCGGTGTCACGACGACTGATTACAATAGCTAGAATACAGTTGGTTGCAAAGACCCGGCACTGAACGAGGGGACTGGGAAAGATTGAGCTGCCATCGCCATTCGCACTAACCTACAAGGATGCTTTGGTAAATTAAATTTATGTGCGACCCTCTGGTAAAAAAAAGTATCATAAGGCAGACTAAATAGCTCAGATTTTTCCACAGCGGTGTTGCATTCGGGAGTTCACTTTTTTTCCTCCTCGACGGTGTGGCTGACGACAAGGGTACACGAATGAAGAGCGGTGCTCACGTGGCTAAGCGGGCAGGGCCAGATGTTCGGCGCATTCAGACAGTGCTTCTCAGCTGCTAGGATTTCTTCATCCACCAGGGTGCTGCACTTCAAAGGAGCCAGCGCTGAGCTTAACCCCGAGGCGGCGATTGTAAAATACGCGGTCGATCATGGACAGTCATTGCGGCAGCGGCTGACGCGAATTCAACTACGGAGAGTGCGGAGTCGAAGTCATCGACATTCAACCCACCGCAGGTCTCCTTGAGCTCCCTTCCACGCCGCTGTGTGAGGGGTGGGCAAGCCGAACTTGTCAAGCTTCTCACAATTACCCATGCAGTCAGCAGGAAACGGCGCGCCGCTTTGATATGTCCGCGCGAGCGTTTGTATGGCCGACCGACACACAGCCTTGATGACTTGACTGTTGCGTGAACCCCATCAACGCCCGAGCTCAGCCAGATATGAGATGCACGTAAGCATGTGAACTGACTCTGGCGAAGCAACTTCTCTATTTGACGGTCGCCGCCCATATATATATATATATAAATAGCTCCGCTGTTAACCTTCGCATCGCTCAACGCCTCACTTGGACTCCGTCCTCGAACCCTCTCCCCGAGCTCATGCCAAATGCCCGCGCCACGCCTTCAGCCATGGGAGTGCACAGTATCTTGCAAACCAAAGCCAGACTCTCAAACCAACGACACATCCATCATACAACCGTAGTCCTTGCAAACAAAGCCGCTATGATGACGGCCACCCGTGCGAACGACTCCGAGCAGCCGCAAATCCCTCCAATGGAGCGTATTCGTCGCTCGCATCTATTTCCATTTCCTGGCTTTTCCCCTGCTAGCGCATAGGCTGCTCATAATGTTCTCGATGACAATCACAAGGTACTCGTGTGGCTGGAGCTTGGTGCTGCGCATCTGCACGTGATGCTGACTCTACGCTACGATGCTATTTCTTAGAGATTTCACATCTTCAATGACAAAGGTACGCGTGTGTTGCAGGTACATGGTCGCTATCCGTTACGTGTGCTAACCTGGATTGCCCTTGGTTCGCAGGATTTCACAATTACCTCAGCCACCAAATCCTCGCTTCCCTTTCTCTCGGTCTCCCAGCCAGCGGCTTTGAAAAAATTTATGAAAAGGAGCGCGCGACGATGCTTGACGACTCGTTCGAGTACAAGAAGAAGCCGTCCATCGTACCAGCCTCTTCGATGAACAAGTCGCAGCGTCCGACAGACTACGCCAAGTTTGGTGGGTGTGATTGAGGACATCACTGAGGAGAATTGGAAAGACTTCCGCGGCAGCCGCGCTCACTACTGGGCATACATGCCTTTCTTCCAGCGCTACGTGGCAGAGTATGGGATCGGAGCGGCCTTGGAGAAATTCACCTTCAGTGAAGAGGCCGACTCGGCAAATCTCAGCATGTCGCTCGTTTCATTGGTGGCGCTATTCACCCGATGATCCATGTCGGCTACGGTGTCGAATTTGGCCTGCCAGCCCTTGTGGCAGAGGGTAAGCATGAGCTCATGCATTTCGTTGCATTCGCTGACACCAATGTAAAAACTTTGCCGCTCTTCTGAATCGCGGTCAGGTATCTCAATGGCTCTAATTACAGAAAAAAATCCAGCTCTCTCTTTCCTGCAAAAATCAAAGAGCTCGCGCAAATCGTAGCTCCGAGCATATCCAGCTTGGGACAGAGCGCTAGTGCAGCGGCCAAAAGCGCCCCCCCCCCAGCTCTTCTCACCTGGGTGATCTGCGCCTCGGTACGACTTCAGGGAGAACAAGCAAAATGTCGGCTTCCGCCTCCAAGCCGCACGCTGGTCTCTCCCTATTCAGCATTTTCGAGCTCATTGCTCAGGGCCCAGACCTCGCTCCCGGGACCGCAGTCAAGCACAGTGAGCCTTTCAAGCCACGTGCAGCACTCACGAACGCTTCGTCCATCTTGGTCCAAAGGGCTTCTTTGACATGTGGCAGTTCACTGAGCTCGACGTCAAGGATCCAGATGAGCGCACCAAGGAAGGGGGCTGGATGGACAAGTGGGACGAGCTTTTATGGATGGCGATATTGATGATGGGCGCTACATCTAAACCTGGCAAACCGCTTACGCATGACTTTTTCCTGTTAGTCCACAACTTCAAATCTCTCGAACCACTTTGCTTGCTGACACTTATATACTCTCTATTTGCGGGAGCAGAATACACATCAACAACGCGGCACTATTCCTGCCATCGTTGCTTCCCGAATTGAAACCCATCTCTCGCGCGCAGCTCTTCCAAGCGCTCTTCCGTGCCGCAGTCCTCTTTTGGGTCAGCGAAGGCCGACCGTCGTTCTATATCACCTCGCGCCTCAATACCAGCTCGGATCACTCGTATAACCCGAACGCCAGTGTCAATTACGGCAAGGTGGCAGTTATCGCGGATTCGGAGCGCGCTAGTGGGAGCAAAAACAGTGCATACCCCAGAGCCACCAGCGCTTGGTTTGACATGTGTGCAGCTGCGAGTGTGCACAACGATGAGCATCTCACGAAGGCGGTGCGCACGCTGTCGTACTTTGCGCAGAACTTTGTTCATCGGGCGCGTGGTGCGTTTTCGGTCCAAGTGGACGCTGTCATGGCCGAGATGACGAAGCGCGGCTGCTCGATCGACAAGTACTCCACCATCTACCACGGTGGGCTGGATAATCTGGACGGCACTGCGTTCGTTCGCGCAGCCGGACAGCTCTTCGAGACGCAAGGATGGACCTGAGATGACAACAAAAATCTCTGGGACTACAAGGGCGTTGGCTTCGAGGAGGTGAGAAGATCCTTACGTGGTCCACAGTGAAAGACTTGCGAATGACCTTTTGCCTCAATGGTTGGATTTTGCAGACTTGGGATAGCAGCTAGCAATAACGCACTCTGTTCCGTCAAGTAAGGTGCTCCAAAATGTTCTGCATTCACTGCAAAGAGCTGGGAATGTAATACTGTTGGTGCCGTACGTTTGTACAGGTATGAAGTGCAGGAATTTGCTGTGCCCGGAGCTACGCCTCCGGATATGCGCAGTCACATGCTGCTCAGCCGGAAGGCAATGCTCTCCAACCTTACATCTGAAACATTGACCCGAGTCAGACGATGAACATTCCATGTTGAGGAAGCCCCAAGTGTATGGCGCATAAGTACTGACTAGGTCGGTGATGGCGGGGACGCTGGTCATATGCTTGCAGCACTTGCACTGCGGAAGGGCGTCTATTCGAGAGCAGGGTAAGAACTGCGAGGCAGCCCTCAGATCGAAGTCTGCTGGGAGCGTAGAGCTTGGCCACTAAAGTCTGGTAGCGGTGAAGAGGCGTTGATGATCCACCTAATCGATGTTCCCTGCAAGCTCGATGTTCCTTGCGAGGGCATCGATCTCGATGGATAGCATGCGACAACATGTTCGCTGCTCCTAAACGTGGATGCTGGTTGTACCTCGGGCTGAAGCCACGGCTGCTGACCTTTACTTCAAGCATACCCCGCTCTGATAGTTGGATTTGGGAAGGTCGAGGAAGGAAACATTTCCATTGAACCTTCGGGTCGTTTGCTCAGGGTCTTTGATTCGGTTCGTACTGTCCTGAAGCGGCGGAAATTGGACTCTCGATCCACTGCTCAAAGCCGAGCATATTTTCTTCGTCCTCGAGCACATCTGTTCCGGTGCCAAAATATTCTTCCCATCTGCCGGTCGCCTTGCGCGTCTGATACTGAAGTGTGACGCCATAGTATAACAAGAGGATGAGCAGGACGAGGAGAGCGAGCCGGGCTCTCCAAGAGGGCCTGTGCGAGGCGCTGTGTTCGCGCATGGTCCGCTCATATGCCGCTGCAAGGGCCGGATTGCGTTGCCGTGGTGTCATCGGTATCGAAGCTGCATAGCCGCCGTGCTTTTCCATTCTAAGAGAGGTGCTATGAGCGGTGGGCCTGCGGTCCTGGTCTCGAAATCCTGGTTCACTGCAATGCCAACGATCGTGTTCAGCGCCGAGTATTTGTATACTCGGGCAGCTGACTGTTGGGTGTTTGAAGCGTCGAGGTTAGGAAGCGAGTGGGCTGATGATGAGCAAATGAAGATGTGAATAGAAAATGATGCCAAACGTGACGCGCCGGCTCTCGGTGATACCCCGATGAAAGGACTGAAATGAAGGAGAGACCGCCAAGCCGAACGCATGCACCCACCTTGAAGACATTGCATCTTCATCAAGATTTGCTGGGTCACTGCCATCGGGGATCAACCTCTCGGACATAGCTCTGGGCGTCTGGATCGTGTTCAAAATGTCTAGAGCAGCCGTAAAGACCGGTAAAAGGCAATTTCTGGATCGTTGTTAAACATGGCAAGCGATCCCGTCCCTGTGGACCGTCGTGATCGTCCACCATCCGGTGCTGGGAGCTCGCTGATGCGCCAGTTATCAAAGCTAGGCTTGGGAGAAAAGGACAAGGTAAAAAGGGTTAGCGCTGAATCTCATGCAGCAGACTCGGAAAACGCGAATGCAACCTCCAGCGCCTCGGAGAGTGTAAAACAGCACAGGAGCGATCAGATGGAAAGGTCATTGTCGTCCAAACGAAAGAGCATGTTTGCTTCTTTTCCGGTTACGCCGTCAAATCCTTCTTCTACGCGATCAAGGGCCACAACTACATCTGATAGGCATGGCAAGAACATGAGTGTTAAGCCAATCTGGCTCGATTGCGACCCAGGGCACGACGACGCCATCGCGCTCTTGCTCGCATGTCATCACCCACGGATCAAGCTTCTCGGAGTGAGCACCGTCGCAGGGAACGCGCCAGGGGCGCTGACGTTCATCAATGCAGCCCGCCTTCTCGTGGCTTTCGGAAATGTCAAAGGCGATCAGAAAGAGTGTACGAATGGAGGAGATGTGCCGCTGCTTCGAGGCGCGGACGAACCCCTCGTCAGCGAGAAGCGAAAAGATGCTGCTATCCACGGTGAAGACGGGCTCGGCGGCGTCCTCGGATTGTAGGTAGCTACTGCCCCGGGCTCTCTTGAGTCATTCCTCGTCTCTGACTGATATTACCCCGTCTCGCAGACCCGATTTCGACTCTTCCGCTGTGCGACGCCGCATGTGGTCATCCCATGGAGGCGCGCCTTCATCAGCCTCCTCCTCCCCACCTCTGCCATTTCCGTCTCCTGCACTGGTTGCCAACACACTCTCATCTCTACTGACCCAAAGACGAGCACTTTGCCTCCCACCACTGACTATATGCGTCACCGGTCCCTGTACAAACATCGCGCTTTTCCTCAAGCTCTACTCGCACCTCGCCACGAGGGAATACATCGAGCAGGTCGTCGTAATGGGCGGTTCGGCAGGTGCAAGCGGGAACAGAGGCCAGCTTGCAGAGTTCAATTTTCTTGTCGACCCAGAGGCGGCACGTATTGTCTGCGACGCGCCACTCAAGGTTGTCATGGCTGGTTTAAATGTGACGCACCAGGGTGAGTGTGCGGCTTATTCAAGCTCGACAGGCAGGATAATTTGTTGATTTCACCTGCCTCTATTTCCTCCATCAACAAAGCGATTTTCACTCCTGAGATCCACGATAGGCTACTGCAACGCACCAAACCCTCTGCTTCTCAACCATCGCCAACGTTCAGCCGGTCGAGCAGTCAGCCGTCCAACAGCACCATGTCCAAGACGGCATTGCTTCCGCCCGCGTCGCCATCCGCAGGTTCGTCGAGGCTGAACACTAATCAGCTGCTGCATCCTGGAACCCCAGCGTCTGGTCTGAGCAATATCCGCAAGCTCGTTAGCTCGGCCATGACATTCTTCGCCAGCACCTATGCGCATGAATTTGGATTCGGTGAGGTACCCTTTTCGCTCAGCCCGTCTAGAAAGGATTAGCGACTCTGCTAACAGATGCACTGTGACTCTTCGCAGTGCATGGCCCTCCGATACATGACATGCTCGTCGTGGCGTACGTGATTGAACCGCGGCTGTTCTACACTTGCTCGCCGCCTACGACGGGGATGGGTCCGATCGGGATGTCGATGCACCGGAGTCTGAACAGGGCAAACGTCAACGATTCGTTGAAACGGAGGAAGAAAAAGGACACGAGGGCGCACCCCAACGAAGGGACCGCTCTTGCCGTCAACACTGTCTCGTCTGCAACAGAAGCGGACGCAAATGCGAACGCAGACAAGCCAGAAACGAATGGGAACAGCCTCGCCAATGGGCACGTAAGAGCGTATGCGGACCCAGCGCGTGTTTTGCCACCCAAGCGCTACGCGGTGCGCATTGACACGGCCGATACCAGCCTGGCGGTCGGCGCGAGCGTGGTGGACTTTTACAATCAATGGGGTCTACCGTCCGAGGCGCCTGGAGATGCCGACGGCAATGGATCATCGTGGGGCAGAGGAGGCAGGAACGTTGAGGTGCTGGAAGAAGTGGACACATCTGGGCTTTGGAACCTTCTGCTCGAAGTTGTCGATCGTGCTGAGGCGGCGCTGGCGTGAGGTATAGATTCGCGCAATCCCGATTAGACATAGAAAGGCAATTAATAAGTTTCAAGTCAAGTCTTTTACACGTCGGCCCCTTCATTAGACTGCTACATCTTGCCTTAATCCCTACCGGTTATATACGCTCCGTATTGTTACATGATTCTTTTCATACCTTGCAAGGTACCTGCTTTCGACTAGGTAGATCTCTTTGTGCTCCGCGGCGAATTCACTCGGGTCTCTTGCCCCAGAAGTCCTCGCCCAATCTCTGATTTTCTGCTCCTGCTTTCCGCTTGATGTTTTACATCACCGCTTTCCCCATTCAGGGGCACATCACCCCCACCCAAATTCCTTCGCGTGAGCTGCCGACGCGCTGAAGCAAGAATTGGAAGCATGTTGTGCAATGATGAACTCGGGCTGATGTAGAGCAGCGACTGCGGAGTATTCAGGAAAAATGAGTGCGCAGATAATGCAAATCGCCATACACTCTTCTTCCACATTCATCGACCCTAGGTCTTAGGGAGAGGATACTCTTCATTCCAAGTCGAAAAAGAGCATGAAGCATACCGTTTAATACTTGTCGAAGTGCTTCACCTGCATGGAAGGTCATGCCCGTCATGTGCGATAGGGCGATGGGTTTTTCGTCCCCCGGCGACATTGGGGCACGCGAGGTCGTCTGTTTACCGGGTGATCGATGGATGAGCGGTTGGAGAAGGGGGGTGGGGAAAAGCTCACCTGGACATCTTAACGACGCTTGTCATCAACAGCAACAGGTTCCTACGATGCCACTCACGAACGTTGTTCCATGACAAGTCAAACAAAGAATGCACGTGACCGAAATAGACAGAGCTAGGGTGGCCTGTGCACAGGGTTGCATAGTTCACACTGATCGATCCCAAAATGCCGGGCCGCGCGTCAAGCGGGCGCAGCGGCCAGAACTTGTGCTCCCTGCAGTTGGGCGAAAGCGCCGCAGTGCTCTTCCCCGCGTTTTTCGTCGCTGCGCGGGTGTTGAGGCTACATCGCCGCTTCTTGCAGCGGCTTGGCTTGATGAGCTAACACTGAACATATATTAACGACCGCTGCGCTCCTGTTTTACATCGTTGTGAAGGGTGACGATGAATGCATTCAGCTCTGCCGCCGCATGTGCCCTCACCATCGGAGCATCCACCAGCGTCTGCTCTCCCATGTCACCACTCATGGTCGACTGTGATATATGTACGCGTATGCTCCTCAGACTTCGATGAATCTAGCTATTATGCTTGCCTGTCTTCGTAGAGGGCCTCTGTGCCTGCGGGTCAGCCCGTTCCATGCGTCTTATCAAAGCCCTTATGTATGGGTTGCCATGCTCTTTAATGTTGTCAGGTTGGGGGTAAGTGCTTGAGACTGCTTATGAATACAACATTATGCGAGAGCCGCATACAGGGCGTGGTCGCGTGGGGCGTGAGGCGGGTGGGTATCTGCTGTCGTGCTTTGGTATATACATGCCGCTCCCTCGCAACCCCCCAAACCGAGAGACTGGACTCCCTTGCAGTGCATACTGGCTATCCTGGCTTGAGTCTCGACTGAGTTGCTATGTACGGAGACGAAGCGTGCGGCGTGCTGCCCAGATATAGGCTTGCCAATAAAGAGGCGTGGGACGGGGGTTGCGTGAGTTGGTCGCAAGTCTAGTCTTTCTTTGCTTGAAGCTTGATCGCGCTGCTCTGCATCAGTCTAATGGTCTTGGGCAGGCCGCCCGCCCCGCATTTTGCTGCAGTATGCATATTCGTGCACAGCAGCAGTGCAGGGAGGGAGACTTTGATACAAATCTCCGCAGTCTATTCTCCCACGGCGACAGATCGCTGGGCTGGCGCTGGGGCTGGCAGGCAGCCCTATGGAATGGCTTGTGCGCTCGGGCCATCCTGTTTCGGCTGGCGGCACCCGTCCCCACACTCACCGTACCCTACCCTCTGAGTCTCACATCTGGGACAGGCGCGCGTGACTCCATCCCATCCAGTTCCAAGTGTATCTCCGCCATATCCCTCTCGCTGCCATATATAGAGCAGCCGAGCCTTTCTCTCGTTAGTCCCCCCTTTCCCCCTCTTCATCCCACCCATTCAATACCAATCATCTGCTTCACCAAGCACCCCTCTCTTCAACCCGTCAGCGACCCAGTCTTCCCTATCAAGCTTTTTCTGAGCAAGCGAGCAAGCATTGATCTCAGTGACCAGCAACGCTAGGCACCTCAACACCACGCAACCCAAGCTGCACCACCTTCGAATCGCAAATCAGATTCGTGCAGCCAGCTCGCTCACAGATTGAACTGCATACACACTACTCACAGCCTTTTCAAACTCTCCAGGCCAATTCATCAACATGGGAAAGAAGGCTGGCAAGAACGCTGATGACGGCGCCGTTGTCCTTGCATCCAAGAAGGTGGGTTTTCTTACTGCCTTTGGACCCCAAGTGACTGCGCCGTTTACCACCGTCGCAGAGCTGACCTTTATCTTGGTTTTCTACCGTGCCCCCCTTCCAACATCGTACAGGGCCCAGACGGTGGCGTCCTCTTCTCCTCGTCGGATGCAATACTTAACGCTGTCGCTGAGCAAGTCAAGCTCACACACATTACCAAGCCATGGACACGCGATGCCTGGGAACGTGCAAAGCCGTGGGTCCTCGAACAGCGGCAAAAGCTCGAAGGCATGGGCTGGGCAAGCGCTGATGTTGCTAGGGTGAGTTCCATGACACCTACATGCACCGATTGAGTCAAGATTCATGGACTGAATGTGGTAGCATTCTTACCCTGCACAGACTGAGCTTTACGTTCTGAAGAAGAATGCACCCCACGGTGCCGATACGGACGATGGATGTGAGCGGTGGCTGAAGTTTTCCAACATCCACCGTACAGTGGGCTCATTCATTTGCCTCGTTGGCTTGCGAAACAGTCCTCTACATCCGGATCCCGAAGAAGTTTATCGACTTCATGCGATGCGCCAAGGGCGACGACCCAGCCGCTGAGGATGAAGCTGCGGGCGAAGACGGCAAGAAGAAGAAGCGTGTCGTCAAGAAGAAGGAGAACGCACCGTCATACGAGCTCTCCCACCCAGAGATCTGGCGGATCCGGATCGATGCCGACACTGAGACATCTGACCGGGAAGCAAATGTGCTGCTAGACGTTGCAGAGCCGCTTGAGAACATGTGAGTGGTGGAACTGCTGTATGATTCCGATTGGCCCGTTTGCTCACCCGCCACCTTGAATGCTGCCCTCAGCTTCTACCTCCTCCAGGTCCTCCAGCCTGGGTTGGCGCGGATTCATGCCAGTCGCAAGGATGTGATCCAGCCAGGGACCATGCAGTCGGGCATGCGTGACGACGCCGAGGCGCCGACGGTGCGCCACCGTGCGCAGGTCGCCGCGAGCGAGTCGTACATGCGCACGCTCCCGCCCGCGTTCTGGCTTAAGCGCAACGAGGGCGAGCTGCGCAAGATTCTCACTGAGAAGACATTTGACGAGACGCTCAAGGCCGCCGAGGAGGGCCAAGCACGCGGCGCGACCGAGCGCACCGTCAAAGATATCAAGGAGAAGGTCTGGGAGGAGCAGCTCAAGATGGACCAGCTCAGCGTCAAAGACAAGAAGAAAAAGGGCAGTGCATCTGCTGAGAGCAAGGCGGCTGCATAGGTGACTTTTTACAAGCTCCTATCGGAACTCTGTCAGGGATATACAAGGAATAGTCCATTGTTGTGGACTAGGCCGCCGCTGCCAACAATCAAAACTCTATCAATGTCCTATGTCAGCCGCAAACAAACCTAGCCCACAAGTCCCTGGATCATCCCAATGTTCATGCTCGCGGTCGGACCAAGCGGCGGCTCCAACCCCAAACCTGCACAACAACTCTGCGCAAATCTGGTTTCTCCACTGCGCTCGGTCGCTTCAAACCTCACAATTCTCTTTATGTTTCTGTTGTACTACCACAACCAAGGTGTACCACCATCACCGCCATCCCGCGCTTGCCACTTTTTCACGCTAAACCAGAAGCGGCCTTGCATTCTCTCGCCGTTTTTGCACGCCCCTTTCCCCTCCACCTGCGAATTCTGTCTTAACGCCGAAGCCAATGAAACCGAATTTGTTGTTGCCATATGAAACTGGAAAACCCCACAAATGTTGTTAACATCACTGCCTGGCCCGAAATGAAATATTTGATTCCTCTGTGCGTATCTGTTGCGATCAGTTGACATGCCCTATGCTGCTTAGAATGAGTGGTGGAGAGACTACAAGAAAGCCACCCCAATACCGAACTGCAAACCCTTGCGCGTACCGTCGCCTCTGCGTGCGACAAGCGGCACGCCGGCATTAAGTTCGACACGGAGGGGCCCCTGCACGTACATGAGCCCCACACCCGCCGAGATGGAAGGTTGGGCGAGTTGGCGGAATGTACTGGCTAGGACGCTTTCTCTGTTGCTCGTGCCGGTCGCAGGGACAGCCCCTTTGTAGCTACTGCTACTAGACTTGACACGAGCAAGTGGCGCGGCCTGGTCGATCTGGCACAGCTGGCCAGTGTTGACGAAGGCATGCAGCTTCAGCGGCCAGTCCGGCCGGCGCGGCATGTCGGCGATCAGGCTGGCGCCGGCGCTCCAGAAGGCGTCGCCGCCGAGCGAGTCGAGCCCGTCTCGCGGTCCGAGGCTATGCTGTCGGAACATGCGCAGACTCGTCGGCCCGCCGAGGTGGAAGCGGTCAGCATACACACTCGGCTGCCCGTCCAGCGTGCGCAGCACACCTGTGCGCGCCGCGAACGAGCACACCAACCCGTGCGCGCTCGGCAAGCGCCGTGAGCATTGCACTTCGCTTTCAAGCTTGAAGAATGAAGTGGAGCCGCCAAGGCCGGCGAGCTCCTGCACCGCTTTTATGTAGATGCCGCGCGTGCCGAGAAACGGATCATCGCGGGTATCTTGCACCCAGGTGTGCGTCAACGCAGCTTTCACGCTGTCGCCGCCCAGCTTGCGCATCCTTTGCAACAATGTCAACCAATGGTGTTGGGTCAGCGTGCTAATGTTTCGGTTGAAGAGGAGCAAGTAAGAAAATGTGCGCACTCACCCGACGGACGCGTCCGGAAGCATGTGGCCGAGCTGCCGCCAGGATGCTTCGCAGGCGAGCTCGCGTTGCTGGAACGGTCGACCCGTGTACTGCAAGAAGGCAGAGTTGCTTCAGTTTGCGTGTCATCACTGAAATATGACACTCTGCTAAATGCTCGCCATCAAAGCTGCGCGCAGTCCCTGCGTGCTTAAACGGGAACTGGACCAAGTGCTGAGATCGGTATCCATCGTGTAAGCGCTGACCAAGCCATTCAGCACGGGGGACGCCAACACGGGTGTTGTGAAAAGCAACTGCAAGTGGAGCAGATCAGCACCAATAGCAGTGTAATAAGGGTAGGAAACTTGCTGCTCACGTTGAATGCCCGCCTCGTCCGCGTCCCAAAGGTTGCGCTACCTTCGAGCGTCTCAGCACCGCCAAAGACGTTTCGGAGCATTCCCTGCACACTCGCTGTTCCTTCGTCATTTCCGATGTCTGTACTGCTCTTCAGAAAGAGCCTACTTTTCTTGACGCATTGCAAGACAATATCAATGTCCTCATCCGAAGCAAGAGGATGCGCACACGGTTCAAAACGCGCAGAGACGTCTTTGAAGAGGTCGAACGAGGTCAGGTCGGCGCCTAGCGACTGCGTCAGGGCAAGTATTCCTGAAAACGTTGTAGGCTGTGCAGGTCGTTTGAAGGAGGTCCGGTGGGCGTAGAGAGCTTCAGACCATGGAAGAAGCGGCGCGAGCGGATCGATGTAAGGCCGCAGAACCGAAAGCAGGAAGCTCGGGCGCACTTGCTCGGCACCTTCGATTCGTATTGATGCGAGGCGGAGGATTGGCGAACCTTTTGGGTCTTGCGGCTGCAGTACATAGTGCACCCAGTCAAAAGAAGTGCTATGTCGATCAATGTTATCGATTGCACTCACACCCCCTTGCAGCGCCTTTATAGCGCGGTCAAGATTATGAAGAGCTTTTTCTGACGGCGCCGGTACAATTGGCTCAGTGGTTCCCCCCATGCTCTGGTCTTCAATATTCTTTCCTTCCAACCCAGTACTGCTGGTAGAGGTGGAGCGATCGTTTACCATCGATGAGACAGCTCCGGTCGTCAACGGAGGCTCGTTGAAAACTTGTGATGAACAAGCCATCGGTTCCGAGCCATCGTTCACTGTGTTTGACGGCGGCCCCGTCTCGGAGCCTGCCCGCTCAGTCTTAGCCATCTCAAATGAATCAATTTCAGAGCTTGCAAGCGCTGTTGGAGCAGATGTCTGAAGCAGGAGGCACTCTTGCTGCGGGCCTTTGTACAGATGGTCGAAGTCGAAGTTTGTGTGAATACCAAGCAACAAGCATCAAGTATCAAAATTATAACGTGCGAGCAGGTCATCCAACTAAATATGAATGGAAATAATAATTGGGGCATACAAGTTGGGTTTAGGGTTGTAACATCTTCTAGTCATCCTCGCGTTCGCTCCACGGCCAGAAGATAGCCCCAACTCAGCCGCCAAGGGACGAGCCGCCATCGCATCGAGGGTCCCGGACCATGCAGAAAGGGCTACTGCTCATCCAGGTCAGGCGCATTCGTCCACGTCCACTCGATCTCCATGCCTACGACGCCCTGCGCGGTTTTGCAAAAGTCGATATCATCCTTCTCGAATCGGAGCGTCGTGGTGGACGCGGCGGACGGAACCGCGAGCGGGTCCTCAAACGAAGGGATGAACCACGCCCAGCCGGCGCTGGTGGATTCCGGTAGCAGCGTTTGCGTCGCCCCTGTGCGCCCGAGCAGGATTTTCAGGTTCAACTCGCGGTCGGCGTCAACAGGGAGGCCCTTGACGTGTACACCGGGGCGGGGCGCGTACGCGCCCGATGGCGGAGGTATAGTGGCGTTCGTCCCACTACTATGGCGGGATGAGGCCGAGAACGACATGACTCCGCCTGCGCCTGCGCGCAGCGGCGGCCGCTGCGGCGATGGCGATTGCGAAGACGACGAGCTGATGGAAGATTTGCGCTCGGGAACGGCAATCTCCCCGAGTTTTGGATCTGGCACAAAGGTGTACCTTACGAGCACTTGCCCCTTTCCATTCCCTTTTCCTGTCTCGCCTCCACGCCTATCGGCCATAGTGGTCTCCAAGCTTCGGCGTGCCTTGGCCACCAGCCCGGGTGGATACTCCTCGGGCTGCAGAACCTTGCGTGACGTTTCTTCAAGCCTGGCAAAGTAGTTCAATTTTGTCTCGTCCTTGTCTTTACCCCAGTCGAAGGTACGCGCGACCTCAGCCTCTGCATCGACGTTGATGCCCCAGCTGGACTTTTGCTGCATGTTGCGCAACCGCTGCATCTTGTTATCTTTCCTTCGCCGTTGGCGTACGCCGTTAAGATCGGTCTCTTCGCCAGCGACCGCCACGTGCTCCCCGTCCTCGTCATCCGCACACCCCAAATCAAGGTCATACGACGATGAGCCAGGGTCGTGCGCGCCGTAGGCGCGATGGCGCTTGCGCGCAGCGCGCTCCCAGCTCTCGAGCCTTGTGACAAGTCCATCGTCGTACCGGCCGACATTGATGCTGAGGCACTCCGCCTGCGGCAAAAGTGTCTGCAAGGTGCCTTCTGCGCCACTTTTGGCGTTGCTGGCGCCTTTCTTGAGCTGCACGATCCGGTCAACGGTGACGCGCGTGATGACGACCTGGCGCCGTTCCTTGGGCATGTGCGCGCGCAATACGGCGCGCGGATCGGTCAGGGAGAGGATGCGCGCCCAGTAGCCCACCCATCGGCGCTGCGACGGTATCGAGACGCCATACCGCGGTGCGGCGTCACCGTTACCGTCATTGGTACCGGAGCCTGGTCTGCAGCAAGAGGCGCTAAAGTCCGACTCTGCAAAGCTGACCATGGAGCGACTGGCGCTGCTCACGAAAGACGAGTCGCCTCCGTATTCGTTCAAGTCGTCCGTCGAACGACCTGTCGGGACGGCGCCTAGCGCTACCTTACCATTGTTTGGATGGAGTGGCCGCAGAGGTTGAAGGAAGCGCTGGTCGCCATCCTGTGTTTGCGAGTCGAGGCCCGGATCCGTGCCCAATGTTGAGATGCTAGCGCAAGAAGGGTGTTTCGATCGGCGCAGCGCACCTACTCTTGCTTTAGCTTCGGCCACATCGGCTCGCGTCGCTGGCTCGGCGCTCGCACTGCTGCCGCGCAGCATGCTCCGCAGCGAAGCGAAACTCGGGCGCCTGCTGACCGTTGCCTGACCTGTGCTTTGCTGCAAGTTGGCCTCGCTGCCCTTGTGCTTGGGCCGCTTCATGCGCTGCTGTGTGTGCAGCTCGAACAGCGCTTGGAGGCGCTCCGACACATGCTCCGGCGTGGTGGTGCCAGGCGCGAATTGGCTAGCAATAGACGTGCTGGAGATGTTTGCAATGTTCGCCAGGGGACGGGATGCGATCCCGTTGCCTCCATTCAGGTTGCCGCTGGGGACTTGCAGCAGGTCCGCCGATCGCACACGCGCCGCCGAAGCAGGCATCTGCGGCACTGCAAACGAACCTTGTGAGCGCTGCCGGTAATGGTGCTCGGCGCTGCTCACAGACGGCGACGTCTTGAGCGAGTCGTCGGGGGAGCCGATATTGCTGTGCATTGGATGCATTTTGCTCTTTTCAGCAGCCTCATACTCCTGAGTTCCATCTCGCAGCTTCTCTTTCGTGCTCTTCAACAAGCCCTTTCCCTGCAATCGCTTCTGCTTCGCACCATTCCGCTGGTGGTGGTGGTGCGCTGTTCTGTATCCGCTCATGTTCCTCGGATTGCTTGGTGGCCCAGGCATCTGCGTGAGGGTGAGCAGGTAGGATATGGCCATCGTGCCGCTCCTACCCTTGCCCGCTTTGCAGTGTATGACGGCGATGGGCTCCTGGTCACCGTCGGAATCAGCGGAGGGAGGCTGCTCGAGCCAGCTGGTCAAGTCGGCGACGAACAACGGGATCATGCTCAGCGGAGGGACGTGGCGGTCGGGGAAGGGGAAGCGGCTGACGCGACCGTCGAACTCAGCCGGGTCGTACTCGTTCTCCGACCGCGGAACCATGCTGAAGATCCTCCACGCTTCGTGCCCGTGACGTGCACGCAGGAAGCGCAGGACGTCGCGCCGCGCGTTGCGGTACAGGGCCGAGAAGCCTGAGGCAGGGTAGCCCATGATGATCAGGCGGTCGGTCAGGTAAACCAGGTCCAGCTCGAGCGAGAGCGATGGGTCGACAAAGCGCGCTTTGCCGCCCGAGACGACGCGCCGGACCAGGTTGACCATGGCGTAGAGCTTTCTGCCAGAGCGGCGAGCACTTGGCTTGCCTGTGGAGATTGATGAATGGTTTGCTCCTCAGTATCAGAAACCGAACGAGAGAGAAAGATCCAAGCAACATGCAAGACACCTACCTTGTGTCCTTGCGTCCGTTTCTTAGTGCCAGCTCTGATTTTTGTCGGAGCGCTCGTTGCGTCCCCCTTGCAGTTGCTGGCCAATTGGAGCTTCAGCTGGCTCGAGGCCCTTCGATGTACCTTCTATTCGACCTCGTCGAGTAGCAGTTGAGCAGACTGGATGTGCGCGGGTGGGGCAAAGTATGAAAGTGCACTTTATTCTGGCCCGAGTATGTCGTCGCGGCCACCGAGCGTCGAGGTGGAGAGCTGTACTTTCGTTGGGGTAGATTCTTGGAGATCCCCGTCACGCTGAGCTGCGTGCACTGGGGTGTCTGCCTCCCCGGGCAAGACAGAAGCAGCCAGCTGGTCGAACAGGGTGAGATATGATCTTTCGTCTTGCTCCTGTGTCTTGGCCTCGCCGCCGTTATCATCAAAGCATAATATGATTGTGTTCTTCGCGGGCAGTTGGTCGTGTCGGCGAAGTTGCCACGGTGGAGAGAAAGCGATGGGCCGCCAGGCTGGTCCCTGGTTGTGGCTCCCCCTGGCTTGACTTGATTCGATGTTTGCCAAGACGTGCTTGGCTTAGACACGGCTCTCGAATCACCCATCAGCCATGCTCATCCCATCTAATCTCAGTCGCAAGTAACTTCGTCCTCATCATTCTCCTCATCAGCCTGCGCATGCTGTGAAACAGTTTGGCCCACCACATACCCACACATATACACCGTTGGAACAGCAGCAAGCACTACGTATCCCTTCGCACCCTTGGCATTTTCTTGGCAAACAAACGCACCAACCAGTCCACTGACGTCACGCCCCATTATATTTTTGCACCGATTCAGCTCCGCCTGATCGTTCTGCAATATAATTTTGAGCGCTGCACACGCACGCACGCTCGCAGTCGCAGTCGTGGGACACCAAAGCACATACGTTGTGCAAGTCTGGCGGCTGGGACAGCTTTGCTGTTGCCCCTTCACCGTTATCATTATCGTCTCGCCCTTCGAAGAGCAAGGCCCCAAGACCGCCGCGCAGACGTTGGCCAGGTGAACTCCTCAACAACGTAGTCGGCCGGAGGCTGTGTAAAGTCTTCAGCGTATTTCACCAATAAAATGGGCAACCCAGAACGAATCCGCCACATGAACTTCGACCCAGCCTTCTGCAGCGCGCTCGAAAGTCCAGCCACAAAGAGGTATTCTTCACAGGGTGCGAGGTACATATAATTTCCGTTTGCCAGTGCTGTTTCTGTGCTCTCGGGTATGTGAGCCATGCATCGGGGCATCTGCTGATTCTAATAAGAGTTTGCGGCGAGGTGGGAAAGGAGCGGAGCTATTCAGTCTTAAGAGCGTGAGAGTTATTTCTTTATTTCTCCATTTCATTATCTTCTCTCGGCCGGATGCCGTTCCAGATTTGAGGTTGCCGCGGGTACACCACATACACCAAGGGAACCCTAGCAACCAACAGGCGGTGAAATGCGAAACTCTCTTCAGTCGGGCGGGGAAACGATTGCAGCTGTTTGTTGGTTGCCTCCTTCTCAAGCATGCATCTCATCTCTTCTCTACGTGTACATCACATGCTGCACACGAACTCCCCGTGGCAACCCGCTACGACGCTGCTTGTTGGTCCTTTCTTGCATCCTCCCATGTGTCTGTGGGTGTACGCGGGAAGGAGTTGATTGGATTCACTCGTGCGAGAGCACGCGAGAAGCCTATTTTGCCGCGGCCGCTCGCACAGTGTGAGCAAAGGCCCCCCGCCACGAGCAGCAGTGACTCTTCGCCCCATCATCGACTCAACGGTATACGTAGACAGCCCTTCCATCCAACCACTATCCACCATGGCTGGCATCATTCACCGTCGCACGTGCTGCATCTACAGCGGGAGCCCCGTGTCTACCTCGAGCATCTGCGGCAGCAGCATCCTCCAAAATAGTCCAGCGCGCCATCCCCACCGCTACGATCAGCACCTCCGCACCATGGCCTTCTCCTCCAAGGTCAACGGGCACGCCAGCTCTTCCTACCGGCCTGTCGTGACGCTTGGCAGTATCAACCCGCACATACGCAACGTCGAGTACGCCGTGCGCGGAGAGCTGTCGAACCGCGCCAATGAATATGCCGAGGCGCTCGCCTCCCCCTCCTCATCGCCAACCAATAAGCTTCCATTCAACTCGATCGTATCAGCGAACATTGGCAACCCGCAACAGCAGCCGAACCTGGCGCAGCAGCCGCTGACATTCTGGAGGCAGGTCGCTGCGCTGACGGAGCTACCGTCACTCATGGACGACGAGGCGGTGCGCGCCGCGCGCATCTTCCCTGCCGACGCAATCGCGCGCGCCCGCGAGATCCTCAACGATGTCGGCAGCGTCGGCGCGTATAGTCACTCAAAAGGCGCCAGCAGCATACGCAAGCACGTTGCACAGTTCATTCAACAGCGCGACTCCTCTGCACCCCGCGCCGTGCGCGACGCCGCAGCGTACTCGGCGGACCCCGAGCACATCTTCCTCACCACCGGCGCATCCGGCGGCGTGCAGCTGTTGATGCAAGTCCTTATCGCTAGCCCAAGCGTCGGCATCGCGATCCCCATCCCCCAATACCCTCTTTACAGCGCGACACTGAGCCTGTACAACGCCAAGACCGTGCGCTATGAGCTGAACCCGTCGGATGACTGGTCGCTCGACGTCGACGCTCTGAGCGCATCAATCCAAGCCGCGCGCAGAGATGGCACCGACGTCCGCGCCGTCGTCGTCATCAATCCGGGCAACCCAACGGGCCAGTGCCTCAGCGAGGCCAACATCGCCGATCTCGTGCGCTTCGCGCATGCGCAGCGCCTTGTCCTGTTCGCCGACGAGGTGTACCAGGCGAACATCTATACGTCAGCACGCCCCTTTGTCAGCTTCAAAAAGGTCCTCCGCGACTTTTCGCAACTTGAATCGCAAGGTGGCAAAGCAAAGACGGACGAGGAGAGGCGCATCGCGGACGAGGTCGAGCTCGTGTCGTTCCACTCGATCAGCAAGGGCTTCACTGGCGAGTGCGGCCGGCGAGGCGGTTACTTTGAACTGGTCAACTTTGACCCGGACGTGCTCGGTGAGGTGTACAAGATGGCTTCTGTCAGCCTTTGCCCGTCGATCCAGGGACAGATCGGCATCGACCTGCTCGTCAAGCCACCTGCGCCTGGCGAGCCTTCATACGAGCTGTACCAGCGCGAGTCGCAGTTCATCCTCGAGACGCTCAAGGAGCGCAGCACAAAGATGCACAAGGCCTTCAATCAGCTCGAGGGAGTCTCCGCCAACGAGGCCCAAGGCGCGCTCTATCTCTTCCCCGCCGTCCGCCTGCCGCCCAAGGCGGTACAAGCGGCGCAGAAGGAGGGCAAGAAGGTGGACGAGTTCTACTGCCTCGCTATGCTCGACGCTACCGGAATCTGCGTCGTACCTGGGTCCGGCTTCGGAAAGATGCCCCACGAGCGCAACGACGGCGGCGTCGACATGTTCTTCCGCACAACCATCCTGGCGAAAGAGACCGATGCGTTCATCGAGCGGTACGAGCGCTTCCACAAGGAGTTCCTCGACAAGTATCGGTCATGACGGCAACTTTGCATTGCGACGCGTTGGGTGAAAGCGCACAATTGGATAGAAGCTCGTTGATGAGTCCAGCTAAGACCCGAGAACAGCAGCAGCGCACATTGTTCATTATAGACGAGCAGAGGTTGCAGGGTGCTGTTAGATCGCTGTATTACAGAGGGCATCGGTAGCGACATTATTAGGGTTGTTCGCTTCCATGCGTGCATTGATTGCAAGACTAGGCACATGGATGAAAGAATCGATGGCGAGAGCTAACAAAGGCCAAGGAACTGCGAAAAGTGCTACTTTGATCACCGATGGGAAAATGCTGGAAACTTGCGATATGCTATGTTTTGCGAATGCGAGCGTGAATGTGAATGTGGATTTGTGACCCGGTACCAACGAAAAGCAGGGGCCTTGTGATCGAATGGTATGCATTCGATGACTGGCGAATGGAGACGTAAATGTGTGTTGCCACGTATAATTTGACTTCAGTGTCGCCTGATATGCTCAGTGACTAGCCGAGTTGAACGCGGATATCGCGCTTGGAAGGCGTTACCGGACCATCCGCTAGCGACGTGGCTGTAGGTCCACGCGCAGTCTGAAACTGTGTGCGAGAGTTATTGCTTCCGTGTCCCGCTCCTACTCGCCCCCTGCCGCCACACTTAGACGCCAGCGACGACGAGCGATTCGCACCCCCTGAGCTCATCGCTGTTGTCGAGGTGTTTGAGCCGCCCGACAAGGACTGGTGACTGTTCGTCTTGCTGCGCACCCCGGGGGAGACGGACGAAAAGGCTGGTGAGCTGTTCCTCCGTTCATCTTCGAGGGACGGACGCAAGTTGGGTTGAATATTTTCCGCGAAACCCGCGTCCCTTAGCATGGGCATTCCATTTCGCAACTGCAGTTGCGACGGATGAGGATGAAAGGGAGCATTCGCACCTGGCATGGCTGGCATACTGGAGGTGAGCTTCGCCAAGCGAGCCGCAGCAGCCAACCCAGCGGAAAGTGGACCGTGTGCCGTCGTCAGTGACATTGCAGCGGTCGCCGACAAGTCGCGAGGTGTAAAGCCCGCACTGCTGAGCATTCGCGCAGTGAAGAATGAGCCTGGTTCTTTTGTTCCTTCGGCCAAAAGACCGGTTTGCGACAGATCGGCGCTGGAAGAATTGATACGAAGTGGGAATGGCTGCCACGTCGGCGTGTTCTGACCTGCCAGTTCTGGTGTCAACGGCGCAGAGTGGGAGCTACTGAGCAGATTCCGGGCGAGAGGCTGCTGCTGGCTTGCAGGATGCTGCATTGGCGCTCGTCGATCCGCAGCAAGAAGATCAGATGTAGGCGTTTCCGACGCACCAGCAGACATGACAGGCGTGTTTCCGCCTTGAGGAGAAAGAGCTGAGCAGGAGATACTGTTGATGTTGCTCGAGGTGCGGTCGCGAAGGCGGGAGATATCCACCTGCTGCTTGGTGGCCGAAAGCACGTTACGCTTAAGTTCGCGTTGAGCTTCGCTGTCCGCAAAGCGCACGACCAGACGCTCGCCAGTGGGGAATTCCTTAATGAAATTGATCGATTGCGCAAACATGATCAAGACCAGAGGACGCGACTTGTGCAAAAGAGAATCCTACTCACCATACCACTGAGCGCGTCAACTGCTCGTTGCGCGGCCTCGCGATTCTCGAGCCTAACAAGCGCGCTTCCTTTGCTCGTGCCGTCTGAGCTCTTGAGCACGCGCATGCTGATGATGACGTGAGGCTGTAGCAAGGTCTTGACGTCATTTTCGCCGTATTCTAGCGGTAGACTATGAGAGATGCAACATATAGATCAGCATCTCCTGGTTTATTGCTATGCAACTGCCCACTACCCTCACCCATGGATGTACAAGTTGCTCGAATCTTTGTCAGCACATTTCCTTAGTCTAGCTGTGAAGCTCTGTTTCGCCCTGCTGACATGGAAACCCAAGCGAGAAAAGCCTTCGATGGCAATATTGGCCTGCTCCAGGGTTTCGAGCATGCAGAATCCGTATCCTTTGCATGCACCCGTCTCCGGATCGATGATGGCTTTGTGGGAGACGACGTTGCCGCCAAACGATGCCGCTAGATCGTAGAAGCTCTCGTCGGTCGTATGTGCGGGCAGATTATTGATGTACAAATTCAGCATAGGATCCAGTGGCGGTGGGGAGGGCGGCGAACGATGGTGTTCGAATAGACCACGGCGCGAGCTCGGCGCAGATTTGGACCGCGTGAGAGAGCCGATGCTGAGACTACTGCCGGGCGCTCTTGCAGGCTTAGAAATCCCGTCAGAGCGAGTGTGCACATGAGCGCCAGCATGAGCAAAGGCAGCGGCTCCAGAAAAGTCGGATGAAGACGGTGCGAGCTGTTGCTGTTCCTCTTGAGCCTTCCGAGAGTGATTTGCAAGCGAAAAATTTCCATACGACGAAGTGTAGGAGCCGTGCAGCGCAGCAAGGACATCAGACGATCGATCCTGTGCTGACTGGGTCCGTCTCACCGAGCTCATGGCATCACTATGTGGAGGGCCAGTAAGGGGCTGCACGATGCTCTCGCCGCCAATGTTTGAGGAACCGCAAGGTGAAGCCGGCCATTGCGCTGGCATGGAAGTAATTGTAGGCAGGGCAGGTGGCGAAGAGGACGCAAAGCTGAGAAGACCATGGGCGGAAGAGTAGTTTGCCGATTGCCTTGCGCGGACTGCTGAAGCGCCGTTACCACACATAGAGTTCACTGGGATGGGAGGCAAATGCGATGCGGAATATTGAGGTGTCAAGCAGCGTCGATCTTCAAAGACGTTGCTGCTATTCATATTTTTGTTGCTGATCGGAAGGCTCGAAAGGCGCATTGGTAGATTGGGTTCGCTTGAAACAGAACCTGCAATGGACGGCGAAGCGAAGCTTGGCACTCGCATTTCTTCCTCTTGTCGTTGCCGCTCTTGTAGGATGAAATCGTGCAAGTATGCACTTAGAGAAGCAAAGCTGCTCCCGCTCGCCGAACTGTCGCTACTCGTGTGTGCGTGAATGTGAGAGGGGCATGCGAAGGCCGGTTTGTCCCCCAACTGCAGCATGAAGTTCCGGTCGATATCGTTGGTGGGCTCTGAGCTGCGAAAGCGCTGATGATGCTGCCGATGATGGCGGTGATCATGCTCCGAGAAGGCAAATTTTGGCCAGGCAAGCAAACGATTGCGTTCGTCGTCGCATTTGGCTAAAGGAGCGACTGCCGAGCGGTCCAGTTCGAAGTCGAAGCTCGACCGAGCTCTCTCGCGATCCGGAGAAGAGTCTAAGCCGGACCAGAGGTCCACGGCATGTGTCGCATTTTGAATCTCCTCGGGATGCGAGACGGGATCGAGTCTGAGCCATCGGAGGTTGTGTGGAAGGTGCGTCAAGTCTATGTCGACATCACTAGCTTTCTGCTGCTGCTGCTCTTCCGTGGTTGAGCTAGAGTCTTTGTTCTTGTCTCCAGCAGCGATCTCCGCCCCGTGATGTGACGGAACAGGTTCACATGCTGAAGAGACCGGCTTTGATGTTTGACTGACAAGAATACGCTCATCGATCTTGGCGTGGGGATTGTCCATGGGACCAAGCATTTTGATACAGCTTCAAGAACATTGAGTAGTTCGTTTCAGTGACGGATAGCCTGCACCAAAACAAAGAGATCAAGGTTCACTAACCTCTAGTACAAGCTGTGCGGACCAATATTGAAGCGTAAGGATGTACGAGCTTGGTGCTATTGGCGACCAAAGAAGTTTCAGATGGATCCCTGCTAGAAATGCAAGATGGTCTTCGTGCAACGGCGATCATGGGAGCACACGTATGCGACGAAGGATCGGGGCCGTACAAGCGCGCAGCTCAATGCACCAAAGCAACTTTCCAGCAGCAAGATAGAGAAAACGCATTCGTGGTGGACCGAAGCGCTTGCAGTCCCTGTAGCCCTGTTGAAGGTATCAAAGGCTGTGGATGGCTCGCAAGTGAAGGTCGCATTGGGATGCGAGGCCGTCAAGAACGGGTCGCCACTATGGAGTGCAAGGAAGGGATAAGCGTGGAACTCCACAGCGGGTACGAACGCCAAGAAGCCGCGTTTTGAGGATCAGAACGGAAGGATGCGTTGGCGGTGAAGACAATGGAAAGGTGGCAGCGGAGTCATGGGGATGCCAAAGCACAGAAGATGATGATGGCGGTGGGAGATAACAGGCTGCATTTATATGACAGCTTCTTGTTGTTCTCGGAGAGTTGATAGGTGTAAGCTGCAGTTGCTCTTGCTCGAAGCCATTTGTCAGCGTTATCCACCCCGCTATCCCCTCGTCTCCTGTCCCTCCTTCGCCTGCATACCATCGCAGCCGCCGCCCTCATTCGTCGGCGAGAAGGAGAAAGTGTCTAAGGCCAGCAGTGTCGGCGAGGCGATGTTGAGGGTTCCTGTCGGCGATGTGGATGATGAAGCAAGCACAACTCGACCGATCTCGCCATTTGTGCTGACAGCGAGCCGAAATCACGAGACAGGAGCTGAACATTTGGCCGCTCCAGGGCGCGCCATTTCTGCCTCTTGGCAGCCAGACTGGCCAGCGTGGAGGCAAACATTCTAGGATTACTCATCGCCATTAACAAAAAGCGGTGAAAGGAAAAGCAAAACCCATGCATGACCACAATGTACAATAAAATCCGCTCTCCATCGCGTTTGCTGATCAAGCACGCATTCTCTTTCGGCATTAAAGAGCAAGACAGGGGAGGTGCTGAGGAAAGCGAACGCCTGCATTGGGTGCGAATTTCAGAGATCGTGTCCTTGTGGTTGTGCAGCTAAAGACTGGGCGAGGATGCTTGGCCTCATGTGGAAGGGGGGCGGATGAGTAAGCAAGCCCATGTTAACAGGAGAACTTGGGGAGGATGAAAGAGAAACGGAATTAATCATGCAGTCGGCGGTTAAAGCGCAGGCGAATAGCACAGCCTAAGAGCTCGAGCCCAGACCACCGCATTTCTGCTGTTCCGAGTCTGAAATGCAAGAACTTAAGTGTCATGCTACAGTTGTTAAAAGGTTCAGCAGAAGCCGGGAGTACCACAGCAAGCAAGAAGGGATGATTGACTGGTCCGAATGAAAAGATGTAAATTCTTGAATGAGCGCATAAACCGGGTCGATGAAGGTGAGCGATGACAATGTGGATGATGAGGTGAATCATGCTCGCTTGTGTGCAGGCCAGGCAGAGTGGTAGCTGATTGTCGTGTTCGAAACTTGAAGTTGGAACAGGCGGCTTTAGATTCCTGCAAGCCTCTGTTTAGAATGTCCATCATCTCTTTACAGCATGATGTACTGTATGTGCAGCTGGCGTTCGGCAAGGCTACACCAGAGCGAAAGACGCGCGCTTTTTCATCACTAGTCATCCATACCGCTAAGCAAGTTTGCCCTAAATGACGCCACATTGCCCTGCTGCTGCTGCTGAGTATTCGCATTGACATTGGCAGCCGCGCTGCCTATCGACGACGCAGTGGCGAGCACAGGCGAGTGGCGCACGCGGTTCTCGTGCAAGTTGTCCGGCAACTTGAGCGAGATGCTGCGCGCGTGCGCTTTGGCGCGGCCTTCATTGCTGTTGATATTGCCGTTGTTCACGCTCGCCGTGCGCGAGTGCGTCCTGTTGCCGGCGGAGCCATTTGCGCCACTGCCGCCTTTATCAGCCGAGCCGCTGGAAGACCCACGCAAAGTCGACCCGTCTCCGAAGTCATCCTCATCATCATAGTGCTCGTTGAGCCGCGTGAGGCCGACCGCCTCATCGTCGTCGTCATAAGCGTTGAACAAGACCGAGCTGCCATTGCTGCTCGCTTGCCGCCCATGCGGCGCTCCGACGGCATCGTAGCCACGGTTGATGAATAGACTCCCGCGCCTGCTCCCCCGTCCATCTAAACCTATGCCAGAATGCATGGGCAGCTGCCCGTAGCCGCCTGTGCGCTGCTGCGACATGCTCATACGAGGGTGGAACATGCCATTCTCGCCGTGCAGAAATCGATCGCGGTGTTCCGACGCCCGACCCGCAGGCACGCCTTCGCCTGTGACGAGAGACATGCGTGACTGCTGCGTGACTGGGTCTACGAGCCTGTTCAGGTTGAGCAGGTACACTCCAAGGAAAATGACGACGAAGCCGCATAGCAGCGACATGGCTGGCGCGGCACCTTCCGTATTGAAGCCCTGGAAGAGCAGGAAGGAGGCGAAGATGGTCGAGGTGGTGAACATGACGTAATAGATCGGATTGACGACATTCGTGCTAAATTGATCCAACGCCTTGTTGAAGTAGTTCATCTGCACCAGGATGCAGACGACGACAACGATGGCAAAGCAATACGTCGAGGGATGCGTGAATTGGTTGTTCCCATCGAGCGTGAGCTTGAGAGCAACGCCAAAGCCTTTCACAGACATGACAGAGATGGAGCCGACCGAGGAGCAGATGGAAATGTATACGAGCGGCGTTCGCTTGCCCCACTTTGGCACCACCCGGTAGATCATCCAGATGGCGAAGAACATGACTGACAAGCAATAGAACAAGAATGCTGCAGGAAGAAAGTCAACGTCGCTGTCAGTCAATGCGCAGGGTGAGAATATCAGGTGAGACGGATTCTCACCTGGCTGAATAGCATAGTTCAAAATCTCATCGACCGTTTTGATCTCTTTATCTTCGGGCGCATTCAAGATGATGATCAGAGTGCCAACCAAGCAGAGTGTGCAGCCCACACGCCCTATCCGTCCAAGCTCTTCGTTTAATATGAAAGAAGCAAGGATTGCGCCGATCAGCACGGACAGCGCGCCGAGTGGAGTGACCAGGATCGGCGGCGCGAATGTGTACGCTGCAAAGTTGGCAACTTCCCCAACGATCACTAGAGTGAATACAAGGCAGAAATTGGTTAGAGGATGTTCCACATAAAAGCAATCAGAGCAGGAAGTAGACGCACTGGTAGCCATGCCTGCCCACCAGATGGGGTTTTGTAGGTACGAGTGGTGATCGCTCGCAAGCCCACTCCCATGGTCTGCGGCGTCGATTAGCCCCTGAGAAGCAGCAGATACGGGTGCAGTCATTTGAAACTGCCATCTGATATAAGTCGATGACGACCATCCCCAAGCTCACCTTCTTTGTGATGATAAAACTCGTCCCGATCGCGAGCGAGCTGCTGATCGCAAGCCCGAGGCCAATCCACTTGTCCCGCGTGAGATTTGGTATGTAGGTGTAGCCGCCATCGTCCTGACTTGCGGGTGCTTGCTGTGACGCCTGCTTTCCGTTAGCCGCATGTCCGCTTAGCGGAGCGGTGGGTAGCTGCTGCGCCTGCTGATCGTGGTTGCGCTCAGCCTGCTCATCACGCTTGATATAGTGTAGCTGCAACGGGTGCTTCGAGAGTTGTGATGCCGATGTTGCCGCAGCATCAGCATCATTATCGCAGGAGGGTACTGCACCAAAAACTCTTGAGCCTGCTGCTGGCCGACCTATTCGCCCCTTGCTGGCGCGCCGCCGCACGAAGCTCGGCCGATGCCGTCCTGCAGCGATATTCGGCATTTCTGAGCGCGTTGGCAAGCTGGGTTTCTCCAGTGCAGAAGCTTGCATTAAGCCGCTCGAGGCTACTACCACCATTAGTGCAAGGAGAAAACAGGACATAAGTGGCGCAGGTAGCCGCGACACAGGCGGTGAGTGTACCCCGCGAGTTGCGCCTCGCCCCGCGCTTGGTGTTTGTGTGAGCTGCATAGTAGCAACAGCAGCCGGCCACTTGTGCCTTCCCAGCGTTGGGAAGATGCACTTCCCTTGTGGTAAGACCAGGGACTAAGGAGTTTGTGGGTATGAGGCGAGACGATGATGATGCTGTGACACCTGGTTGTTACACTTTTGCTGTGTTGTTCTTCCTCGTGTGGGATGAGATGAAGCTTGCGCAGCGCATGGCACAACTACAACGATGGAAGTCGCTTGAGCCGGTCCCCAGCTTTCTGCAATGCCACGCTGCCAAAAACGAAACCTCCGTTGACATCAGCCAGGAAGGCACACCCATGCGGATGCCAATTCATCAATACCAACACCTTACGAGTACGATGTGCGGGATCGTAATAAGGTTGAGCTGGAAGGCCCCTGCGGGGAGAGACAAAGACAAAACACAACGGGAGCTACCAGTGTTGTTCCCCCGGCACGGCATCTGCGACAACGCGGCGCGGCTACGCGGGCGAGGCACAGAATGAGGGCGGAATTCTTGCTGGCACCTGATGGGCCTAGAGTTCACACGGAAACGGAGTGGGCCTTTACCGGCAACCCAGAAATCCTGATAGCGTCTTTTGCCCATTTCCCTGTGATCACACTGAAACCCCGGAATCACGCAGAAGGTCACAAAGTCTGACCCGCAGGCGCAGCCGCTTTCGGGGGTTTCCGACTTCCGGAAGCTTGTGTGGAAACTGCTTTTCTGTCCGTCAGAAACCTCCAGTTCCGTGCTCTGGAGGCATAGTAAGAGCAGTCTTAAAGAAATCTCTATTTGTTCTAGCACATCAGGTGGGGGGGGGGCATCTTCCGGGGGGTATAGGAACACGATTTTCAGCAAAGTCTTTTCAGGGAGCCTTTGCTGATTTTCCGGGTGTTTATGTTTCCAGGTCCGGTACTGGGCAGGTTTCCAGACCAACCCTAGATGGGGCTGGGTGTTGGGAACGTACGTTGTACCAGCCTCGGGCCCGATAGAATGAAGCCGAAGGCGATGCTTGTGCCGGGAGCTTTCGCAGTTTGTTCCATATAGCAGCAGTATAAGTAGCTCGTATGAATATATAGCAACAACTTGCTCGGCCTGACAACGCAGTGCTGTGTCTTGACCTGCTTGTGGCTGGGTGCAATGCGGCAATTTTTTTTAATTCGGAACATCCGAACACATGTTCATTTCACTTTCGGTAATTCCTTACCTTCTGATAAGGTCATACATACGGTGTGTGCCAACGACTAATGTGGGAGTCCGTGTCCCATCCATGCTTGAGAGAATCGAGAGCACCGCCTTGTTAGCTGTATTCTGTGTAACCAACCCTATGCTGCTCCTGCTAGACTGTCGCCCGTACTCGATGCAAATACGTGCAGCTAAATAAGTGTAGCACAGTTCACCACGTCATTTCTCCATATGTACAGCAAGACGTCGTTATGGGGTACTGTCTTTAGCGTCTGTCAAATCCGAAAAATCATCTTCCGGTTCCGTTTTGGGGCAACGTTCTGACTGTGAGACTTGTGTGAAAAGCACCAAATCACTAATGTTTGTGCGCGTGTCGTGCATCCAGCAAACATCACTACGACCTCCACAAACAGAACCCTTGCCACCTGGCTACGCCTATTGACCGAACAAGACCATATCCATTAATGAGGTCAGCTGAAAAAGCACTTGGCCTTGATGGGGTTCAAATGACTCGACCGTTGTGGGTGGCGCAGACGGCATCAGAAGGTCGCTCAAACGTAACACATGGCGCTTGACAGGATTTTGTGCATCCTCAGTCGCAACCGAACCAGATCTCCATGGCCCGATTCATCAGGAGAGTGGAGCGTGAGACTAAAGCCTTCCAACGCAGCTTTGAGCAAGACAAAGTCCTTTCCAACTGCTTGCCTATCCCTGACATGTTGGAATACGGCAAAAGGCCAGTGGTCGCCCTCCTTTACTGTCCCAACCCACATGCCTGGCACCTCCAGGGTCCAGCCGTTTGGAGCATTCAGCTAAATTTGAAGCTCCCCTGTGACGCTTCAAAGCCTTAGCTGACATTCATGGACTAAGTAACTCAGTCAATATCTGGCCACATCGGCTCGTGCACTCTATCATGCTTTCGTATACCCTGAGCCAGATAGAGGTAGAACATATCTCTTACCAAAATACTAGGGTTCTAGCTTAGTGCATCGGAATAGAGGTCCTTGCATTTGCGCTTTGTGCGAACTCTTTGTGGAGCTTCGCAACCCAGAACCGTCCAAACAACGTTCGGCAGCGGAAGCAACGAAGCGCCTCAAGGACATCTGTGACCGGTGAGTATCGAGGCGCATATGTGGGTATACCCATCACCTGGCTCCTGTCCATCTCAGTGACAACCATCAAATCGTTAAGCCTACATGTAATATACCGACGCTAAGCCTCCAACGAAGCGCCGAATATGAGATGCAGCCGAAGTAGATGCTTACCGGCTTGACATCTTAGCGGAGCACCCTCCTGCACTCCTTTGAGCGCAAGAATTATTGGAGCGTCAGGTCTCATCCATTGAGCCTGATGTTTTGGCAGATGATTTGAAAAGCAGAGCACGAGAAGACTAACGAAAGTCTTGCATGAAATATATGCTATTTATCAGCACAGATAAGCTCACCGAGCATAGATTCTCGTGAAGACGATGCGATCTAAGAGTGGAATTAATAAGCAAGGCTTTTGTAGCCACATTCTAAAGGGCAAGGCAGATGGGCGCGCGGACGGCAGCTTCACCTTCTTACCGTCTCTTCTTTTGCCCTTGGCGCCGTTTCAGCTCAGTTCACAATTCATCCAACTGTTGTCTTTGCGCTGGCGGCATCACCGTGGGCAGGCATGCATGGCGAGTTGTGACGTTGATGCACATCAAAATGTTATGCATTGTACCTGTGAGCATACGACACGTGCTAAATGACACAAGCCTGCATACGCATTGAGATGGACGGGACAATATTCGTCAGCGTGTATGCAAGCTTCGGCGCGTGTGCGACTCTTGTGCTTGGTATGGAGAAGCGTAAGCGTGCGTGTTTTAGTTGGCATAGAAGCCCGATGTTTGCATTATTCGGATTTGTATGCCATGCGCGGTGTATACCCGTGTTGCTGTCAGTGATAGGCCGTATTCCCTTTTGGTTGAAAATCCATCAATGGGCGTGAATCAGTCATGATGGCACATTCCTCTGTAATGTTTTCCTGCGGTCGACCGTGTTCTCAAGGACCGTTAAAGCGTCGTTTCGCTTCACAGACATCGTGCAAGGAGAGACCCATGGCGGTACAGAGCCAGTCGAGCAAATTCCATTTCTCGCGGTAGCTCTCGTGGTACACAGCTTCTTCGAATTGTCGCCTCTCCTCCGGCTTGTAAACGTGGTACAGATCGACGAGTCCAATCTTGTGCGCCATAGGCTCCAGATGCGCCAGGTCGCTCCTCTCCAAGTGTTCCAGCGCTCTACGCGTCGTGATGCCGCGTAGCGCCTCGCCTGAGCAGACAGCCTTGATACAGTCGAGTACGTCGTTACTACACGTGAGCAACAGTCGAGCGCTCAGGTCCGCCACCCGGGAGAGTTGAGCAGACGGTGGCAAGGGGAAGATTAGATGCAGAATCTCTGATGCTTTCATAGCCGTTGGGGCTGATAAAATGACTGAGGCGCAGGAGCACACACCGTAAGGAAGACACGCGCGCAAACTCTTATTCAAAAGCATCGTCATCGCCGTCATCCGATGAAATGTCTTCGAACGAAGAACTGGCAGACCCTGCCCTCGTGTTCAAGTCTCTGCTTGCACCGAGCACCTCGGTTTCTGGCAGGGGTGACAGGTGTCTGCGCGAAGCGGGCGAGGGTGCCCGTCGGTGCACTTCCTTTGGTGGTACAACAGCATTTGCCCATTCGAAGCCGTGGACGTTGGAAGCATTCAAGCTGGGCGTCTTCTCGTTGTCCGAATCGAGCTCGTCATGACTCGAAGGCCATCCAGCTGCATCTGAGGAGTGGTACAAGCCGAGCAGTTCGCAATACGGATGGGGAGGACTCCAGACATCCTCATCAGCGAGCGTGCTACCCTCGCTGCTCGCAACTGCCTGGCTGCCCGTGCTGAGGGCCTCGCTAAGCTCGCTAGCGCTCGAAAGAGCACGTTGCCGCTGGCGAGCAGCATGGCACTCGCGTGAAAAGGCGATGAATCCGCCTGGTCGACGGTAGTCGTGGGGTGGCCGTGCAGCTCTACCACCCTGCTCTGACAGATACGTCGAGGACAGGAGCTGACTAGTCGACGAAGGCGTCGAAGCGACGGTAACCCTTAGAGTCGGCTCCGGGGGTGAATGCCTGTGCTCTGGCTGTACAGCAGTCACAAGCTTGTTCTTCTGCAACGAAAAGCCGCCTCCAAGAGCTAGTCCGCTGCCGCCACGGTCATGCTTCTCTTTGCTCACTTGGCCGCCGAATGCCAGGTTCTAAATGAGACAATATCTGTTAGTCTAAGGTGCAATCTACGGATCATCTAGCTCCATGCTCACGTTCGAGTAGTCATGATCATCGCGGGGGGAGACCATAGATGTGCTGACAGCGCGGCTGACTGATTCTTGCCAAGCTCCATGTTTCTTCTCCGCCCACGCATTCGCATGCAACCCATCTTCGACGCCTTCCCCTCTGAGACAAGCATCGCTGAGCCTGTGCTTCCTACGGAACGCTTCGATTGGGCCAATTGCCCCCTCGCTTCCGGCAGGACTACCTGCAGATGGATGGCGCGTGCGGCCGTCAGGTAACAGCCCTTCTACGACGTTGCCCTGTTCGTTGCGCGATGAGGCTGATGAGCCGCGCCTGCTGCGCTTGTCGCTGTCGCTACTGGGCTTTCTGCTTGAGCGACTTGCATGTGGGAGCTGATCGTCGGCCCCGTCGGAAGAGTCGAAGTAGACAGCAAGTGAGTTGCCGACGCTGTTTGCACCGCCAATGGACTGCAAATGCATACCGCACTTGCCTTCCTCGGCCGCTTCCGAAGAATGACACAATCGATGATTACGGCAACTACTTCGCCTGCCCTTGCGGCGGCGTGCACTTCCCTTGCCTAGCTCGTCCTGATGAGCGACGCCTTTGAGCAGTGAAGAAGTGGAGCTAGCTGGGGAGGAGGGAGTGTCGTTGCCGCTGGCCACGCTGCTGCTGCTGCTGTTGGTGCTGCTGCTCTGACCACTTGTAGTGGGCGATGACGCTCTCCTCGCTTGCATTGGGCCAGCACCACTGGAGGATGGAAGATTTTGAAAGCTGAGCACAAAGCTGGGCCGGCGCCATCGGTGATTGCTGACTACCTCTTCTCCACCCTCGCTGGAGGTAGTGATGGGCGGAGACGACGCCTTCTCGGTCGCAGCAGGAGTAGCAGCTGGCTTGCCAACCGCCGACTCAGCTGCCAATGCCACTGTGCTTGGCAAGCCCTCCCTGGCAAGCGGCATAGCAGCGGAGTCCTTACACTGGATGCGATTACAAAAGTGGAAATCGTAAAGACTCGGCGCGTTGGTGGCCGGATCATTGAAGTACGATGGTTCATGCTTCGCCTCATCGACCTGCCGGCTCTCCTTTCCCCGCTTTGGCTGTTGCTGCTTCTCATCTTCTGCCGTGCTGATGCGCACGCCGGCAACTTCGGCCGCTTTTATGCTAGCAGCAGGCACGGTTTCACCGGCCAAGCGATGGAGCTGGTCGACCTTGTGCAAGGGTGCGGTCCATTCTTCCGGCACGTCCGGGAGCAGCTCGAAATTGAACGAGCTGTTCCTGCTCCTACCCTTGTGCTTGCGAGCATGCCCCTGAGCGGGAGAGTGAGAATACCCGTGCCCGTACAAAGGAGTCTTTGCGAACTCCTGCCACTCCGACGGCCGGAGCAGATTAGCGCCGAGCACCTCCGCGAGGCGGGCCCATGTCTCCTCGCTTTTTCCCGCGACGAGCGAGCGTAGAGCGACCAGCCACTGCGCGTCGCCGAGATGCTCGCGGCGCACAAAGAGAACATTGCTGAGCGCTTGCCCGTGCGCCATGCCATCCACTCCTCCCGCAGCAGCTCGACGTTCTTCGCGCTTGTCGCCGCCTTGGGAGCTGACTGCTTCGCCCGGGAACAGGCGCTGCAACCTCGCGGCGACGACCATGACGCTGGATGGCACATGGTCCCCGAAAAGAAGCTCATGCACCTCCTTGGGACGGTTGATGAACGGCAGCAAGAGGTCGTCTGGCTTCCGACTATGGTCATCACTCCCCATGTCTAAAAGCGAAAGCCGCGGGGCGCTCACAGGCGCCTCGAGATCGACATTGGCCGCTGTTGCAGAAGTTGCGAAGGATCCGCGGTCCGAGGCGCTATGAGTATTCTCATCAACCGCGTAGGCGGACGTGCTGGAGGCTCGAGGGCGGCGTTCCTTCCGTTGCTGCTCTTCCTTCTGAGAGGTATGCTTCTGACACTGGTGCGTGTCCTCCTTCTGCTCGGAAGTTTCGCTGCATGATGCAGCAGCAGAAGCGGCGGTAAAGATGGTGATCGATGTCTTCCTCGAGCGCTTCCACTCCGCAGCATCGACACTATCTCTATCTGCACCAGCACTGGCATCTGCATCTCCGATATTTGTGCTGGTGCGACTGGGCTTTCCAATGTCGCCGCCGCCGCCGCTGCTGCCGTCCTGCGGAAGATCTGCATAACTACGCGAGAAGCGCCTGATAAGCCTCGCGGTGGAGATTGGTGCGCTGCTACCGAGGTCGCTAGGGAGCTCAGCCGCGCTCTGGGGAATGTCACGGGGCGGGGAGGTACGCTCTGTGTCGTTTTCTCCGCTCTTGTGTCCGGCACCTGCTTTCGAATGATGGTCCGAAGACGCGCCGCAGAATTCATCGCGAGCGGCATCGCGGATGACTGCGCTGAGCGATATGGAGCGTGCGCGGCGTCCTGATTGTTCAAGTAAAGACGGTGGTTGAGGCTGCGAAGATGATGATATATCTTCCCTCTGCACCTTAGCTGCTGCTTCCCTCGCCGCTTTGAGCTGCCTTGAGAGTCCGCTCTCAGCGATCACACCATTGCCAGTCTGATTCGGAACAGCGGCCGCAGGCGCTGGCACTCCTGAACCAGGGCCAGAGTCCGTGGAAGGCGAGCGTGAATGTAAATGCGAGGCCGAGGCGGTGCACGAACGTGACGAGATACTGACGCTCCTACCGAATCCTCTGACAAACCCACTTCCGTTGCTCCCTCCGCCTCCTGACCCATCATTACTACCGCCACTCCCGTTGCATTGCCAACCGTGGCCGCCCGAATGCGAACGTGCATGCGACAGCGAAAACGAAGACGTAAAAGGTGATGTACTGGCTCCAGCGCTGGCACCAGCAGAGCGCATGCGCGAGCTCAAGTGGAAGCTGCCAACTAAGCCAGGTGACAACTGAGGAAGAGTGCGATTGCCCGAGGAAGCGTGACGCCTGTGCGCATGCGGCGAGCTGTCCAGCGCATTGCTGAGTTGATCCTCTGTCAGTGTCGCAGCCTGTGCACCTGGCACATGGACCGCAGAAGAAAGTGGCTGCTGATCGCTAGATGGCGGAGTGGGCACATCGTGCATGGATGGCGCACATTCCTCATGTGCGAGCCACTGTGAGGCAGAAAAAGCAGCGGATGACCTCCGACGGTGCCGAAGACAGAGCATAGCGATGCTGCGAGAAGTAAAGTGCGCACCGCCACGCTCGATCTCTTGCTTGTGGCCAGCGGGTGTAACGATATCGGTCGTGCTGTTGTCGCTATAACTGGTAGCGTGGGTGAATGGCACTGTGGAAGGCAGGCTCACCACTGGCGTGGAATCAGCAGTGAGGAAAGACGAAGGTGCCCTGGCGGAAGCAGGCATGGTGTGGCGACGTGCTTGTGGTCGAGGTTGAGCTTGACGCTGCCTCTGCCTCTGCTTGATTAGCTCGTCCAGCTCAGATGGCGGCGGGAAGCATACCCTTCCAACGCCTGCCTCGTGCGATTCAGGGAGTGCAAATTTTCCTCTTGAATCTTGTCCTCCTTTTTTGCGTCCTCCTGGCAGATTGAAATCGGGCGGATGGATAGATGGAAGGGGAATGTCACAAGGCCCTGGGAGGATAGAATGCAGAGCGCTAATTTCACATGCCAAGCGACTTGGATACTGGCAGGACGACGTTGACCTCTGCCTCTGTTCTTGCGACGGTAAAGCGGAAGAGGGCGAAGAGGGAGAAGAGCTGGCCGTAGGCTGACGGTGAGCATATGACGGAGGCGAGTCTATCGCACAGTGGTCTACGCCTTTTCCTGACATGACAAGTGTTGCAAACAAGCTTGTGGCGGATCTACAAGCTTGCAGCATTGCAAAGAAATAGACGAGTGTAGTAGAGTTTGGCGGATGTGCAAAGGATATAGAGACAGTGCTATCAGCAACGAAGCTTGGCATAAAGACTTAGTTTCGGGATGCAAAGCAAAAGAGTACAGCACTCACCACACAGCCGCGACAACGTACTCGAAATGGACCGACGAGTCAGCCACCGTCCCGAGTCCGCACTTCTCCGAGTCCGTACGTCTGGAAGGTTGAAATGAACTGGACTTGGGTGTGCTTTGCGCCTTTGCTGGTGGTCCGAGCTGCAAAGATGTGTGAAAGGCCGTTTTCGTACCTGCGAGCGATGAATGCATGCAGGAATGGATGGATGGATGGATGGATGGATAGAGAAAGCAGCAGAAGAAATGCCTTCGGGCTTAGATTGGGGGCGAAGGAGAATTGTTGCCAGAGTATAGGGGAGGCGGGATGGGAGAGAAAAGCTCCCGTTAGCCCTGTGATATGCTGAGCAAGCTCAAAGAGAGGTCAGTGAAATCATGCAGGTGAAAGCCAAATGAGGCGAGCCCGCGACTCAATACCTTGCGCAGCCGGATCATCAAACCGTCATTAACTCATATTAGTCATGCTCGATCATCCACGTGTGGCATGTGACATCGCAAAGCAGAATGATTCATCGGCGTTCATAGGCCTAAAAGCGCTGCTAATGAGAGAATGAGGGATCAGTGCATTGTTCTACGCGCTTCGGTATACACGCATTGGCCGCTTCAATTCTTCCGGCCCTGTCAGAATAGTAGAGCGGAGAGACAGCTGTTCACTTGGCCCTCGGTGGTCATTGCGTTGGCCTGTGCGCTGCCCGCAGGCTGCGTTGTCCATTCGGGCGCATCGATCGCCTTTTGATTAGGTCGAGGAAGCAAATAGACAGATGAGCGCTGAGCGAGGGTCTCTCGCCTGCTGGCCAAAAGGTCAAAAGTGTGCACGAGCCACCTCTAGGGGTCCTATGAGAGGTCAAGATTGTTGGTGCATTTGCATCGACTCTTTGAGTCCGTGTCGTCCCTTTGCAATCCACAAAGCCCTGCCCAAAAAATAGAAACCCCAACCGGGAGTGGCTTTGCTTGCCGTCCATCGCCACCACAGCCCCTCGTCAGTGAAACGTCCCGCTGGGCAGACCATTGTGGCTTGTCTTGGATAGAGCCGCTCGGGACCATTTCTGCTTGCCCGCTGCTACGCTTGATGCGGGCCGCTGCCCTCCAGAGCTGTCAAAGTCACATTATGAATTCAAGCCCACGTCCGTCTCACACTTGTTTTGCGATCGGGAATGTTTGGTTTCATCTGTCAAATGCGGCAGTGGGGGTGCGTGTCAGCGGCAAGCCAAGCTCAAGCAGGCCGAGAGTTGAGGGGCTGCGGCAACAATAAAATAGCTAAATGAAAAAGGGTCTCGGCTGCGGCAGCGCCCCAGCTGTCTGGGGAGAAAACAGTCGAGGATCGGATTGCATGAAGGCGTAGAAGCTCGTAGAACATGACCTTGTCACGTGTGGCCTATGCGCATATACAGCACAGAAAGAGCCCGAGAAAGCTCAGACTATCGAGATTCGAGCGGCGAGACAAATGAAAGCCTCCCAGCACTCTCAACTCCGCAGCCTCAACTTGTCTGGTCACGCGAAGATCCTTGTGCCATAGCGTATCCCTTCCCCGCCTTGCATGCCTTCTGACTCCCAACGCATGTGCACGATTTGGGTCCACCACATAGCGTGAGGACCACCTTCGAGTAGGATGGAATGCACCTGGTGCCCAAAGTGTGCTCTCGAACCCTTGTGTGCACGCCGAAAAATAATCTAGCCAGCTCCTGCTTTCCATCTTCTCTTCTATTGCACCACCAAGAACCTCAAACCTTGTCCGTCCCAAGGTAGTGGTTGGCCGCCGCGACCTGCTCGGGCGCGACCTCCTCCTCCTCGGCGAGTAGCCTCTCCGCCTCAAGTGCGGCGATGCAGCCGCTCCCAGCTGATGTGATCGCCTGCCGGTACTTTTTGTCCTGCACGTCGCCCGCAGCAAAGACGCCCTTAACGCTCGTCTGTGCCGTTCCCGGGACCGTGACAATGTACCCGTCCTCGTCGCAGTCGACCTGGCCCTTGACCAGGCCCGTCGCAGGCACGTGGCCGATTGCGTAGAACAGCCCGTTGACGTCCAAGTCCTTCTCCTCGCCGCTCTTGTTGTTCTTGATCCGCAGCGCGCGCAGCAGGTCGCCATCCCCCTTCGCCTCGAGTGCCTCTGTGTTGAACAGCACAGTGACCTTGGGGTGGTTGAGCAGCCGCTTCGCCATGATCTTCGACGCACGCAGCTCGTCTCGCCGCACGAGCACGTACACGTGCGAGCCGTACTTGGTTAGATATGTCGCCTCTTCCGCTGCGCTGTCGCCGCCGCCGATGACTGCCAGTGGCTTATTGCGGAAAATGGGCACTGCGCCATCGCATACTGCGCACGCACTGATACCCGATTGCCAGTATGTGCTGGACCAATGAACGATTGCCTCGTCAGCCCTAAAACATCGCATAAAACGCAATTCATGCCAACTCACTCCTCGCCAGGAATAGCCATGCGCTTCGCGCTCGCACCAGTCGCCATGATGATCGTGTCTGCTAGCTCAGCAGCCTCGGGGTTGTTCTCATTCCCTTCACGCCAGAACTTGAACGGCCGCTGCGAGAGATTGAGCTTGCTGATCGTTTCGGTAAAGATAGTCGTGCCGAATCGCTCGCTCTGCGCACGGAACTTGTCCATAATCTCCGGCCCTCGGATGCCTTCTGGGAAACCGGGAAAGTTCTCCACATCTGTCGTCGTGGTCAGCTGGCCACCAGGTGCGAGGCCGTTCGCGAGCATGCCTTCGAATAGCACTGGCTCGAGATTGGCACGCGCAAGGTAGATCGCCGCAGTATGTCCAGCTACAAGTCAAGGAGATGTGCGTTATCAGCGCTTTGTGATCCATAATAATATGTCCAGAGCATTCCGCTTCACTACACCCACCAGGACCAGAGCCAATGATGACGACCTTGTACCGTTTTGGCTGCTCAGCAGCGCTTCTGTTCGGTACTGGCGCCATTTTATCTGCTGCTGTGTCTTTACTCTCAATAGCGACGTTCGAATCGGTCGAGTAGGAGACTGCGATCGCCGTGGAAAACAGTGCAACAGGAGCCGCTGGCGATGTACGATGCTGTCTCTTTGTACCTGAAAGTGGTGGCCGAGAAGCACGACTGTTGGTGCTAATAAGGCGTTGATGCTGCTGCGCGAACAAGGCTGGCCTCTCGGAACCCTGCTGTGTGATCAACAATAGTGCGGGTACGTTGGACTGAGAGGGGGTCGGTAACGTAACGCGCTGTCTAATTGCCAATGACAGTCGGCCAAGCATCCACGATAAGATGCTACTTCACAAACGTCCGACCCTTGTATACGGAGAGCGGCCCGATGTGCATGAACTTGAGATTGAAAATGGTAGAACGATGTCGCAATGGGGGGACAGAAGCAGTTGGAGATGGGGAGAAGCTGTTACTTTCATCCTATGGTATCATGGAAGCAGTCTTGCCGCTCGCAGCTCCCCGGGCGCGAGAAGCCGAACGCCGGAGATCAAAGAGTTGATTGGTTTTACATGTGCCCTCAGTTGTCAATGACCCGTATCTCCGTTGGGGCCTCAGGGGGCGTAAGCTGCAAGCAGCGCTCCCATATACATATACACTCGATACATAATCGATACCCCCAAGCTGGTTCCTTTATTGGTCAAATGCAGCATCATCGAAGCAACTTCCGCAACTTGCTCTGTCTCCCTAGCGACGTCGCCCCTTCATCTGTACCCTGGAAGACGGATAACGCGAGTTCGTATAGGTAGCTGAATTCCAGTATGCTCGAGCAGAAGGCACAATTTACTGTTGCGCGATGATGCGGAACGCCGTTGTCACGACTGCCTCCCCCACCACCTTGAACTGCGAAAGCTCTGTCTAGTTTGATCAGCAGTGTTGAACAACGCAATGGAATCGAGCTTGGCATTACTCTGATCTTTAACCAGACATCTTCCTCAACACAGCATGTGCCACAGAATGTGACTATGTGCATATTGAGTAGGAACGAGCGAGTACTGCCCAAAGGAAGTGTGTAATACCGTGATCCGTGACCTATGATACAGGATGCAGCGCCAATATGTCTGCATTTAGGCTCTGTGAGCGGGAAAGTGAGTGTCCAAGATGGGACTGATACTTGCGGTATAGTCGTTAAGGTCTAGGGTGGTTGCGCGGACTGCGACAGCCAACTGGGGGAGCGAAGAGCACGCATCGTCCTGCCAGTTTCGAGCGATGTTCGCAACTCGCACAGGCGACTCAGTCCCACTGGGAGGCACAACCTCGACATCAGAAACAGTTGCGATGATACCGGTAGCATCTGCGGCAAGGAGAAGCCGTGGACGATAAACTCACCACGACGCGTTCCGGCATCTTGTTAGCGTCATCTTTCCCCGCGCCACTAGCGCTCGTCCCGCCGCTCGCCTGCTCATTGGCCAATTTACGGCTGAGCTCGCCCTGCGCTTTTCCCTTGCCTGCACCACGGTTGGCAGCGGCTGCGGCGCGCGCCTCGGCGGCTTTTGCGCGTGCTTCGCGTTGGTCGCCTGCCGATAGTTGCGCTGACGTTGCCGCTGAAGTTGATGCGCCGCCGCCGTGGCCACCCCCTGAAGTTGAGTCTGATAGGTGGTGGCCACCTTTTGGACGACTTGAAAGACAGTTGCCCATTGCCGTTTGGAAATGCGGACCAGTGATAGTTAGATGCTTGGATTGATGCTGGGCGGAAGGGAAGCGCCTGTCCAGGTCGCAGTGGGGAGCTTGTGAAACTCTTTTCGTCCCCGATGCAACGGCGTATCATGCTCTCTGGAGGCAGGCACGCACATGAATTGCTGGTCACAACCTCGCGCGGGCTGCATTTGCTTTGTCTGTTTTGTACATCGCACCTCATCATCAGGAGGTATTAGTTGCGGTGGGCGAGAGAATCATGGAGACTGAACAGACATCATACTCATCGGCGCCTCTCGGTGGCGAGCTCGGCTCCAACTTGCACATCCATTGTCTCGTGCGTATCCACATCAAGATGCGGTGCAAACCATTTTGTAACGCCCTGTTCAAATGCAGCGAAGGTGAGAGAGGCGGGTGACTGTTGACGTGGCACTGCAGCGCATACGCCACACAGGCACTTATTTTTTGACTGATGGACCGCCTGCGTCCCATCCCAGCAACCCATCGTTTTTGGATGGCGGCCATCAATCGAAATTCGTCTTCACCCTCATATTTATTACTTTCATCTCCGCTCAAATATTTATATCTTTCCTCCAGGTATCTCACGGTGAGCCAGCGTCCACATCACCAGCCAGGAAGTGTTGATAGAGCACTATCACCCTTCGAGTTGACCCTCACGCACGTACAATTCCAGTCCTGTCGTCACCATGCTCGATGTGACCCCGGCCAACGCCCTGGTCTACACGACGCTATGCGGCTTCATGCTAGTCGGCCTCTACGCCGGCTGGCATGTCAAGAGCAAGTCCGACTTTATCAGCGGTATTCGAACGCAGACCAGTGAGCCCTCGTCAGCCTTCGTGCAATGGCTGCTACCGGAACGTGGGTGTCGCTGATCACAACGACGTCAAATTATCATCCATCTAATCTAGTCTTTCCACTTACGCTCAACTGGATCGCTTCGAGTTAGTGGATCCGCCGTCCGTCTATTTTTCTACAACAAGCAAGCAACCTTCAGCAGCGAAGTAGCTCCATCATGCCCTCACCATACTCCACTAGTATGCAGTGGGACGCGATGATCACGGTTCGTATTACTTTCGCTCACCCTCGTCTACGCCAGCACCCGGTTTGCATTCATTTGCATTCCTTTGTACAACGTCTTCGACCCTTCTCACCTTCTCCTTTCATCACTCCGACCGAGTGACATGTCAAATCAAAGTCCAAGCCCAAGTCCAGCTCGATGCTGTCACCGTGTCGGCTCCTCCAACTCTGCACCTTCCAGCCTGCAACTTCGATTTGCTCTCGGCCTTCTATTCCACTGTCATTCCCTCGATTGCACCCGACCATTCTTTCCAATTTCCACCTGGCCACCCTCGCAACCTCACTCTCAAGCAGACTTATTCGCTCATTTGCTAAGCACTCGCCGCGCTCCACTTCCCATCCTTGCATCTTTCCTTTTTCTTGATTCCTTCTTCTAGCGTTGACCGAACCCCGAGTGCAGCAATCGTATTGAACAGGGAGTAGGGATAAGGGGCTAGCAGGGTACTTTTGATCACCTGGCTCCAGGCAGGACAAAAGAGGGCTCGGAAAACGGCGGGTCGAGTTGTTCATAGGGTCGGGTGGATATGGATATGCGCATAAGGAGCGGCATCGCTACGAAGGAGGGAACAAAGAAGAGAGGGTGTGGAGGGAATGCACGGTCGAGGTAGAGATGAATTGGGTCGAGTGAAGAGACGAAGGAGAGGCTACGAGCAAAGCGAACAGAAAGCACGCAAAAGAGCGAATGTCAGATCTAGAGGTCAAGGCTTGGAGGACGCAAGTTGGCGGTCGACTTTGGCTGTCGGCCTAGGCTTTGCTTCTTGCACTACCTCGGGACACCAATCCTAACGTTGCGACGAAAGGAGAAGGGGGAGATACAGGGAATATTAAAGACAGCGTACGGGTGCCCATGCGTTGATTCCCATCATCACTCTGGGCCATCGTTCATCTTTTGCTGTGCAATTGAAAACGACAGATGGCCCTGATCTTGGGACATCGTTCAAAGACGTCGCAGGGCTGAGAACACACCGTCATCGCAGTTTCTCGTTGTTCTGCTCCCTTTCGCTGATGTTGTAGAGATGCACGCTAGGGAATGGGGAGCAGGACGCGAAAACATGTCGATCATGACCTGATCGAGTTAATGCTCGCGAAGGGAACGCTGCTATGCTTTTTGCTTTTTGCTTTTTCTCGCTTAACCCTTCAAATCGTGGCTACCTGCCATCTCTCATCATTCCCACTCCATTTCTCCTCTATGCTCTTCTCCCTTCCTTTATTTTTCCTTTCCATTCTCTTCCATGTTCTCTTGTCGACATTTTTTTGTTCACCGCCACCGTGCAATTCAAGCTAACGCCGCCTCTTCCCGATCGATGAAACAGACATGTCGTCCTCCCTCCTCTTTGGGTACCCGCAACTTGCCGTCATTCCTAACGCCGGTATCCTGGGCCTCGCCGCATACTCCTTCGCCACCATCGCACCCCTGTGGGTGTTCGCCTTCCTCGGACCACAGATTCGCAAGCTTGTGAGTGGAACGAGTGAAAGAATGTGGCTCGGTGGACCCTAATGCTTACTGGACACCGGCTGCATGACAGGCTCCGGAAGGATTCACACTTTCGCAGTACATTCGAGTGCGTTTTGGCTGGCCACTAGGTGTCCTTGCAGCAGTCGTCGTGAGTGTCGCCGTATCCGGGTTCGACAAAGAAAACTGGCTCAAACTTGTCCCTTTCGTCCTTGGGGTCAGTTCGTCGGCTTCATGCTCTGCTTCATGATCGTTGAGCTCAACACATACGGCAGCGTCGTGAGCCTGCTCGGTGGAGTGAACCCTACCATTGCCGCCTTAACCGTTGCGATCACCACGACGATCTACACCGCCTACGGAGGCTTTAAGGCCAGTCTGTGGACCGACAACGTTAACGCTATCATCATTTCCATCTTTATCATTCTTGCCGCTATTGCAACAGGTGTAAAGATCAAGATCGACCCCTCCCGCATCGAATCGAGTGGCCTGCTCAAGCCGCAGCGCCTTGGTGGAGAATTGTGGTACATTCTCACAGTCGCTATTGTCTTTTCGCAAATGTTTAACCAGGGCTTCTGGCAGCGCGCCTTCGCTTCCAAGAACGACCGCACCCTCTATTGGTCTGTCGGGCTCGCGACGGTGCCGCTTTTCGCCATCTGCTTCCTCGTCGGCATGACCGGACCGCTCGCTTGGTGGTCTGGACTCTTTGACGGCCCAACAGCCGAGGACGACGGCTCACAAACGTTCTTCTACGTTCTTGCCACTTTGCCAAAGTTGGTCCAGGGGGTCATCCTCGTCCTTGCCGGCGCGCTCTCGTCGAGTGCGTACGATACGCTGCAGTCGGCGCAGATCTCCACCATCGAGAACGATGTCTTACTCGGGCGTGCCAACATTTGGATCTGCCGCGCTATCCTCATCTGCCTCAACATCCCTGCTGTCGTCCTGGCCGTCAAGAACGTCAATATTCTCCAGGTCTTCCTCGTCGCCGACGTGCTGGCAGTCGCAATCCTTCCGCCTGTCTTCCTCGGCCTCATCCCGCAGCTATGGTTCCTCGACGGCTTCGACGCCTTCATTGGCGCCGCCGGAGGTTTCTTCAGCATTTTCTTGGCTGGCCTGATGATCTATGGCAACGCAGACGAGGCAGGTGCTCTTATCACTCTCCCGCAAGGTCTCTATATCGATGACAACTCTGTGGTATGTGATGAGACCGCAAGCTTTGGGCCGCTCGATCTGCCCGCTGACCAGCTGGACTAACGATTCCTCTTACATGCCCTCACAGCTCGCCGTATTCTTCGCTGCCCCAATCGGCTCTATTGTCTTTACCTTTGTCGCCTTCCTCGCCCGCGCTGGCGCGATGTGGGCCTTCTGCCGCTTCACCGGCCACGAGTACACCGTCTTCCACAAGCGCCACTTCGATACTTCCGCCTTCGCCTTGCCGGAAGACCGACCGGCTGGATTCCACAGTATTCACGGCACCGGCAGTCCGGATGATCGACGCAAGCTCAGCGATGAGGATTCGAAGGGGGCAGCTGAGGTAGAGACTGCCACCGAAACTGAGATCGAGTCCAAGCGTCACTGAAAGCTCTGCCGCTGCCTCATGTAAGTCCCTTCGCTTTGGCTTGGCCAAGCATAATTCTTTCAACAGAGTCGTTGGGCTGCTGGTCAAATACATGTAACTATTATCTCCTCTTCCAAAATTCTATTCGCATTCCTGCAAGCGGAGCTCTCGAAGATGCATTTTTCTATCTCTTGCCACCCGGCTCTCAGAGATAGAATCCAGCGCGTGTAAGAAGCGTGGCGAGGACGACACGCGTAGTAGCCTGAAGCTGCGCGTAGTCGTACCCTTTCCTGCGGGAGTAATCGCCAGACTATGCCGGAAGGAAAATGAATAATGTAAACACTCATCAGCACCGTTGTTAGGACGCAGATGCCGAGTAGGTCGAGTCGACTTACGTTGTGGTACATTGGGTCCGCGATGGCGTTGTTCCGCTCAAAGACCCAGGTGGATGGGTAATCGCGCGACCAGAAGCTCTGGTGGTCACTCTATTTCAAGCGAGATACCATCAAGACAAAGCGTGAGCCCATGTCCAGGACGTTGTGGACGAGCCAGACAAAATCCACTCACGCAGCATGCAGGTGTGTACCCCACCACAATCTCTGGCACGTACACCTGCGCGATATCCATGACGTGCTTCGTGGCGGTCTTGGTATCATATCTATCTGGAAAAGCCATTTGCATCGGTTCGCCCTCGACACGATAAGCGATCATGTCGATCTGCAACTGGAGGTGTACATGAACGTTGGCATCTTTGAGGTGTTGTGCGTACGCATCCGACCCAACGAGGCCTTGCTCTTCGCCCGAGAAGAAGATCAGCTGCACGGGCCGAGAAAAGCGGACCGACTTGGAGCCAAGGACTCGCCCGATGGAGAGCAGGGCAGACGTGCCGGAGCCGTCGTCGTCTGCACCTGGTGCGGTCACGTCTGCGGCGGTGGTCCAGAACGAGGAATCGTCAGCTGCAGCCTGCCAGACAGATCCTTACGCTGTGTCAATCGAGAAGACAGACACGTTCGAGTGGTGTACTATGCACCTGTCCACGGTGATAGATATTAAAACAAATCGCCACTTCAAGCCAGCTTGACGCGCAGCATGATCATTCCACCCGTTCTTGACTGCCCGCGTTGGCTAAGATAAACGCCGTTCAACGTGCACACTTACTTCCAAATGTACCCCTGGAATCATAATGTGCCGATATAATGACCCTCGCATTCTCATCGCCGTCGTCGTCGTCTGCATTCGCATGTCCACGAGAGGCCGGAATGTTGCACATGACGTTTGGCGCATAATATGTGTTGTACTCCCACAAGTGGCACTTGGCATCCGGCACGCTCAAAAGAGAGTTCTGCATCTCGTCTTCCGGGAGGTATCTGAGGCGTCAGACGCCAAGCATGGCCCGAAGGAAGTCTTCGGCGCTTGCTCACCTTTAATCCACCTCGCAGCGTTCCTAGCGCCGATTGTGGCACTGTGCCTTCCGTCCCATCCCCTGAAACGCGAGCTGGCTGCAAATTCGGTGCGTTGATCCTCGCCACTAACGACCTCGACAGTCTTCCTGATGCGCTCCTTGTTCAGCTCCTCGTCTTGCAGAATGAGCGAGATGAGCGGGTTGTATTTCACTTGTCCATAGTCCGGGCCATCATCCTGCTCAGCTGGAAAAATGCGCGAAGACTGCTGAGGCTTCAACGTTGAGACGTACGTGTCAAATGGCAAGTACTTGTCAATGTTCGCTGCTGCAATCTGTCCAGAAGGAGTGTTTGGCAAGGAGAGAATGGCATATTCCTTCCACAGTGATACGACCTTTGGCGTCAATTCGAGTCTGCCGTCCCCGCCGCGACCTTGCAACACGACTTGATTGCTGCTGCTACCAGCTGCCGTGTTGGCATAGCTGAAATCCCCAGGTTTTTCGAAAAAAGGGATCTCATCTTGGACAAGCATAGAAGTTTTGCAAATCGGATTGCCTGGCGTTCGATCCGAGTCAACAGAGTTGGCAAGCCTGTGCGCCCAATCACACGGATCTTGTGCATTCAACGAGGCTTCCGTCGCAGTCTGCGACACGAAGAACAGCAATCCTTGTTTCTCGGAGGTAATATCTTCCGAAAGCGGCCTTCCACCGTCCAGAGTTTTCGTGTGCAAAGCGCATGCACCGTGAGCCTGCGATAAAGGTTTATAGGCGACCCAGGAGACCAGCTCCCGGCGCGCTGCGTCCCATGTCGGATATGTTCCCCACGATTCGAAGCATGCTGCATCAGCACCTTGAGCGGCAGCCGCATTCGAATCAACTTTCCTCCATGGCGCAAGCTGCACGCCGACTGGATCAGCGTTGCCAGGCTGAGCGTAAGGTTGGATCGGTTTGGCAGTGGCGACTTTAGCGCCCAGGGCCATCAACAGCGCACTGGCGCCATAGCTGAGGATGTGCTGCATGACGCCAATCCGGAGTTCTTGTTCTAATACTGGGCAGACATATGAATACCAAGTAAGGCAGCCTTGTTGCAGCACCGAGCTTCCTGCTGCGTATGTAGAATCGGATGGTAAAGTCATGAGTCAGGGATTAACTGCATGGCCTCCAGCACAACCCCATCTGCCTGATGGCATCGTCGCCGCGCAAGTTGGGAGCAGATTCGAGTGATATTGATATTGTACGGGTCCCCCACATGCAAAATCCCCGGATCACCATAAGCCTTCCCCCAATGCGGTAATTGCAATCATGTATGCATTAAACATCCTGCTTGAGAGACTGACGGAGCTTGAGCGACCTCAAGTCCTTCGCTTGAAACCTTTTCTACTTTGCACTTCGTAGTCAACGTCCTTTCTGACATTTGTCGAACGACATAGGGCTCTCTTTCAACCGTGCATTCGACCCTGTTCGACCGTGAGGGACATTTATTGAGAAAAGCACAGTGGGAAAGCAGGTGCAATGTCGTTCGGCCGGCCGCCAGGTTTTTCCGCCTTCACCGTCTCGCCGCCAGACCGAGGGTCATTCCCTTTGGACCATGATGGTAAGTAGAACCTTTCCAGCAATGTGGTTTTAAGGTTGTGATTCCCAGCCGTAAGCGAAGAACATGAGCCTTTCTGCAAGCCGCCATTTCACGGTATTCACTCTTGCTGTGAGACCGTACATTCTTGCTGACCGACTCTTCACTTCGACCCACCTGAAATAAAGGCGAATGCAAAGAAGCTATGAAAGCGTACATGTCCTGCATGAAGGCCAATGCGAATCACAATGGCAAATGCCGTGTTCTCTCAAAGCAGTATCTTCAATGCCGGATGGACCAGTGAGTGTGCGATAGCTAAGCCTCTCGAACTGGCGATGCGAGATTGTGGTCTTCAGGGTGTTCCTACGACTTGCAGACCTTGCACTAGAATGAAGACCTTCTGATGGAAACTTGATGGAAACCCACTTTTTTGCACGCAGCGGCCTGATGGAGAAAGACGACATGAAGAATTTGGGGTATCAAGGAGATGAGGATACACAGCCGTCGTCGGCAACAGGGACTTCGAGTACTGGTACGCAACAGCAAAGTAATGCGAAGCAAATATGACCGTGATGGAAATGCGCGCGAGATGCCAAGGGGCGTCTTCCCAAATACGTCTGGTGTCTATTGACGTATAGTGCAGATAGATATACACTCAATTTTAGATCGTCTTGGTCGGGCAGTTCATGCCTCGGACATTTTTGCATCTCCATCTCCGTCGTCTTCGCTCTCGTCACTCTCCTCTTCCTCATCGCTCTCTTCACCTTCCGCCACTACAAGCGTCGGAAGCTTGGTCTCGCGGTCGGCGCCTTGATAGCTGTCGCACAGGAGGTACAGCCGCAAGCGATCATGTGTGCCCTGGGTCGGCAAGTGAGATGAACCATGCGTCAGTGGGAGTACATAGCGGCTCATCCACCACGAAAGAACACTCACCTTCGGAAGCGTGAATTCCAGTTTCACGCTGAGAGTCTTGCCAATTGTGACACGCTTGATGCCGAGCAAATTCTTCGTGCCAGGGTCTCCAACGACAAGCCACCAGTGGACCAACTTTTTGTGGGGGAAGAATGGTGCAACTGCGGTCGGGTCCGCTGCTTCCTCGTCATCGTCATCCACTTCCTTCTCGAGCGTGACACGCATATTGATAGGCGTGCCCCCAGTGAGGCCCTCTTCATCTTGGATTTCATAGGAAATTTCGACATATGGGAAGTTGTTTGTGAACCTGCAAATCACGAGGTCACGGAAAGAGAATCAGCATTGAAATTGTTCGAAGCTCCTGATGACCTCTTCCGACTCACTTAGCAACATCGGCCAGCTGCTTCATGGTCATCTGCAATAGTTCATCGCGTTCGCTGTCTTCGAGGTCTGGAAGCGTCTCGGAGAGCTGGTAGACATCATTGATACCCCTCGCCTTGCAGCGCTCGATGATTACCGGCGTAAAGTGCGGCACTTGCCGTAGTGGCGAGTCGCGGTCCCAGACGGCCTGCACGCACATCTGCGTAAGCTCCATAGCGATGATCGCATTCAAGTATGCGTTCGAGCTCATGACATCGACGCATGCGCTAAGCAGAGTAACAATTTTGCTCAACACCGCGCGCTGGTCGATCTTGAGGTCTGCCGGAAGAGAAAGACGTGCAAAGTGCGCCTGAAGTAGAACGAATGCTTTGTGGAACGGGCTGTTGAAGTTGATCTTGTCCAGCTTGTGTGGGACACGGTTGTAGATCTTCTGCAAAATGACGTCCTCGTGCTGCCGGATGGGGAAGTCCTCAAATTCGGCTGCGGAGCTCACGATCTCAAGCAGATGCCGCATCTTTGTCTTGTCCTTGAGCGACAGGTTGAAGACATCGACAGTTACGTAGCTCACGTTGTAGAAGCTCGAAATCATACCCAGGTTAAGCGGGCTGACGTCCATTTCATCCTCGATGGCGATGCACTTGCTGTTCTCCAGGTCTGCAAGTGTGGTCTCCACCAGCTCTGATAAAAAGTCGCTAATGTGCTGCTGAGTCCGTCCTTGACAATTGTACGCCTGCGGATTCTGCTGAAGTCGGCGATACATAAGCGTCCAAGTAAGGATGTCGACCGCGTCCTGCTTGTTCTCGATCGTCCTGGCCACAATCTCTGCGTTGAAAAAGTCCTGGGCGTACGCATTGAGACGACTCTCAAGGGGCAAGCCTTCTGCCAAGAACTTTCGGAAGTAGTCCTTTCGGGTGGCTTGACAGAGCATGATGCAGCGAGACACCTCTTCCTCGGCAGCTTGTGTGCTTCTGCCCACCATCTGCAGCACTTCCGGTAATGCGTAGTCGACGTAGCGGTGCTCCTTACCTTCGTATGCCTGCAGCGACATGACGATAGTCATGTGTGCTGTCAATGGTATGCTCCAACATGTGTCCTTACTAGCAACAACGACCTGGATAGCTCCCGCTTGATACAGTCGCTCGACAGTTCGCTTGTCTCCACGCGACATGCCTTCGTGGTAGAAGCCGATGCCTTGCTCCAATGTTTCGCGCAGATCTTCGTCTTGAACTTGCTGGAGGTGGGGCTTGAGGTCCTCTTCCTCGATGTTCAAAAAGCGCGACTCACCACCATCTCGGTCACTATCAGCTTGAACATACGCCAGCAGGTCGTTGGCGGTGAGCTTGGCCTGCTTGCGGGATGGCACAAACACAAGAACAGGGTGGTCTGGCGAATACTCGATGATGGACAGGTACGCTGGCTTTGCCATGGCAATCATCAATGAGGGGAAATGGGGAATGTTGAAGCCCTGGATGTGGACTTCCATCGGCAATTCTCGAGCTGTCGGACTAAAGTTGAAAAGGCTTCCGCTGTTGGGGACCCCAATCCAATTCCCGACGTCTCTTGCATTGCCGAGCGGCGCGCTCAACGCGACGATTCTCATCGGATTGCCCGTCTGCGCTGCTGCAAAGCGAGCACGCGAAATGATGACTTCGTACGTCGGCCCTAATCGCCAGTCACCAACCAAGTGCATCTCATCTGCGATGTAAAGTGCCACGCTTTGCACATTCTTCCTCTGCCTCCATCGCCGTGAGAGCACGTCCCATTGCTCAGGTGTGCAGATGATAACGTCTCCCATCTCAAGGAGACGCAGATCAGCACTTGTCTCGCCTGTGAGAGCAACGACCTCTTTGCCGCCGCGGTACTTGCTGAACTTTGATTTCCAGTTGGCAACACGACCTGCAAGCATGCTTTCGTACGGCATGATGCACACTGCCCTGCCTTCGTTTCCACTCTTCCACAGACGCAACAAAGCTAACTCAGCGCAGATAGTCTTGCCGCTGCCGGACGGTGCACCGATAAACACGGTGTCGTCGGTTGCATACAGTGGATGAAAAGTCTGCGTTTGCACCTTGTTGAAGTGGTGGAAGGAATTTTGGTAGATGCTTTGCGCTTCTGGGTCCTTCAGCGCCGACACTGGCTGTGTTTGAAGGTCGAGGAGTGGCGTATGGGGCGGAAACTTCTCAGGGAGGATGAGGTTCTGGAAAGATATGGGCAGTCGCGTCTCGCTGTGGAGCCATCGATCCGACATCACGCTGATATAGTAGTTCGGCGGCATGGGGTCCGTCAGGGGGACGGTAAATGTGACGGTGTGTTCTTCCTCCGCGTAGCGCTGTCTCAGCATGAATTGGTCATGGAAGAGGACGAATTCTCCATCGACATCCTCGACGAGTATGTGGAACAGTTGTGCATTCCCGTGGATCTTGGCATCCCATTGAAAGTCGGGGGTGATTGTGAGTTGCACATGAAGCAGAGAGCGTGTCAAGGGCTGGAAAAAAGCTTGTAGTTCCAATCGTGGAAACTGATTGACCAGGCGATACAGGAAGCGTCCGGCCTTTGGCAGATTGATCAGCTCTCCAAGTTCATTAGGCTCGAGATCACGTAGCCGATTCCAGGGGTACTCCTTTCTCTCGAGCCGCCTGACCAGGTCGGCAGGCACCCCAGGGTATTGCCGCAAAGGTGTCATGGACGCCCACTGCCGTGATTCCACCATCTTGCACAGATCGAGTGCCTGGTGACTGAGACGCGCGTAGCCGCGCTTCAGGCAGATTTCGAAAATCGCGCGCAGAATGCGGCCTGCGGATTGGGTCACATAGACCATGTCGGCTGCAAGCACGTAGCCCTCTAGCTTAAGCTGGGAAACCCAGGCTTGCAATAGGACGTTGACTTTTGCGATCGGATCATCTAGGGCTTCCTTGACCGGGATCGGCACCCGCTCTAAGAATTTGCCGACCTCCAATTTTTCGTCTTGCCGGACAACCTGGTGTTTGAACTCATCTGAGAGCGCAAAGATGCGGAACAGCTCGATCATGCCGAGATGCGGCTTGAGCTGGGCATTGTACGTTGCCATACTTGTGTGGGAAACGTAGTAATGTGAGGCGATCCTTCCGAGCTCGTTCGAGGTGAAGAGGCCGCTACGTCGGTCATACTTCAGCATGCCGCTTTTTTCCAGCAACACAGCAGCTGAATGAATGATGTCGGCACGCTTCTGCTCCAGGAATGGGTCATCCTCGGCGTAGTCTGCGGTGACGCTGTACAGGGTAGGTGTCCGGAGCATGCGCACATAGAGATAGGTATAACCAAGCCATGCGACTGCTTCGTCCCTGTTGCGGATCGTTCCAAGGACGATTTCAGCGTTGAGGTTGTCAGGCAGTCTCGACACGAATTGCGACTCGATCGGCAGCTGCTGATTGAGAAGGCTGAGATAATACTGCAGCTCTGAATGGTTGGTGATGATAATGCCCTCGCCAAATGTGTCGAATTGTGGTCGACCCGCACGTCCAAGCATTTGTAGCATGTCTTGAGGGGATAACTCTACCCAGCGACCCTTTTCAGGATTGTAGATTTGAGTACCTTTGATGATAACCGTGTGCGCTGGCAGATTAACGCCCCAGGCCTGAAAGTAGCGGAGAGATGCGTCAGACTCGTCCATAAACCAAACTCCTTGAAGCTAGCACTCACCAGAGTTGCAGTGGAGACGAGCACTTGCAAGTCGCCATGTGCAAAAAGGTCTTCACAAAGCTGCCGGTCGGCTCGGGTCATTCCAGCGTGATGGATGCCAAAGCCGTAGGGCAACAAATCCTTGAGATTTGGGTCGGAAACATTTTCAACCTCTGCAACCATTTCAAAGCCATCATCAAATCAGCATCCGCTGCGAGCATATGCCGAGCACTGAGGCGGCTCACCAGTTTGTAAGATCTCTCTACTGGCCAGGGACTGGGGCAAGAAGTCTGAAAGTGTATCCCGCTCCATGGCACGGTCACGAATGAACTTTGCTGTCTTGGCGGTCTCCTTGCGGGAATGGCAAAATATCAGAACTTGGTTTTTACCGGCCTGCTCGTAGGCTTTCTCATATGCAACCTCGTTCATGACTTGGAAGCGCCGGATAGCCTTCTTCTCGGTGACGCCAATGAACTCTTGCTTAAGCGGGCATGGTCTATACGAAGCTTCAAAGTAGAAAAGCCCCTTCTTTGGGTTGACACGAAGGAAGGTGGCAACGTCTTCGTAGTTCGGCAGCGTTGCTGAGAGGCCCACGAGGCGTACTGGATCCATAAGCTGCTCCATTCGCCGGATCGTTCGCGCAATGATGGCTTCGAGCACAGGGCCGCGATCATCATGCAGCAGATGAATCTCATCAATGATCATAAGGCGGACCAAGTTGGTATAGCTGGTGTCCGTGCTCTTGCGCGAGATGACGTCCCACTTCTCTGGCGTGGTTACGATGATTTGTGTCTCAGCGATCTGCTGCTTGGTGAGTTGGCTATCACCGGTAAGTTCATTAACAGTGATGCCGTAGTCCTTAAGCCTGTCCCGGAAGTTGCCCGTCTGTTCCGCAACCAGTGCCTTCATCGGGGCGACATAGACAATCTTGAAAGCGTTGAGGTCGATCTCGCCGGTTGCCTCGTCGCGCCACTTTCCGATCTCATTGAGGATGGTGAGCATAGCGACGTTGGTCTTGCCTGCGCCAGTCGGGGCGCACAAGAGCATTGGATCATCGCTCCCAAATGCAACTCGAAAGCATTTCGATTGCACAGGGTTGAGAGTCAGAGCTCCGGGGAAGGCAGGCTGCGCCCAATGGGGCAAGGATGCGATCGGTACGAGCTCATCCTGTGGAATCTCCTTCTTTTGTGGTGCAGGGACGTGAATCTCTTCGTACCCCTTCATCGTTCTTTTGAAGCTGTCGCGCAGTTGCACCTTTGGGTTCGAGTTGAGATGGGCACCTTGTGAGAAAGCCATGTCGGAGAGGTTGACAGTTTTGCGTGGCTTGGACATGGATCCGGGAGCAAGCGTTGCCTTAATGGTGAGCTTGCGTGCCCGCTCAGCAGCCTCCTCGTCGATCTCCATCGGCTTTGCGTCGGTGTTGACCTGACCATTCTTGCCGCCTGCTGCGCCACCTCGCAGAGCTCTGAGAATCCAGCCGAGCCCTTTCTCGCGCATTTCTACTTCAATGTTGACACGTTCGTCGGGATCTGCGCGAGTAAACTTGGTGCACCAAACGAGGACATCGCGGCTCTGTGTAAGGTTCTTGACAAGTTCGAGATGCTCGTAGTCGAAGAGCTCCATGAGACTGTTTTCGCATTCGCGGACACTGCTCTCAGCTGCAAGAATATCCAAAGCTAGGGCAGCCTTGGATGAGGCTTCGTGCTCGTCAGGGTAAGTCTGGCCGACCAGGCGCTGCAAATAGAACGCATCCACCTGGCTGGGCGAAACAGCACCCTCAAGCGCCGCTTTTCGCTTGGATGAGGATGAAGTACCGATGACCATTGCGTCTTCAGCACCATTTGTTGCCTCAGCAGCAGCTCCATCCCCATCTTCTTCTGCCTCTTGTTTGACAGTCCCAGCTTCCCCATCGTCTTCATCTTCGTCTTCATCATCTGTCATGCGTTCGACGTAAACCTCTTCGTCTGGGTCGCTCCCTTCCTCCTCTCCGTCGAACATAACAGCCACGCCGGTATCCTCGTCCAAATTTGCCATCGCCCTCTCAGCGTCGGGGTCTGCCGCTTTTGTTTCCTCTTCATCGTAATCTGTGATCTTTTTGCTGAGATTGAGGAGCTGCCCAAATGTGTCCTGGCTCAGGCCCGACTCCCCGGCGCCAATTACCTCCCTACAGTCTCGCAATTTGTCCAGGTCCTTCAAGTTGTAGTCCTTGAGCACTTCCAAGATGGTGTCAGCTGCAGATCGCACAATATCTGATGCTTGGTCTCCAATGAGGGAATGCACAAGCGAGAGGATAAGCTCGAATGTTTGGCGTGTCTCAAATGTGCGGGGCTTGTAGCGCAGCCCTTCAAGCTCCGCCGTTGCCTCGAGAATGTCTGCATAATGGCCTGTGCCCAGGGCCGCAGACGACTGCTTCTTCCCTTTGCTCAGTCCAGCGCCTTGTTCTTGAGCTCGCTGCGCTGCAGCTGCCTTCCCCTTCTTCTTGTCCAGGTCCTTGATGGTTTCCCGGCCGGCGCGGCTTCCCATCGCCTTCGGGTCTATCCGCCCTCGGAGCGATTCTGCTTCTCCTGTTGGCTCATTCTCGCGGCGCCCGATGAGCGAGCGATCAGCTGTTGTGACTCGCGATGAGAGAGCGCTGTATTGGTAGCCGGAATAGTCGATCTTCTTAGGTGGCATGATGGGCAAGCGGACTGCGAGCTGTGCTGACGCTCCTCGACACTACGACGAAGATGTCCAACAGCGAGCTTCGCCACCGGATCTCAGCGCTGCAGAATGCCCAACGTTTGAGGCTTGCTTTACGATTTTCCGTGCAGCTCTGCTCGTGGAACCTCTCGTCTCTCAGACGCAGCTGAGCAATGAGTGCAGCCGTGACCTGGAAGCAGTGAGATCAGTGAGACCAGTGGAAGAATGTGACTGACGGAAGCCATACTAATACTGGATGCAAATGCTGGCGGTTCTCTGCTGCGCTAACCCTTTTTTCGGTCTCATGTATAACTAAGAGATTCAACAGACGCGTCGCTCACACCCTCGCCTCTCGGGCTCAACCTTTTCCAATCTCCATCTGGGGTGAGGGGGAAAAATGGCATCCACAAAACAGACTCCCTACAACTTCCTTCGACACGTTCCCTCTCACTTCGACCGTACATACGCAAGTCCCGACCGGCAAGCGAAAATGACCATGGAGTTTTTCATCTGCGTGAGACACTGAGATGCACCCAAAAGCGCCATCTGAATTGCAAGGGTGAGGGGCTTCCGGCAGAGCAGAAGGAGTAGTGGCTTTCATCCCATGGCACACAGCACACTTGCGATAGCCCCATCTTGATGGAAGCCATCATGTCGATCTCAGTCGAAGGGAAGGTTCCCTTAGCAGACGTCACTCACGAGGAGCGTGATGTGGGAGAGGTTCAAAGCGTGGAGCTGGCTGCCGTGGAAGAGGAAGCCTCCGAAACATTCGCGCAGTTGGATTCCAGCAATGCGAACGTCGACCCTCATGCCATGGACGTAGATGAAGAGGAAGACGGTGGTGTCATTCGGTGAGGAAGATGCTCGTAGAAAGAAGCAGTGGGGCTTCTAGCTGATGTCTCTCCTTTCAGCTGTATCTGTCTCTGTGAAGACGACGATGGCTTCACTATCCAGTGCGATCAATGCTTGGTCTGGCAGCACTGTGCATGCATGGGCATGACATCCGAAGCAATGGTGCCAGAGACGTACCTTTGTGAGCAGTGCGATCCAGACCCTCACCGGAAGGTGGATGCAACATACGCCCAAGCCTTGCAGCAGCGGCGACGGGACGACGAGCAGCGAAGGGCAAGCTTGGTGGAAATACTACAGAGTCAGCAAAGAAGCGGGCGACAGATCAGCGAGGCTGAAGCCCAATGGCTGGCGCAGCAGCAGAAGCAGCAAAAGCAGAAGTATCCCGAAGACCAGCCAGGTGCATACTGCTCGGTACCCGCAGTATCATCTCCTTCAACGAATGGGGTCCCAGCAACCTCTAGCTCGGGCTCCAACCGCTCTCGTAAGCAGGCTGTACCCTCCATCGACCTCGGTAATGCCGGCTTCATCATGCCCACTCCGGCAGCCACTGCCAACGTCGCGGCGAATACACCTGGTGGCCAAAATGCTGGCAGCAGGGGAGGGCACAATAAGCGCAGGAGCAACGCTGGAACGCCTGGAATCGCTGCAGTGAGCGCCGGCCCCAAACCTCGTGCTTCTGGTCGAAATGAAGAAGCTGGCGAAGTGGACGAATACGGGCTGGGGAGTGCGAATCATCGAACAGAGGATCTGATCTTGCAAGAGGCGTGGAGAGTCGAGTACACGCCTCTGTCGAGGAATCTCGTGACTGATAGATCAGTCCTGACAAGGCTGCAAAACGCGATGAGACCATATCAAAGCTCGTTTGAATCCGGCGCCGCTGCTCCACTGTGCGCGACGCCTATCGCAAGCGGGAAGTGGGTGGTGCCAGTCATTCGGGCAAAGGCACAAAAGTTGAAGCCGGATCATACCAAGGTTGAGAGTCTTGGCGAGATTGGGTTGGAAGACGGCCGGATAGCATATGACGCCGTGCCAACCGAGGGGCTCACTGCAATTGGCAACGAGTGCCGCCCAGTTGAAATTTCGGTTCCTGTGGAGTCTCTTCATCAGATTAAGCTGCGCACATACGTCAAGCAAATCTCCGAAGCCGCATCCGCCAGCATATTCAGCAACGTCTTGCAGAGCGTGCCGCCCGCCTCGGAGCCACAACGAGCATGCTCTGCGTCAAAGACCTTTTCTCGACCGGTCATGCATGGGCTCTTCGCCGAGCAGTTCATACCCGCGGGCAGCTTCATCATGGAGTTCAAGGGAGAGCTCAGCAGCGCGGATTCCTACCGCAGGGACCCACGAAACATGTACGACTTGATCGGATGCACCAAGCCGCACGTGCACATTCTACCTCCTCCGCTCAACATTGTCATCGACGCAAGACGATTTGGTAACGAAGTCCGATTTGCTCGATACAGCTGCCATCCCAACGCCGTTATTAGGCCAATCCTTTTTCGAAAGCTTCCCCTGGACCCTTCTTCAGGCGGAGCGGCCGGCTTGCAAGAAGCTGACATTGAGCCCGAACTGCTCTTTGGTCTGTTTGCCATAGGCGACATCAGCAAGATGCACGAAATCACTGTTGGCTGGGAGTGGGATGACCTGCACATCGTCCATCTTCTACCGCGCTTGGTTGAGAACCCTTTACTTGAGGACTTTGAGTCTCAGGGCCACAATAAGATGCTGTCGTCTGCGGCGCGACAGGCCGCTCTCCTCGCCTTTGTGGAGCGAGGAGAGTTTCCGTACGCCTCAACTCTGTTCTCTGCTAAGATGAATGCGCTCACCACAACGCTTCTCGGATCTACTCTTTGCGCATGCATTGGATCCGCCAGCGCTCCCGGGGGTAGCATCGGCGCGTCAGCCAACAATGGAAAGAGGCAGGACTGCGCCATCGTCCAAATGCTGCGCGTGGCGCAAGGCATGGCACTGCTGAACGTCAACATGCCCGGCAAGTCAAATCGCAAGAGCAAGCTGCCAGACTTCAAACCTCTTGTTGGGGTCAGGCGATGGTGGCGGCCGACTGTCATGCCGCCTACGCCAGAGAGCTCGAGGAGCGATCCCTTTGAGAAAAGAAGCAGGAGGAACTCGGCAGAAGATGGGGATACTCCCATGGATGATGCCGACGATGTTCGTAGTCAGGCATCATCTCTCACTGAAGCGCTTTCTGGACTGAGCGAGAGCGAAAGTGAAAGCGAAGCCGACAGCGATACTTGGGCGGCGCCTGCACCCAAGAGGGATGACGAGACAGATTGGCCGAAAATCTTGCCGCCAAAGAAGAGGATCTCAGGCACGCGAATCAAAGCCACTTACTCGGATAGTGAGAGCGAAGGACAGCACGGCACGGAACGGCAGAAGTACATTTCGGCTGCATCTGCTGGGGCGAGTTCGACGCGCGGAAAGCGCAAAGCGAAACGTCCGGATGTCGCAGATCCCCTTCCCGAAGATGCGGTGGAGGGGATGCGCAAAAAGAAGCGCACGTCATCTGCTTCAGGGCCCAGGCCAAAGCAGGCACGACGCATGACGAACCGGTCATCTCCTCTTTCTTCCATCACTTCGCAAGATGACAGCGAGATGGGGGATAGCGATGAGGAGGAGCACGATGATGTGACTTCAGAGGCTGACGATGCAGCTTCGCGGGGAGTTCATGAGCGCAAGAGGATGGACAGAGCTAAAGTGGATCGGAGAGCCTCCTTGTCACGGGAGCAAACGCACAGCAAGAAGAAGGCGACAACTGCAGAGAAGACACGAAAAATGCTGATGAAGTTGGCCAGAGACGAGTCTGCTTCCAGCTCGTCTGAGTCGGAATCAAGCGACATCAGCTCTTCGGCAAGCGACACCGACGATACTGTCAATGCGGAAGACAAAGTCAGAGCAGTAGATGATGAGCAACATGCCAAGCAGCAGGCAAACAAGAAGAAGGCCGAGGCGCTGGCCGCAAAGGCAACGGTCAAGAAGAAGGCGAGACGCGTGATGGAGAGCTCTGGTTCAGATTCAGAGGGAGAAGAGCCGGAACGATCGTCAGTGTGTCGCAAGGCTGACTCAGCAATCACATCGCACACTCACGTGTGCACTGCCGACATTTCCAAGGGCGCCGCCGCACAGGCAGAGGTCAAACTTGAGGTCTCAGTCGCTGCTGTGGAACCAACGCCAGTGAAAAAGGAGGCAGCACCAGAGCCTCTACTCGAGCCAGAACAGCCTCGTGCAAAGATGTCTCTCGCCGATTACCGCAAGCGCTTGATGGAGAAACGCAACACGACCGTCGGAGAAGAAGAATCAAAGTCAAAGCCGATAGCGACCTCCACGCCACTCTTTGGAAGTCGCCTCGGACTGTCGACGCTTCCCGGGTCAGCCCAGTCCTCGGAATTATCCGTCACGCCAGCGCTCAGTAGCGCGCAGCCATCGGGCACTTCTGGTCAAGGGTCAAAAATGTCCACTTTGTTGGGATCCAGCTTCTTTGCTGATGCTACAGCTGCTGTAAGCCCTGGCGCGTCATCTGCGCCCCCATTACCCTCGCAGATGCTCTCAGCGGGCGTGTCATCAGCACCGACTATCTCATTCGTATCACGCCAATCTGCATTATCTGTCGCTGCACCGACCGCCTCTGCTAAAGTCAGCCCATCCACTGGCTCCACAGTAGGCCCCACAGGTGTGGCAGCCGGTCTTGGGCTGGGCAAGCTTCCGTCCTTTGCGAAGCTTCCTGCTTCGCATGCACCAGCTACTGGTAGTTCTAGTGCGCCTCCGCCGGCACCACCACTTGCACCGAAACCGTTTTCGCCTGAGCAAGCCCACAGCACTCTCACCGACGGAGGGCCTTCGCCCCGGCCACAGCCTTCGCCTAAAATGTGGCCTGTCGCCCCCATGGCGCCACCGCCCGGCATATCGCTTCAAGGCGGGCGTCATACCAACCTGCCTCAGACAAGCCCACGCGGAAAACGAAAGAGCTTCGACGGCGATCGCCCGCGCCATGGCGGCCCTGGCATCAACCCTTTCGTCAACGCTCGCGCGTCTGACCAGGGGTGGGCATCCCGTGCGAGCGGCTCGTCGCTGCAAGGCTCTCCGCCTTCTGAGATAGCTGTCTCGCCGGGGCTAGCGGGTCGCTTTGCCTTTTCTGGCTCCCCAGCCGTACCAGCCGCCGCAACTAGCGCTCCGTTCAGCTTGAGAGACAGCCATCCGAGTCCAATTGCTGGATCGATGCCACTTCTTGCAGAGGAGCTAGCCAAAGATCAACCGAGTCAGAGCAGTAGTACAGGTGGCAGTAGTTTCACTTCTGCCTTCTCGCCACCTCCAGCGCCAGCCAAGATGCTTTTGGGGTTCGGAGGACCAGGCGCAACTACTGGCAATCCGGCTACCGGTAGACCGCCTATCAGTCCCGCACCGGGAACTGGTAAGCCCAGCGGCTTTGCACCTGTCACGTCTCGCGGAGAGCGCGGACCATCGATCGCCAATCTACCGACGTTTGACCCTCCCAAAGGTCCAAGGGCGTTAATGGCGGCTGGAGGCCCCAACAGTGCGGGTGGAGGTGGACCGCGAGGCGGGCTCCTGTCTGCGCCCCTGTCAGGTAGCAACGCGGTCTTTGCGGGCAACAACAACAGTGGACTACGCCCCGGCCCACCCGGTAGTAGTGGTAGCTCTGGCTCCGGCGGCATACCGCACCGACGCGACTTTGCGGGCGTCCCCACCGGCCCGCGCATCCGAGACGAGGATGTGATGATGACGGGTGCAAACTCAATCAGCGTCGCGGACCGAGAGCGCGAGCGTGATGCGGAGGTCCCAGGCAGAGAACGCAGCGGAAGCCAAACAGGGCTGTCGGGCTCCGATCTCCACGCGCTTCCCGGCAGCGGACCCGCACTCGGCCTCAGCGGTCTCGGTGGGGGCGGCGGCGGCAACGCTCGTGACATGCGCTACAGCAGCAGCGGTGGTGGTGGACCAATGCTGCAGGAAAGAGGGGATTTCCGCGCTGGCGGCATTGGTGGCGGCGGCAGCTTCCATCCGCCTCCCCGCGGAAATGGATGGGGAGGCCGTGCACGGATCCGGGGTGGACCGCGCGGAGGGCCGAGAGGCGGAGGCCCGAGGGTCCGTGGACGAGGAGGATGGGGAGGTGGCTGAATATTTTTGGCATGAGGCTCGTATTAACTCTTTGTATTCGCATTCAATTGTTCCCATCTCATACCCGTCTGACTTGCGCGCCACGACGTCGGCGGCGATGCAGATGCTGCGCCGTCCTCCACTTGTTGTAATCTAACTTATGAACATCAGGCGTTGCTGAACTGTCAACCATTTTCCGCGTCTGTCTACATGATATTGGCACAGAAGTACATGTCCCCGTGCTTATAGTCTTTGCATATAGGCGAATGTGCAAGAATGACTCGCGAGTCGCGCCGCACTTAGGCCGTCGATGCTGGCAAGGTGGTCTGATCGACCTGGCAGGACGCAGCACCTCACATCCAAAACTGCCGTGAAGCATACTATGCTGCACTTGCATGTCAATCACATCAAGAAGTGTGGCAATCGAGTAAAAGGGCAAGGTGGTCTTGCCCGTGACCACAAGCAAGGCGTCCCATGCCGCAGCCCGCCTTCCTTCTCAACTTTCGTTCCGTAATTGTCCGCCAGACGGAACGATTGACTTCAGATGGGAGCGGATATAAATCTGCCTGGCACATGGTGGTGGATACATCTCACTGAAGTCCCAAGGAGCACAAGGATTTGGATTATGGGCCTATTCCGACTGTAGAGCATCGACAGGTTCTATTAATGGATGAGTTGAATAAATGTGGGAAGAGATGGGGGGGAACGCTGCTATTCAGAAAACCAAGCGCGCATGAGCGAGAGAGACCCAGACAAAGAACAAAGTGCCAGGTTAATTAGGGTTGTGACCTGAAATCGCGAGACGCGTCGCGTTTTCGTTGTGTTGGCTCGATCCTAGCGACGCGTCACGCGTCTCTCACTGGAACGCTTCTCTTCATCATTATGCCATAACCAGGCGATAATGCTACGTGGTAAACCATGATGCAGTCAAGCGCCTGATATCACGGGCCATCGGTGGCATATAACAGAGCTTCCAGGTCACTGCTGGGTCCTTGACTGCACCCTCCACGCTCGGAATTCCACCATGGCGCAGGCAGTGACGCATGCAGGCGGCGGCGGCGGTCGGGGAGTCTCCCGCGGCGCTCGCCTCTCCTTCAAGGGTAAGCTCTACAACAAGGGCGTCACCGCCGACCGCTTGCTGCGCGACCTGAAGCAGATCCAGAAGGAGCTAGCGCAGATGGAACAGGATGCAGTCGACCTAGATGCGCTCAAAGACATGTGCAAACAGCTGACGCAGCCGACGCTCATGCTGCACAAGGACAAGGGCGTCAAGGTCGCCGTCGCTTGCTGCCTCGCAGACATGCTGCGCCTCTTTGCGCCAGACGCTCCATTCACTGCACATGAGCTTAGGGACATCTTCCAGTTCTTCATACACCTGCTCACGCAGAGTGCAAAGACGGGTGCAGGGCTGGCGTGTCCGCAAGGGCCATACTATGCAGACTACTTTTACCTGGTCGAATCCCTCAGCACCGTCAAATCCATCTGCCTCGTTTGCGAGCTGGGAGGCGCCGAGGAGATGATGTATGACCTTTTCAAGGGCTTTATGGAGCTTGTCAGGTGAGTTTCAAGCATAGCAGTTATACTCCTGAACGGGCGCATTGACCTTTGCTCTGCGCATGTGCCATGGACACACAGCCCGAACATGTCCAAGAATGTGGAGATTTGCATGGCAGACGTGCTGGCACAACTCATCGACGAGGCGCAGCAGCTTCCAGATGCAGTCTTGGAGGTCCTCCTGGCCAATTTCAGCCCCAAAGCAGTGGTGCGTCACGCCACGACTGTGAAAATATATAGTTTTCGTCTAACTGGCTAGTCCTACTGTGCGCGTCGCCCACAGAAAGCAAACCCTGCAGCTCATCAACTCACAATCGAAGTCTGCAAAGCGACAGAGAATCGCATCCAAAAAGATGTTGCCAAAGTGAGCAACGCTAGCAATCATGTGCGTCTCAACGACCACCCACTGACAATGAGCAACTGCATCCTTCGCAGTACTTCCGCGACGCAATCTCAACAGCATTCGAAGAGGAGAACCATGACGAACGCGACAAGGAGCTGGCAAGCGCCCACGCTATCATCATGCAGATCAATTGCTCCGTCCCAGGGCTCCTGCTGACTGTCATACCGCTGCTCGAGGAGGATCTAACGCGTGACGACGTGGCGCTGCGTCTGCTGTCAGTGCGCACGCTTGGGCAAATGTTTGGAGAGCGTCCATCAAAGACCTCGGGTGCGGGTGAAGGGCAGACGGCACGCATGTACCCGTCGGCCTGGAAGTCGTGGATGGGCCGCGCGGCGGACAAGAGCCCGTTGGTGCGCGCGAAGTGGGTTGAGTGTCTGCGTAACATCTTGACGTACCACTCCACGCTGCTCGTTGACGTCGGCCCGGCGCTGGAGGCTAAGACGGAGGACGCCGACGAAAAGGTTCGTGTGGCTGTTGCGCGCCTAATCGACAGCTTGGACTACGAGACGGCGCTGCATGGAGTCCCAAAGAGTGTGCTGCTGCTGCTCGCGGACAGATGTAAGGACAAAAAGGCGAGCGTCCGCCTCGAGGCGATGACCGCGCTCGGTCGCCTGTTCAATATGGCCTATACGGAGATCGAGTCGCACGAGCCTGCTGCGACGCAACAATTCTTTTGGATCCCGACCAAGATCATCCACTCGCTCAAGAGCCCTGACAACACGCCACTCGCTGTCGCCAGCGTCCTGGAAAAATATATCCTGCCTTACCCTGCTGATCCTGAAAATGAGGCCGCGTGGACGGCCCGCCTTCTGCTTGTGTTGAAAGTGGGCGACTCGTTCACGAACAAGGTCCTGTTCAAGCTGAGCAACCTTTTTGACGCCAAGCGACCGACACTACAGGAGGCTTTCATCGACGCGTGCGAGCAGTACAACAGCGGGATCATCGACGCGAACGAAGACGAGGTCCGATCTAAGTTCAGGAACATCCTCAAGCTCACTGCACGCGCGCTTGGCGAGCAGCCGGGCGCAGACAGGATCGCCGCGGACCTCGCGGCGTTTGCCAAGCTCAACGAGAACAGGCTCTACCGGCTGTTCAAGACGAGCATGGACCCTAAGCAGGACCTCAAAACGCTGCTCAAGTGTCGGGCAGAGATCATCAAGCGCCTCAGCAGCTCTTCGACCGCGAGCGTAGTCGAGACCATGTCGCTCTTCTGGCGCAGCGCGTCATTCCCTTTCATTAATCGCTCCACCGTCTCGCACCTCCTGCGTGGCCTGCAGCAGGGCAAAGCGCGTTTCACCGCCAGCCAGCTCAAAATCGACTCGCAGCGCGTCAGCACAGTTGACTCGTCGGAATATGAAACGTTCATCATCAATGCACAGCTCATCCTCAAACAGATCGGGAGCACCTACCCGTCCATGTTCACGCCGCACTTGCCGGAGCTCATTAAATGCCTCTTTGCGTCCTCAGACAATGGAGCAACCGCGGCAGCGGAGCCTGCGCTGCGCGCCATCGCTTCCGTCGCATGCGCCGAGCCGCGCTCGCTGACGCTCGTGCGCGAGAAGAGGGTGGTGGACCGCATTGCCGACTTTGTGCGCAAAGGGTCGGCGCTCGAGGCCAAGTTCGCCGCCAAGACGTTGGCGGTCATGAGCGACAGCAAGACGCGCAAGCGCGCCGTGCTTCCGCCACTGTCGCCGCCTTCACCCAGCAGCCTCAGCAGCAGCGTCGGTGGCGGCACCCCGATCAAGCCTGACTCGTTCGCTGCGCGCGCAACTGTCGATGCGATGCTAGAGGAAATCGCGCGCAAGCTCGGAAAGGCGAGCGGTAATCGCGCCGTTGCGTACGTCCACGCTGCGACGCAAATTGTCAAGCATTCGCCAGACATGTTCGAGGACAAGGCGCAAGCGATTATCAAGGAGGTTCTCGCGCGTGTGCGACAGCCATGGGCGCATGCAAAGCAAGAGAATCGCGGCGAAGAGGTCGACGAGAAGGACTGGATTGAAGAGGAGGAGATCGGGCCGGATCTGCAGGTCCGACTCCTCGCGCTCGACCTGATGACCAAGCGGGCAGAGGCGTACGCCGAGACGGAGCACAAAGAGACGACGGCCAAGCCGACGCTGAGATTCATCTCGACCGTCCTGCAGGAGGGCGAGGCTGGGCAGCTCGGCACCCCAGTGTGGGCCAAGTCGCGTCAGCGACTGCGGGCAGCTATTTGTATCCTCAAGCTTGCGCGACACACCGAGTTGGAGAAGCTGATCAGCACGGCTGATTTCTCCACGCTTGCGTTTGTCGTGCAAGATGAGTGCTTTGGCGTGCGCAACGGGTTCCTGCAGCGACTGGCGACGTACCTGAGCCACAGAAAGCTTGGCGTCCGCTACTACACGATTCCATTCCTCGTCGCGTTTGACCCAGAGGAGGAGAACCAGGAGTTGGTGCGGTACTTTGTGCACAATGCGATCCTCGCGCTGCCCAAGGCGCATCGGCTGGAGAAATTTGAGCGAACGTTTGCGCGCTTCCTGCACCTACTGGCGCACCACCCAGATTTCCAGCGGGCGAACAGCGAGGACGTGCTGCAGTTCTCGCAGTATATCGATTTTTACCTGAACGCGCTCAGCACGCCGGAAAATATGAGCATGTTCTACTACATTGCCGGCCGGCTCAAGACGATCCGGGATAGCGCCAGCGTCGGCGCTAGCGAGAACCTGTACACACTTTCCGAGCTGGCGCAGCTGGCCATCAAGCGGAAGGCGGCGGCGCAGGCATGGACACTGGAGACGTGGCCGGGGAGGATGTCGATGCCGGACGACATTTTCAAACCGCTTCCGAGCAAAGAGGTTCTGAAGGAGGTGCGTCGCGCTCAGTGTTCGCTTATCCTTGTGAAGCCCTCGACTGAAGATGGCACGGTGGATTCGCAGGTATATGAGCGCCAGTTTCTTCCCGAGGAGGTATCAGCCAAGCTGAACGAGGTAATCGACGTGCTGTCCACAAAGGTGAGCGCAGGCGGTTCGTTGCTTGCCGACACATTGGCGTGTGCGTGTGCGCAAAAGAGAATTTTTTCGCTGACGCACGCGCCGTAAAGCAGCAGAAGCGCCCACCGGCGAGGACGAATGCGGAGCGCGTCGCGGCAGCGATGGCGGCCAAGCGCAAGCGTGACACGTCCGAGAAGAGCGCGCAGGCGAAGAGCCAGAAGAAGGCGCGCGCTGCTGGTGGAAAGGACTCGGACGACGAGATGAGCGACGGAGGGGATGGTAATGAGGATGAGGAGGACGAAGAGAGCGAGCTGAGTGAGTTGAGCGAGGAAGAGGCGGAGGCTCACCCGCCGCCAAAGGAGAAGGCGAATGCATCGTCGTAGCTCGCTCGCTCGTGGGCACAGGGCCACGGTACAGATGGCTAAGGCGCATTATATCCTTGCTGGCGCAGAGTGCAAGCCAGTCGGTCCCAACTCGCCAGAAATCACAGGGCAGGGCAGGCTCCCTTGTCGCGTGAGACAGTCCGTCGCTGTTCCATTACGAGGGCATGTGTGATTGTTCGATTGAGATTTGTAATTGTACAAGCTATGATGAAGCAAACGGGGGTGCGACGCCTCATTTCGCAGAGAAGAGGAGGAGCGGCGCGCGCATTTGACAGACGAGTGCGTAGACTAGACAAAGGCAATCTGACGCAGCGCGCTCAAAGGCAGCACGAGCGCTGCGCTGCCGTTAGACATGTCGACGGCACAGTCTTCCAAACGCAGCGCGCTCGCATCGAGACGCTTGCGTTTGCACTTTGCATGCATTCCTGCGCGCGCGCCGCTCTCGTTGTCTCCGTCGTCATCGTCGTCTTCAGCGAGGTCGGGCCCATGCACGCGCCGCTCCTCCTGAGGACTAAAGCCGAGACCGGCGACGGCGCTGTCGTTCCTGTGTTCGCCAGACTTGCCTGCGGCAGCTTGGTGCAGCGACGCCGATGATGCGCCCACGCCCGCGCCAGGGCTTGTGGTGCTGTGCAGGGAGCGTGAGCGGCCACGCGGCGCGTCGGCATCGTCGGTGTCGTTGCTCGCGGCGTCGGCGGGGGCGTGCGCACGCTGCTGTTGCCCGAGCTGCTCGAACGCGCGCACCACCTCGGCCCAGGAGGAGAGGGAGAGGTCCAGTTCGGACAGCTCGGCCTGAATTGAGCGCAGGGCACGGCGGAGGCGCATCTGCAGGGGAGGACAGATGGGTGTCAGCTTTCCGGTTCGACTTTGAAGGTCGAACTACCGTACGGGTACAAGTACGGTACTCGCGTGCGAGGCAAAGCCTAAACACGCGCGACGCACCATCTCGGGAGCACCGCCGCGCAGCAAGCCGGAGTATTCTGCCTCGCTGACGCGGACGACGCCAGCGGCGGCAGCGCCCGTCTCTGCCTGCGCACCGCAAACAGGCGCGAACGGCGCACAGCGTTCGCGCAGAACCCAGAATTCCGGTGCCGGTGCCAGTGCCTCGGAGGAGGTGGAGGAAGAGGACGCGCAGATGCGTGCGAGGGCGGCGCGCGCGGCGGGGAGCCTCTGCTGTACGGGACTGGGGGCGTGGGCGTGCACCGCTTTGGAGAGCGCGCACTCTGCGTGCAGGAGCGCAGCGCCGAGCGGCTCGCTGATGGCGACGCTAAAGCTGTATGCGAGGCCGCCTTCGTGCAGCGAGTGGAATGTCTGTACAGAGGGGAGTAGGCTACGCGTCAATACGTGCGTGCGTGAGCGAGCAGAGTGTGCGCCGCGCGCGGCTCACCAGCACGCCGGCGTTGGCGGCGAGGACGCGCTGCACAGCCATGGCCGTGGCCTTTAGCTCGTGAGCAGGGGCGGAGAAGAGCCAGCAGAGGCGGATGCAGTCGAGGCCGACGGCGCGCTCGGCGGCACGGAGCGCGGCGGTGAGGCGGCCGAGCTGCTGTGTCGCGCGCAGGTGCGCGACGAGGTGCGCGCCCCAGCTGCTGTGCGGGGGGGCATGCGAGGACGTGCGCAGCGCGGCGAGGATGTCGTCGGCGGCGATGGTGCTGGTTCTGGCAGCCGGAATACCCTCTGCGGTGTCCATGACGGTCTCGCCCATGTCGTCTTCGTCGGCGTGTTGGGCATGCCGGAGCGGCAGACGGCGTGCGCGGACGAACGCGTGGGGCGGCGGGCGCGATGAGACGGGTACCTGGGGCTGGGGCTGGGGCAGGTAGAACGAGACGGAGGCAGGCTGCAGTGCAGTGTACAGGTGTGCGTAGCGTGGCGTCGTGCCGGTCGGGAGCAGCTGGGTGGCCATGGTGGTGTCGACGGTGATGGTGTGGTGTATGTTGTCTTTTGGGCTGCGCTGGATTGGGTTGGGTTGGGTGGCGATGCAGAGGAGATGCGGGGATGCAGGCATGTATATAGATATAGATATAGATATAGATATAGATATATATAAGTGCAAAGGGGGGGGGTATATACAGCGGCGTGTGCTCTGGGGTTGTGCGTGCATGTATGAGAGAGCCGAATGCGTTGTGCCAATCCACTCATCCATTGGTACGGGCACGGGGATGGGCACTGGGCCAGCGTACCCCGCGCTGGCTGGAAAAAGCGGAGAGGGTTTATGATTACAACGGCACGCGTCTGTCGCCCCCCTACAAGTGGCAAAATAGCATTAGGGTCAAGCTGCTCTTGTTGTTGCTGCCGCTGGCGCTGCTCCGTGCGACGATAGCCGCGACCGACGGATGGATGGATGGGACCAAACTATGCCTGCTGCTATTCCTCTTGCACGGACCCTTGCTCTTGCTGTTACTCTTTCTCTGATCCTTTATTATCATGATCACTATTACTCCTATAACGCTTTCCGATACCAATTCCAATGCCAATGCCAATGCCAATGCCAATACCATTACTATCACTGTCACTATCACGATTACTATGATTGGTTACCCCACACGCTTGGCCTGCTTATCTCACCACCCCTGCCGCGCAGCAAGCGCAGCGGAAAGAGGGAAAGAGCTGGCCCGCGGCAAACAGGTCTTGTGCATCGAATGAGTCACACTGACACAGTGCACAAAACATGCATCCATGTGGCGGGTATACACTTATTTGCGGCCTTTTTTCCCTCTCTCCACAATGCAAGCTCTCGTCAGCAGCCACACCCACTCACTGCCGAGGTCCTCCATTTACCGTGTTGGATGCCTGGGGGTGCCTGATCATTGTTCCGCCTCTGTTCGCTCCGCAGACCCATGCATCATGACCATGTGGCGTGGGGCGCTAATAATCCCCTAGCCGCTCCGCAGGAACGGGCGCACATGTCTGCAGGGAAAGTGGCAAGATGTCTCTGACGGCAAGGCAGGCGCGTCGAATCCGAAAGATCGGCCTGCTTGGTCGTCCTCTGCTTGCGAACACGTCCATTCCGCCCTGAGCGCACCCATCGCCGTCGCAAAGCTGGCCGGGCGCGATCTGCATGTACACGCCGTACGCCATGTTGTGGCAGGCACAGCGACATGCCCACACGGCCGCCGGGGAGGTCCACCCACGCGTCTCTGCAAACTGCGAGCAAAGAGCCGGCGGCGGGTCGCCGAGCACATGGCACGCCAGCATAAACAGCCTCTGATGCCGCTCGCACGCCCACTCGGACGGGTGCAGCTGCGCCAGCCCCGCCCCTCCGTGTACTGCACCGCAATCCCCGCCTTTTGCGTCAGTCGTTGTCAGCTCGTGCGCCGCGGCTGCCTGCTCGCAGTGCGCACCCCGCGCCATCTCCTGCCCAGCGCTTGATCCGCGCGCAGTGACAGGGATGATGGGTCCGAGGACAAACACGTCGGTGCTTGCGCTTGCAGCGCCAAGCAAGCAAAGAGCGCAAGCACCGACTGTGTCGCCCATGCCTTGTCGGAGCATTCATGGCGTGCCGTGTCAGCGAGCTAGATGCATAGTCGACCCGAACATGGAAGGGGAAAAAAGACTGACCATCGAGGCTTGCCAGACCGATCACTAAATAATGTCAAGCGCGCCCTGCACGAGCTTTCATTCAGCATGGGCCGCCAGCCGAGCTAAGCAAGGCAGGAGATCAAAGTGTCAGCGATGACGCAGCCAGCCAGCACGCCAGCCGAATCGAGCCCTTGCATGCTACTCCAAAGACCAAGAAGGCGCCTTGCAGCAGCGATGGGCCTATCAACAAGAGTAGCAGCGACGCATCACCCAGAGAAACCATTCGCACTCCACGCAGATTCCTCAGAGTCGGAACGGCTGCCGACCTGCACCGTCTTGGGAGCAATCGCGCCGCCGCATTGCCTGCGCGCCGACTTGTCCGGCGTGAGCACGCTTGCACTGCTGTGCGATGACGCGACGCAACATGACGTGGTGCCGCTGCCGTCGGTAGCCACGGTACAGTTGGTACTCGAGCGCCAAGTGCAGTTCGGATACATCAAGTACGGGCATAGGTCGCGGCGGGCGCCTTGGCGAGCGGGTGACGCTGTGAACACGCGCACGGCCGTAGAGTTCTCGTTCGAGCATAGGACTTGGCGGGACGGAAAATTCCGTCTCCCGCTGGATCACGTCAAGTCCAGGAATCCTGAATCGTACACTGGAGGTATCTGTGGGGTTTCGGGATTTCGGAAAGGGAACGGGTCATGGGGGAAGCAGGATCCCGGGAATCCCGAATGAGAACGCTACCAGGGGCCTCCCTTCATCATGCCTGCACTCTGCCATCAAGCCACTCTTGTCGACTACACCTTGACCTGTGCTTGTGTGCATGGTGCCTTTCGTCCATCGCTCACGGTTTCGTCCCTTTGCGCTCAGAGCCTTCTGCCCTCTTCTGGCATGCAGACGCTCGGAAGGCCGTAGCTAAAAGCCACTCCGTTTCTTGCCGAGCTCGAGAGATATCGCCAGCACGGGCATCGACAAAAAGTTGCTGGGCGCCTTCTCGACCAAGGACCCGAACAGCGCGGTGCTTGTCACCCACAAGATCTCCTTGGACATTCAGATCGGTGCCCACGTGCCGCTCGTATCGTGCTAGGTGCTGTACGGTTCCGCGGCACCAAGGGTGAATTCGAGATGTCTTGCTTCAATGAACGTCTGAGGCGGCGCTTGCAAGCGCTGACGACCTCTAGCCCCTCATTCCGTGAAACTTATTGCTGACGCAAAAATCAGACGGCGGAGAATGCACATGCGCTTGCGACAGCAGAAAAAGGAGTTGGGTATGCTCGCTCTATTTTCCACCGTTCCCTCCCTGATTTCATGAGTCCGTCGCGTCTCCCAGATGCTGCAAGGCGGAGACTTTGAAAATACAAATGGAACCGGAGGAAAGTCGATCTACGACGAAACTTGTGCCGATCTTCAGCCACGCGCGTTTGTTCCCCAAGCAAGTGCACATGCGCATCCGCATCCGCTGCACTCCACCGTGCCATGTGCTCTCCGCCATGTTGCACAAATTCAAAGACGAGAAATTCCAGATGAAGTATACGGGCGCGGGAACATTTTCAATGGCCAATGCCGGCCCCCATAGGAACAATAGCCAAACTCTTCATCTGTACCGCAGCGACACCGTGGGCGGGTACAGCAACGCGTCGCGGTCACGATCCTTCCTCAGTTCTCGTACGAAGCGGCGCTGACTCCGGATGCACAGCCCTCGCAACTCCTATTCATTCTTTGTTGTCTTCCGACGTCCACCATTTCCCCAGCTCAACGGTAAGCACGTCGTCTTTGGCCGTGCCATGGACGGCACGCAGTTCGTGTGGCAGATCGAGGGCATCGAAACCGGCGCAGGGGAGCGGGCGCTGGCCACTGGCTAAATTCAAGGTTGCCACGTCCGGAAGACCTACCGGCTGATGCCACTCGCTTTGGCATGTTATCAGGCTCGTATAAGGAGGGGTTTGGAGTTTAATCTATATCAATGTCGTCTGCGCCTTCATCGCATCATCCAATATAGTGCCAATTTTTTTGTTGGCGACTGCGCCTCCGCAGTTGGCGTTTCATGCTTGATAACCGCCGCTCATAGCCATTCGCCCTATTTTATTTTATTTTGGCTGTCGTGCATGTTGAAGATGAGATGCAAGGCGTATGCAAGGGTGAGTACCGCAGTTGTCGTTCGGCTTCGGGTGAACGACAACGGATGGACATGTCTTCGAAGCTCATCGAAATCTTGAGGAACCCCGCAACGTACATGCGAATTGGTTGAGACGCCTTTACGCGAAATTGAGCGGTACGCTCTCTCAGCCCGGCGTCCCCCCCCCCCCACGACCCTGCCATTGATGTGCTTTTCCTTTGACCACTTCGTCGCATCATCTCGTCGTTCAGGGAAACTGTGCGATTTCATCGGCGTCTGTTTGATGCACATGGCATGCCCATTCAGGTCCCGATAACGACGAATTTCGAAAAAGCTTCACCCGCGACCGTGCTATAAAAGCTGTTCGAAGCGAGTCGCCGTTGCCTTCGGCCAAGCTCAAACCCTCACTGACATCAACGGCAGATTGAGTAATTGACAACGCTCGCCTGAGGACGTTGACTGCAATATATAGTCCTACTTCCATATCTGACCCTTCTTTGGAAAAGACATCCCCCTCTCTCCAGGCCAAAAAACAGAAGCGCTGGAGCCAGCAGCAGCATTCAAACTGCCTCGAGGGCGTCGCCGTTGCCGATACCGTCACTTCAGCGCTCATACTACCGCATAGCGCCTTTGCACTGCGCATGAACTCACAGTGCGGCGTTGTTCCCGCTTTCATGCCGACCATGACGTCCGCGGGCGATACCGAGGGCTCGTCCACAGCAGAGAGAGCGTCCAGCGGTAGCAGCACCGACAGCAACCTCAGCATGCATTCTTTGACCGGCGTCACGATTCTGGCCAACGACGATGGCATCACACACCCTGGGCCGTCGAACTCCACGAGAGTTCACGATGAGGTCAATGCAGCAGCTGCTGCAGCACCTCGCACGGATGCGAATGACGTAGCGCACAACAACGCTTCCGCATCAGCACAAGCACAAGCATCTAACAGCAACAACACTTCGTCTTCGAATCGCAAGGAAGCGCCATCGAGTCCGCAAGCGCAGCCCGCACCGCCCCCTCAATTGACAGTCGATCCAAATGCTGGCCTAATCATCGTTTCCAATCGTCTGCCGGTGACGATCAAGGCGGATCCGAAAGCGCCGGGCGGCTACACATTCAGCCTGTCCTCCGGCGGCTTGGTCAGTGCGTTGAGCGGCTGCAAGAAACAACTCAGCTTCACTTGGATCGGGTGGCCAGGCCTGAGCGTCAACTCGCGTGAAGACGAAGAGTACATTGAGCGCCGCCTGAAGGACGAGTATAGCTGCACGCCCGTGTGGCTAAGCGACGAGATCGCCGATCGGCATTACAACGGCTTCAGTAACTCTATCCTCTGGCCTCTCTTCCATTACCACCCGGGAGAGATGAGTTTCGACGAGCTCAACTGGCTGGCATATCGCGAGGCAAACCTCATGTTTGCGGAAAAAGTACGCAGCGTCGTCAAGGAGGGCGACATGGTCTGGGTGCAGGACTACCACCTGATGCTGCTGCCGCTGATGCTGCGCACACTCGTCGAGGGAAGTGGACTCCAAGGCCGCACGAGTCAGCGTGAGCTGGAGCATGTCCGCCGCGGCGTCGACGGGACCAGCAGGCTGGAGAAGAGCGAGGCGCTCGCTGCCCCCGACGGGAGCGTGTACAGCACGTGCCCGAACATCAGCCGCGCTGCTAGCGCAGGCAGGCGCAGCAGCAGCCGCTCGAGACCTACTTCGACAATTTATGCTAGGGGTCATGTGACAACGGAGGAGGAGGGTGCAGACGAAAGATTCACAGCAAGAGAACCCGCCGCACAGACACAAACAGAGGCCGAGGCACCAGGGTGGAGGGAGACAAGTGCCGAAATAGGACCAGGGGTCGATACAGAGGCCCACGACCAGCATCGAACGCGCGAAGCAGAGGAATTTTATCAGCGCAGTGCGAGAGATGAAGTGCGGAGAGGAGAAGGAAGGGGCACAAGCGATGGTGCCAGCGCTCGAGGCAGCATCAAGATTGGCTTCTTTTTGCATACACCATTTCCTAGCAGTGAGATCTACCGGTGAGTGACGCGGCACCGCTTACCCTTCTGCGGCGGACAGCGGTTGATTCAGCCACTCGCACACGCTTGCCATACAGGATCCTGCCGGTCCGTCGCGAGATCCTTCTGGGTATCCTGCACTCGGATCTGATCGGCTTCCACACGTACGACTACGCGCGCCATTTTCTCTCCTCCTGCACGCGTATCCTCGGTCTACCGACGATGCCGAACGGTGCCGAATTCGAGGGCCGCTACGTGCACGTCGGCGCGTACCCGATCGGCATCGAGCCTAGCCAGTTTCATGAAGGCCTGGCGAAGGCATCGGTTAAGGAACGCATCGCCGTGCTCAAGAGGCGCTTCGAAGGCGTAAAGATCATCGTCGGCGTCGATCGGCTTGACTACATCAAGGGTGTGCCGCAAAAGCTGCTTGGGCTGGAAACGTTCTTGCAGGAGCATCCCGAATGGGTCGGCAAGGTCAGCCGTATTGAGATGTTCCCACTGGGCGGGTCGAGTGTGCTAACATTTCTCAATGCTTGTCTACATGCCATTACAGGTTGTCTTAATTCAAGTGGCAGTGCCGTCACGACAAGACGTAGAAGAGTACCAGAATCTCCGCGCAAGCGTTAACGAGACAGTCGGACGCCTGAATGGGCATTTTGGCACGGTCGAGAGCATGCCGATCCATTTTTTGCACCGCTCCGTCTCGTTCGACGAGCTCTGCGCTCTGTACGCCGTCGGCGACGCTTGCCTCGTCACCAGTACCCGCGACGGCATGAATCTGGTGAGTACGAACAAATTCCTTAAGAACGCATCTGCAGTTGCGGAAGCCGTATGCTGATATTAGAACATGCCTTGCGCTTCCGGCTGCCAGGTGTCTTACGAGTACATCGCAAGTCAGAATGCAGGCAAAGGCGTGATGATTCTCTCCGAGTTTGCAGGTGCCGCCCAGTCGCTCAACGGCTCGCTAATCATCAACCCATGGGACAAGTTCGCCGTTGCTGACGCGATCCACGAGGCGCTCACAATGCCGCTAGAGCTGCGCACGTCCAACTTTGAAAAGCTTCGGCGGTACGTCAACAAGCATACCAGCGCCTGGTGGGGGATCAGCTTTGTGAACGAGTAAGTTTCCCATCGTTCCCTTGGCGGATAGTTTATCTGTAGGAAATACATGCTGACCATTCCTGTCTTCTTCAGCCTCGGGCGTATCCAAGTCTCCAAGCTCAGAAGTGAAAGCCCCGTCGGCGTCCGCAGGCACAGTTCCATCAGCATGCTTCAAGTTTGAAGCAACCGGCGCTGCGGTGTCAACCTCATTCGACGGACCTCAACAGTAGGAGTTTGGCTCTGCGACAAAGACTACCAGTCCATCCATAGCAGGCCTTATGCCCAACGTGCATGTGTACAAAACTTTGTCATCTATCTAGAGTGACGTATGTCATTTGGAACAGTGTCCAGCTCAACACAGTCAAGCCAGAATGTGGAAGGAAAATACTGGGATGGTACAATAAGTAGGGCGGGCGTTGGACGCGGGCCAGCTAGTTACCACTGCTCCCACTTGTCCCTGTGCCGCTCGCTACCGAATTGGGCGAACTCATTAGCCGGCTGAAGAACAAATAAGCCAGCAGCGCGATTGCCAAGGCAAGCTTCCGCCGCCAGCTGGCAAAGCTACCCACTGCAACAGGCGCGGCTATTTGCTGCTGTACTTGTGCTTGTGCTTGCGTTTGCGCTTGTGATCGTGGCAGATGATGCCTCTGGCGGTGGTCGCTGTCATTGGAATTGGAAGATGCGGATGGCTTGCGCTGTGTGTGTAATGCAGACGATTCCATCATCATGACGCCTGAAGCAGCAGACGCAGACGACGATGCACTGTCAGCTGCAAGTTGCGCCAGTCCCTTGCTCCTGCTGACCTTCCTGCTGCTCTCTGGCTCTGCCCCGGCCGCTGCTGCACCCTTGTCGGCAGGCGGGGCGGCTGGGGGTGCTGGCCTCTGGCCCATGTTCGGCAAATCTTTAATTGTTGCGTCACTGAAATCTGGGAAAAGGGCTCTGAACTTCTTCTGTTTGATGTTCCACTCGTGCGATTGACGCGCGAACTGCTGACGGTCCGCATGCGAGGCGCTGACGCTACCTGTAGTCATCTCGTCCGCACACATGAAGGAGAGGAGGCCAACAAGGCTGCAAAGCATACTGAGTCAGCCGTTGCCCTACGGTCAAGTTTAGACTCAAGAATGTCCTGCTCACATGTTTGCGACGCTCCAGCTTGGATTCCAGCTGCCAGGGTGGAAATCGCTCATCGAGGTGCAGATCTTGGTGTCAGGCTTGAAGCGTCCGCTCGGGGTGGACATTTTGATGCCTCTACATCGAAGCCAGTATTTCAGCGTGTGTTCCAAAGCAATTACAGAGGCAGAGGCAAAACACATGACTTACGGAGGTTTAAATGGGTAGTCAGAGGGAAAGCTAAGCTGTCCCCAGAATTCGCCGCCATCGTAAGGGCTGTCTGGAGGGCCTCGCAGAATAAAATGCCTGTATATTATATGCAAAAGGGTTCAAACTCAAGGTCTAGAATGGTGTCTGCTTAGCGGATGCTCACCACTCCAGCACATTGTCTTCCCTCGGACGAGCATAGCAGTATGGCGGAGGGTCCTTTTCCATGATCTGCTGCTCTTTTCCGAGCTGCCCATGGCAGAAATTGGAAGTGGATAAAGACAACAGACCAAAATGATAGTGCAGTCAGATATCAAGCATCGGGACATGCAGCACCATTTGTGAGAGATGATACGCAAAGAGTCAAGAACGTTGTTAGCAACATCAACGTCATCTTGCGCAGCAGTTGTAGCCTTGCAGCTTCCTCGACTCACGCGTTTTGATGCAGCTTTCGTCGCCATCTTCGCTGGAACTCTGTATGTGCTCCCTCTAGCAGCGTGTACGTATATCCTGGCTTGCACTGGCAAGTGTACAAAGGCGCCGAGTGTAATGCATCAAAGGATGTGATGGTCATTAGAGTTAGCCATGAGCAGGAGATACTGAAACTGATGGGACTCGATTGTGACCATGTGACTATAGGTGGGGTGGACCAAGGGCATGATGGTCACGTGACTGGCTCCTCGTAGGGCGGTTACCTGAAGCGCGTCACCACTGCGACATCAACATGCACTTGTTTTCCTCCTCCCCACTTTCCTAACCACAAACTCCTAGCCTTGGATTCGACTGGTGGGACAATCTATCTGCTCTATCTAGCAAAACTTACAGACATAGTGCCTTCTGGCTTTTAATTTACGCACAAGCACGCTGCAAGCCCAACATGTCGGCGCTCGCCCACAAACGCGCGCGCGGAGCATCTAGCTCGATGGACAAGGAGAACTACGCGCCCTCGTCGTCCACGATGAACAAGCGCGCATTTGGCATCTCTAGCAGCTCCGTTGTGGGTGAGGGGAGCTCGCGCGGGCGCAAAGCTGCCAAGTATGCCCAATCGGACGAAGAAGAGGGAGAGCGCAGTGAAGCACACGTCGAGCGGTCTCAGCCAAAGGAGAGAAAGCGCATCGCTAGCAATGGCAGCGTCACTGCGAGCAAAAGGGCGGGTGCAGCACATGAACAAAAGGGGTTATCTGACGCGTGCGCGAAGCTTGAATCGGAAGATTTGGATGAAGAAGTGGCTCCTCAGGCTGCTTCACGAGGCCAGGAGCGAACGATGCGAGAGATTGCATTGCAAGAGAAAGTCGACAAAGTAAGTGGAGGTTAAGATGCACATGTTGGGACCACTAGTGGACACACCTGCTTATTGTACCCAAAATTCCCTGGTTGCAAAGCTCTCAAACGAACGCGACTTGGTCCAGGGGGAGCTTGACCAGCTGCGCGAGCTTCGGCACACCCAAGCCGAAAAGCAGTTTGCAGAGCTGAAACGCGCCAGCGAACAACGACGCAAAGGTGAGCTTCACAAACAATCAACGCTCTCCACATCTTCCTCCCAGGATGGCCGCTGATGAGTCCGCCATATATTCACTGCGCACGCAGACATGCAGGAGAAATACTCAGCGCTGCAAGCCCAGATTGCAGCACTCGAGCGCATGAATGCATCCTCCGCTCAGTCGCTGGCTGTGTCAGTAGCCTCTACTTCAGCTGCAACGCCGCGTGCAGATGATACCGAAACAGTCGTCGAGTTGGAAGCTGAGCTGGCGCGCGAAAGGAGCGAGCGTCGCAAGATGCAGGAGGACTGTGGGTTCTTCTGCGTTCTGTTCGCGTTTGGACGGGCTGACGAGACAAGAGGAACTGACATGAAATACTTCGTCCATCTATGCTCCAGTCCAACGCCTGCAGCGCGAATACGAAGCCGAAATCGCCTCATCGAAAGCGCTTCTCTCCGCAGCGATGCCACATTGTTCTAGCGCAGCCAGCAAGCCCACCAACCCACGCGATGTCAAGTCGGCAACCGCGGCTGCTGGCGCTGGGGTCGGTTTGGCAGAGGAGGAAAAGGCAATCCGCAGGCTGTACGAGGACTTGACGGGCATGGTCATTCGCTCGGTCGAGCGCCAGGACGATAGCGGGGACTTTAAGACATTCAATGGCATCTTTGCCAGCCAGGGCTACTATGGTGCGTTCAGGACCCACATTACGCCACTGTTCATTGTGTGAACTGATCCGCCATGGCATATTTCTATCATCCCTTTATTGCTCTACAGACGTACAATTCTCCATCGAAGAATCCGAGTCGGAGCACTCGACAAGCTCGGGGCGGCTACGCAAGCGCCAGGACCTCGTCTTCGTCACGAGCCTGGACCAAGACCGAGACGCGGACCTGCTCAACGATGTGCACGTACCTTCGTACCTCAAAGACGTCATTCGGTTCGAACGCGCATCCGGCCCCAAGTTTGTGGGCGCATTCCTCAAGGGCATGAAACATCCCGGCGAACGCTGAGTTCACTGTCAGTAGTAGCGCCCTCTATATATACCTTAGGTCTGCGCACACCCTCACCGAGCGTTATGCGCGTGCTTGTTGTACATTAGACATTGCAAAGCTACTTCAAAGCTGCACCTTAGCGCTGCTTCGCTACACTACAACAGATTGTGAATCTAATAAAGCTGCGCCACAGCCATCAGCGCGGCGCGCCCTGCGTGCATGCATTCGCGTTGAGCTTGGTGGACTTGAAGGTGTTGATGAGCTGCTGAATGGGTACGCCGGCATGGTCGACACCAACCTCCAGATGACCCTCTTTGGCGGCTGTGATAGCATCCCTGTCTTCCTTCCTCGCCGCTGCTGCGTTGCGCGTCGCACTACCATCATCATCCTCGTCGTCATCCTCGTCATCTTCATCGTCATCGTAGAACGTGTTCCCGAGCCTCTGCTGGCGAAAAAAGATCTCATCGCGCTCGCTGCGCTTGGCCTCTGGATCCCAGAAGCGATGGCGCGTGGTCTTGACCCCATACGCAGTCGGGCTGCACTCGATCAGTTCGCCCTCGTGCACCTCGATGTACGGTATCTCGTGCGGCTTGAGGCCCTGCAGGTACGCGAGCAAGCAGCGCAGCACGGACGACTGCGCGACGATCAGGATGTCGTTCGTCGCGCGCTCCAGCTCAAAGATCACCGGCTCAATGCGCACGGACAGGTCGTGGTAGCTCTCCGCGCGTGGGAAGCGGTGGGAGTAGGGCTGTAGGATGAGAGAGCGGAAAGAAGCTCGTCATAAGTCCGTCTATCGCCCGCGCCACAGTGCCCTTTGGAAAACTAGATTGCTCACCTCTTGAAATTTCTTCTCCCATTCATCCGGATAGCGCTGCTTGATCTCCTCAGCCGTCATGCCATCTACGACACCAGGATTGAGCTCGCTGAGCTGACTGCGCTCGACGACTTTGTATCCCCTCTCTGCAAAGAACGCGCACGTGTGCGCTGCGCGTTTCCTCGGGCTGGTCCACACTTCCAAGATGCGCCCTTCCTCTCCAGGCCCGTGTCCAGGCACATGGCCGCCAGGCGTGATATCGCCACCAGCTGCGCGCTCGATCGCGGACTCGGCCGCATTACGCCGCAGCGCCGAAGCGAAATTCGTAAGTTCCTCTGCGTAGTCCCATCCTAAGCTGCTCAGGTCCGCGTCGGCCTTGTACAGGTGCTCAACCAGCGCTTCGCCCGCGCGCACAAGGTAGATAGTCCGCCCGCGGTTGTGCACGTTCATGAGGAAGAAGCAGATACGCGACTGCAGGTAGCCCTGGATGTTGTTGACGACGATCCGCTGGCCGACATTGATGAGCTTAATGTAAGGGAAACTGGGGTTCTCGATCGTCTCATACTCTTTTTCATGGTCCTCGATCCGCTTGTAGAAGTCCTGCACTGCTTTCTCCTGGTCCCAGCCGAAATAATCGGGTGAGGAGATCTTGACGGCGCGCACGTTTGCTTCGATGATGGCAGGGTCATTGCAGATGGGTTCGAGAAACATGATAGAGATCTTGGCACCGGTCGTCGTCTCCTTCTTTCCAAATCGCTCTCGCAACGCGTACCGGCCTTTCTGCTGGCCATTGTTGGCATCGTAAATCACCACCTGACCGCCTTCCTCGTCGAAGAATTGCATGACGGTCTCATCGAAGCCCTCGAGAATTTTTAGTCGCAGAGCCTCCGTCTCGGCCGACTTTTCGCCTACGCTAAAGTAGTCGGACGGCAAGTCGCCCGGTCTGCCTAGAACCTTACGTCTATAGTCGCCAAGGGAGAAAACGCGCGTTTTGACGCCAAGCCAGCGGAGGTAGCGCTCAAGAGCGTGAGACAGGTGAGTCTTTCCGCGAGCTGCACGACATCCCCAGATCATTCGCCACAAGCATGAATCAATGCTTCGGATTAGTGATGTACACGGAAATGTCTACTCATAAAGGCGGCACGCTGACCTCACCTGGCAATCCCACCGTTGCGACGAGGATCTTGCCGCTGTGATTGCCAGCGTCAGGGGTGCACGTCGGTATTCGAACGTTAGCGTAAGTACCGCGTCGACCCCAAAAAGTCTACTCACGCATGCCAAAGTTGACCCGAGTCGGTCGCTGCAGCGGAGAGTGTTCCAAAGTACGCGTGAGTCAGGGCTGTCCGAGAGCATAATCCATCGGACACATTTACCCCATCCTGAGGCCGACCGGTAAAGACTCACTATACAGTGGCGCTGCCATCTTTGCGACGCCTCTAATGCGAGGGCTCTTTGCAGTACGATCGATCTAAAAGGTGGACTATGTAGCGCTAAACGGTGTACACGCGCTCTATGACCAATCCAAAGGTCAAGCCCTGAGCAGCTGTATGTTCATGATATGTGCGATTGGAACTCGTAACCAAAGGCATCGAGAGTGGTGAACGTGATCGACGCACGATTGTGACAAGTGGCCTTGTAGGCGAACAGGGATTTCCAGGGAATTGGGATTGCGCGGGACGAAGGTCCCAGTATCCCAAAGGGGCTATAACCGGGCAGAATAACATCGTTTCCAGGGATTCACCGCTGTGCGGGAAAATAAGGATCCCTCGGGATCCCGCCAAAGAAGTGAGGCCCCTATGCATTCGAGGGCCATATTTATCATATTTCGACTCTAGCGAGGCGCAGGGGGAGGGGAAATATGCCAGATATTGTCGTTGTCAACTGAAGTCTGCCGCTTTTAAACGGCCGAAACACTAGAAGGAAATGGCGGGATCTCCTTGGGAATGGAAATGGGATCTGATGGGATCCTACGAGAACTGGATTCTCGAGAGAACTCCCGCTAAATCCTTTGGAAGAAGGAGAGCGGAACTCGGAACACGGGTCCGAGAATTCCACAAGGGGAAGCGGACAACAAAACCAGCGTTAGAAGATGGAAGGGAGATGACTGAGTGATCCTTTTTTTTCTGACCTGCTCCTCGATGGAGAATCGACCTCTCGCACTCACCGCAGGCTCGAGAGTGCATACCGTGGAGCAACGATCAATCTCGTGACGTGAAATTGGTACAGAAGACCTCACATGACCCACCGGTCGTCAGCATGGCGATGACACCCACATTGCAGCCTGCTGGTCTCCCACCGGAAGACACGACGATCTCCGCCGCACTGGAGCACGACATGACGGCCTCATCCCCCGCTCACGCAGCCTCGACGGTGCCTACTGGTAAAGTCTTTGATCGGACGCTCACAGACAGTACCAAAGTCAACGGAGACGAGGAAGAGGTGGAAATGGATAGAGCGGCGCCACATAAGCTCAAGAGTGCGCACGGCAGTCTCGCTGACCGGTTCAAGGCCAAAATTTTCGGCAAGCACAAGCAAGTTTCAAATCAGGCTCACACCGATGCGCAAGGGATGCAGCAGCTAGCAGAGCCAGCACAGAACGATGCAGCAATGACGGCGACGACAAGCAGCCAGCTCAAGTCCACCAAAGAGCAAGAAGATTGGATGGAAGCCCAGGGACCGTTCGAAGGGCCAGAAAAACTACTCGAACTGTGGTTTGCTGAGGGTCCGGAAGAGCTTTTTTGCACTTCGACCTCTTCTCATCCGGCCAAAGCGCAGACGCAGGGACAGGGGCAACTGCGGCGCTTAGGTTTGAAAGGCGTGCCTCGCGAGCAGTGGGAGGAGATGCTTGATATCGTCAAGTGCAAGGTACTCAGCGTCATTGAGAGTGACGAGGTGGACGCATACCTGTTGTCGTAAGTCTATGCATGGTTCAGCTATTTTGTCTGGTCTTAGTTTTGCTGAATCGGATCAATATGTGGTCACAGGGAGAGTTCCATGTTTGTATTTCCACACAAGCTCATCCTCAAGACGTGCGGGACAACGACCTTGCTCCTTGGCCTCGAGCGACTGCTCGAGATCGCCTTCTCGGCCCTCTCGCCTCTGCTGCCGCACCTGACCACCAAGTTGCCTCGGCCTAAATCGGCTTCCAGGTCGGAAGAAAGCACCGGCGATCCCTCACTGCAGCGCGCACTGGGCTCCCTCGTATCCCGCTGCTTCTACAGCCGCAAGTCCTTTATGTTTCCCGAACGCCAAAAGGGCCCGCACAGGGATTGGATGACGGAGGTGGCGACGCTCGACGCCTTCTTTACCAATGGAAGCGCATACACGGTTGGCAAGATGAATGGGGACCACTGGTTGCTTTACATGGCTGCCGACCAGGCGCAAGGAGAGGCAGGCGCGCGACTACGTCTGCGCCCACCACCGCCTGTCGCGCTTACGCAAGGGATGCAACAGGGTCACGCGAAGCAAGCAGTGCAGGACCAGACACTCGAAATTCTCATGACATCACTGTCACCGGCTTCCTGCGCGCGCTACTACTTTGCCGATGACTCTTCCGCTGCCTCAGGCGGTGACGCTGCAGACGTTGCAGGGCTAGAAACTTCGACGCAGACAACAACGACGAGCAAAGGCCAGCGTCTGGGCGTCGCACTCGCCTCCCAGCTCGGTCTCACGAACTTGTTCGCGGAGACGCATGTTGACGCATTCGCTTTCGAGCCGTGTGGCTTTAGTGCCAATGCAGTTGTCCTCAACCCCAACAGCAGTAATATTAGCGGCAACGGTGCTGAGGGACGCATGGATGGATACTGGACGATCCACATCACGCCGGAAGAAGGGAGCAGTTACGCATCATTCGAGACGAATGTTGTGCCCACGACTTCGTCGACATCTGGCGCTCTGACTAATGCTGCTGCCGATGAACGGCCACAGGACCTGACGTCCCTCATTAACCACGTCATCTCCACCTTTGAGCCGGGGAAGATGAGTATCACCTTGTTCGTCAGCAACGAGATGCACGCCGAGCGTGAGGTGGGTGAAGCAGACGCAGAAGAGCGAACCGCCGATGCTGCTGCCGCAGCATGGCAAGGCAACTCATCCGTCCTTCACAAACTGCAAATCAAAGGATATCAAAGGACCGATCGCATTGCGTACGAATTCGAAAGGTACGATCTCGTCTTTGTCAGCTTTGAGAAGGTCGTCGGCTAGATGTGTCCAACCTGGAACAATGGGCAAATTAGAATATAACGACCGACGAGCCACAGAGCAACCAAAAAGGCGCAATGCGCTCCATCACTTGTGTTGTGCATGGCGCATTCCCAAAGGACCATAAAGGGCTTCCTTATCATCACTGTGTATCATAAGCATCTATGTGCAACGGCATTTATTTCACCCCCGCGGTCGAATGCCATTCGTCGAAAACCACCCGGGAGAGTCCATAACATCTGACTGCATCGTGGTCTCACGATGGTACATCGAAGTCCAAGACATGCATACATACGTGCCTATCCTACTCTGCTACCAAAGCAAGCTGTCGATCATGCTTCTTCCTTGCCGCGGCATCTGCAAGGAATTGACACCATCAGCAAGTGAATTTTCCAATTGGAAAGTCATTCGAGTTGGAACAAGCAGAGAGGAGGGCAATGCTCACATTGTGTGGAAATGATTGTTGATGTCATCCAGCCCGTCTCGGGCCATAAGTCGGACATGCGCTTGTAGATGTTCTTGCGGCCTTGGATCTCGCTGCATGTCTCCGTTGACTTTTCAAGCTCGCTGTTGGACGGGAGAGTGTCAACAGAGACCAGATAAAAACGCAATAGTGCAACGGAGGATGAGAGCGAGCGTTGGCTCCCAAAGGACCTGCGTATACTCACAACTTCTCATTTTTCAGCTCGCTGGCTGCATTCTCAATCGTGACGAGCGTAAAGATCTCCTCCTTCTGCTCCTCTGAAAATTTCCACTTCTTTTGCGGCTCCGCATTCTCATCGAAAGGCGGCTTGTCGCCTCCCGCTCCAGCAGCGCTGCTGCCGTCCGCTTCAACAACCTCGCCTCCCTGCCTTCCGACAGGCATGCTGGATCCATCAACGGCGACAACACAAGCAGAAGCAAGATCAGCAGCCGGCGCAACACCTGGCGACAGTGTCCCGCATTTTTCCGGCTCGCCGCGCTCGTGCCACGCTTTCAGTGCTTGGTCATATTCTGCCTTTTGAGCAGGAAAATCCTCGTTGATGAGTGCACGCAGCGACTCGAGATGCTCATTCTGAAAAGTGGTGAAGAAGCGGAGGTGCTCATTGAAAAATTCTCGTTTGGTCAGTTTCTGCGGTCGGCGACGATGTGAAAGCGTGTGACTACGTCAGCGTGAAACCATAACCAATCATTTTGTCGCTGACGACACTTACACGCATAGTGAATCGATTGTATGGAAAGATGTCTGGCAAGTGATCGAAAAAATTCTCATTGTATTCTCCGAGCTCGACGGCAAGCCTCGCAGTCTTGACGAGCGGCGGCTTGAGGTTCGGCGGGAACTTGCTCTTGACCGCAAAGCTCTCCCTCGACACAAGCACCTTGAGTTCATCGAAAGCAGCTTGTAGTAGCGGGTGGACAGGCTTCGCGTTGTACGACCTCTTGCGCAGGCCGTCCAGACTGCCCGTGACGGACGCTTTGCTGGGACTCGTGGGGGACGCTGTGGCTTCCCCTTGCGTGTTGGTCATGGCCGAGGGCTGAGGTTTCGCCACCGCGGCAGCTGAGCTCGGCACCGAAACTGCTGATGAGCCAGGCGTGGCATCGTTGCCACTATTCAGGAACGAGTCAATGTGCAAGAGCGATGCAACATTCTGCGGAGGGGCAATTGTTCTGGTCGATCCTTCCGGTGCTGCGCCCGTCCCAGCTCCGCCAACTGGAGCCGGCGTGTCGCCACTGGATGACGCAGCAGCATTGACGGTGGCGTTGGCATTGTTCTTCACGGTCGGCTCGTCCGTGATGGAAGTGGTGGTGATACCCGTATGCTGTGCACGCTGCGCAAGAAGCATGTTCGTCACGCCCGTGAACCCCGTCTTCATATCGCGGATGGCCAGAGGTTTTGACTGTGGGATGGCGCCGGCTCCCCCCACCGCACCGTCGGCGCCTGCGCCAGAGGTCGCGCCCACAGGGGCACCGGTGCTACCGACCCCGCCACTGCCGGAGATGGCAGCACCCGAGCCACCTGCATTCTTCTTTTTGCCATCCTTCGCCTTCGCCTTGAGCTTCTCGAGCTCAACTGGCCCGCTCGTGACGAAGAAAGCATCGCCGCGTGCGCGTGCAAGGACGAAGTGCGTCGGCTCGTCAATGACAAGCTCGGAGTCGTCAACAAAGGGATCTTTGACGTCGTACGCGCCGACGTCCCAGTCGTCGTCTCCGCCGCCGCCTCCCGCGCCGGCGCCGAAGCCTGTACCTTTCTTGCGCTTCTTCTTGCGCTTGCCGCTGCCGGAGCCAGTTTCACTGCCGGCATGGCCGTTGCCATAGCCTGCAACTTCGGCGCCATACTTGTACTTCTCCAGCAGCCGCGCCAGCCCGCCGAGGTCTTCCATTCCCGGTAGAGCGTTTGGATCTGCACCCGCAGCACTCGCGCTCACAAGATTGGATTGATTGACATTCGACCTGGCATCCAGAGCAGCTGCGGCAGCATTGGCAGCGGTTCGATTCCCTCCCAGCACGTGTTCCTCGAACCAGCTCGCCCAGCCAGCGGGGTCCTCCTTGGCATCTTTGGCCTTGAGACTGGCGACCATGAGCGGCGGCATGTCCATCAGGTACTCCTCCTTGCTTTTGTCAAATGCCAGCCGGAGACGTATCGTAGGCCGCGGTGGTGCTGGAGGAGGCAAGGAAACGTCGATGGATAGCGAGCGCCGTCGTCGTTTGCGGGGTTTGGGTTTTTCTTCCCCTGCACCTGTGCCGCTGGTGGTACCTTCTTTTTGTGAACCACCGGCAACAGCGTCGCCTTCAGTAGCGGTCAAAGCTAAATTGCTGGTAGTAGAAGAACCAGAGTTTACGTTGCCATCTGCGTGAGCCTTGCCCTTTGTACAAAACAGGGCATGAGATGGACTCTTGACCTTGAGAGCTTGTGACGCGCCCTGCATTTCGACGTCTGCCTCCGCGCCGGCAACTGCGCCCAGGGGCTCTGTGTGCGCCTCTGCTGCTTCAGCTGTAGCAGTAGTAGCATCTGCCATGGACACATCCCTGTCGGCATGTACGTCTCGTGTTGCACCTTCCGTCTCGCTCTCAGAACCATTTTCATTCTCTTCGTCGTCGTCCTCTTCGTCATCGACATCGTCATCCTCCTCGTCTTCTTCTTCCTCTTCATCATCGTCATCTTCTTCTTCTTCTTCTTCTTCTTCTTCTTCTTCTTCTTCTTCTTCTTCTTCTTCGTCTTCTTCTTCTTCTTCCTCTTCTTCTGCTTCTTCGTCCTTCCCCTCTTCAGCCGCCTGGCTATCTGTGGCTTCGTACTCGGCTTCTTGTGAGACACTCTGTTGACCTTCGTCGTCATCGTCATCTTCATCGTCGCCTTCCTCTTCTGAAGTCTCGCCCACTTCATTTACCCGACGTGAACCGTCGTCGGCTGCATCTTCCATGTTCACACCTTGATCCTGTTGTTGCCGTTCCTCTTGATTAACATCATCCTTTTCGCTTCGCGCAGTCTTAAACGTGGCATAGCTCTGTCGCTTAACCTGCACTCGATTCGGTTCCTGTTTTTGCTCGCTCCCGAGCTCAGGCTCGTACCTCTGCTCTCCGCTGATGGCCTGTCTCCCCGTCCGCACCTGTTCCTCTTCATGGCAGCTGCGAAGTGGAGATGGCGAGCGGGATATTCGGTGAGGCTCTTGATAAGGAGTCGAGGATCGGGATCTGGAGAGCCTGCGTTGCTGCTCTTGCTCTTGCTTTCGTTCTTCCTCTCCTTGCTGCCATTCCTCTTGTTTTCTTTGTTGCTGCTCCTGCTCCTGCTCCTTCTCCTGCTCACGCCGCCGTTGTTGTCGCTGACTTTGGCGCTGCGAGCTCGGACGCGGCTGTCGCTTGGTGGGACTGACAGACACCGGTCTTCTGTTCCCATCAGTGCCAGTGTTTGCACCGTCTTTCGTACTTTTTTGTCCAGCACGGGCATCTTCCAGCGTCCGAGCCAGCTCCATCTCCTCCCTCTGCTCCTCATTCTCATCATCGTCCTTCGCCGGCCCGGGTTGGGTGTCCGAGTCCGAGTCCTCGATGGCGATGACATCGGCTTCGCGCGACAGCACTGCCCCGCTCCCGCTGCCATTACCTCTGACACTGGTGTTTCCGGCAAGCGAAAGGCGCTGTGATCCACGACGGCCGCTCATACTGGTGATTCGGTGGTGATGGCTCCGTCTCGAGACTAGCGCGAAGGACCACCGCGTCAACGACTTGGGCGAAGCTTACCACGTGCTGGCAGCCGCGCCGTCAAGCTGCCTTTTTGCTGCCTCGATTCTTGCCGAGTTCGTAGCAGGTGCGGTCCTCCGTACGGCGACCGTGCTCATGCCGCAGGCTCTGTACCCATACGGCCTGTTGCTGCAGCTTGCAAGGGAGCACGCTCCTTTAGGGATGTGAAGTTCAACTCGAAGCCTGGACGAGTCGACTTGCCTGTGGGTCGGACAACGCGGCAGAAGAAGAGAGGGAGAGAGGGGCGACGCGACGCGACAATTCCCTGCAAGTAGGGTTACGCGAAAGCGAACGCCGCGTGAGGAGAGTGCAACACCAGCAACGAGAGTGAGAGAAGCGCATGGAGACCAAATGAGATGACGACAGTGATGAGGAGAGGTGCAAATGAATCGATGGCCATCATATATCGGAATCGTGCTGATTGAAGAGTTCGTCAGAGGCAGGTCAGGCGCAGCGAGAGCGTGGCAAGTGCTCAGCTCAATTTGTCCTCATAGAGGTCACAGTCGTGCAGAGAAAAGCTCAGGATAGGAAAAGTTGAGCGGCAGCAAACAGCCATAGATGCACAGGAAATCATATCATCGCATTCTGCGTTCGCTCATTGGGGAGGGTGAAAAAATTGAAGCTTTGCAAATGAGAAACAAGTACACGGGAAATCAGCTGTAGCTGCAAGAAGAGAGTGACAAAATGTGGATCGTGACCGGGTTCGACTTCTTTGGACAACAACGTCAGTGGCCCATTGGAAATGCAATGTAAAGCAAGAGCAACGTTGCTGACGGTCCGTTTCCTTTCTAAATATCGGTTCATTCAGGTAAGGAGGGCGAGCCAGGCGCGTTCGAGGAGCGCATCCTGCTGCCCAACAGACATTACACTCTCGGGCGCGGAAAGGACGACGGCAGCAACCATCGGCGCGAGGCGCCCGCGGAAGCCAAGGCGTTGAATTCGCAAAACCGCGCCATTTCGAAGTACGAGTGCGACTTGATCGTCGGACGCATGCCCGGAGCCACGGGCAGTCGCTTACAAATCGCTGCCGGCTCGGAAGGTGAAGGCGATGGCGGTGCCAATTCCGACGAGGACATTCCCTTTGCCATCAACGACGCCAGCCTGCCGCCGCAGTTGGAATGCAGCACGGTGCTCCGGACAAAGAATGCCAGAGGGCTGGGTCTGCATCTTTCCGAGTGTTCCGGGACGGATCCGACGGATGATACTCTGCTCGCAAGTGTTTCTCGCTCTTCTGGTGGTCCTTCCACTGATTCCTCTGCACATCGCCATCCTCAACGCAACGCAGAAGACGATGACGGGCTCCAAGACGGAAGGCCCCCGTCCCCTCCACCAGCAGCAGCTGGCGGCTCCGGCTCCGTGCTGCTACCAGGATTTCCGCCGATCCTCAATAGCAAATTGAAGCACCCGCCCGACGCGCCGCGCTTAACGTTCATCAAGAAGAATGTCGGCAAGAACTTTGCATTGCTCGAAGGCGAGCTGGCGAGAACAATTGGAAATGCGCTCGACCGCCCGGACACTTGGCCGCCCTTTGAGAACAGCAGCGATGAGACGAAGAAAGTGCCGCTTAAGGTGGATATTCGGCATGGTGACATCGTGCGGATCGGGGTCAGACATGCACTGCTGTGAGTCCTTCAAGAAACAAGCAAGTCCAACTCGCGACAGCTGAGATTGATAGGATGCCTTCCCCGCCGGCCCAGCTTTCGGTGGGAGCCGATGATCTTTGGCACGCACGTCAAATTCACAGACCCTGCACTCGGAGCGCAAGAGCAAGCCGCTCTCCGGCTCGGCCTGCGTACACTCTCGCTGCGCGGCAGAGAGTCGCCGCTCCCGCTGACGTGCTTCGTGACCCCATCGTTAAACGTTGTCCTGCACAGCAGCACGTCGCTGCCGTCAACTTTCAAGCATGCCATGTACCTCTCCATCCCCATCGTGCGATCCTCGTACCTCACCGCGTGCATGCAGTTGCTTGAGTCGCGTGACGCCGCGCCTAACACGCCATGGACTGGCTGGCCGTTGCACGAATCGTACACGCCCACACCGCCCACGCCGCACGAGCAGAACATGGAAGCACTGCTCCCGCTCGAAGGCGATGCGCCGGAGGAGCTGTCGGACCGGACAATACGCAAGCTTGCTACGTACCTCGGTATCCTCGATTGGAAGGAGCAGCAGCAGCAGGCTTCCGGTTGCGATGTCGATCATGTCAGCGATTGCCCCAAAGCTGCACAGCTCCGGCACTGCGTGCGGCAGAAGCTGCACTTGCTATGCATGGGCCATGCGAATGTCGAGAGACTCAAGGGCCTGACGGTCCTCTACGCTATGACCGCAACCGATGACGAGATTGATGCCGAGGTCAGTGATGGGACGAAGCTATTCAGGCGTATTGGCCCCGTGTATAATGCACAAGCATGCTGACCCAAAGTTTGACATCTTGAAGATTGGACATGTCGAACTCACGACGCTGCGCCTGATGGGCGCCGTCTTGCACATCAAGCTCTTCCGACCAGGATTTATGCGGAGCGAGATGGATGCCGCTATCCAAGAGATCAGCGCTGGCGCACTAAAGCGTTACATGCCATACACTCCAAGCGCTCGCGGCGACTCGAAGTCGTGGATCCCGGACAATGGCATCCTACTCGTGCTCAATGCCAAGATGAGCGAGATGGACCAGATGTGCGCGGCCGCAGCCGCGGATGCGTGCGTTCTATCGTTGACGCTCCTCAATCCCGTGGTATTGCCGCTGATTCATCATCTCACGTCTTCATCTGTGTCTTTTCCACTCGTTTGCTTGGCGCCGACAGGTCCAACATCCGAATGTACGCACCATACTTTCCGGCAGGAAGGCTCAGCGTGCTGCTCTACAGCGCTGGTATTGTCCGCAACAACATCGTGCTCGGCATGTCAGCGCGGGAAATCTTCACCCTGGACACTCCAACAAGCGCGGCTTCTCATCTAGCAGCAGCAGCAGCTGTCCCAGACTCGACAACAGCAACAGGCGCAAGGGGAAGCACGAGGAGTGACTGTGACAAGGCGCCATCACGAGCGGAGCCAGATCCGCGCTCGAGCGCGAGTCCTGCACCGGATGGACTGGCAAAAGAAGATGCGCCCAGTATGGCCGCTGCACCGCCCTCATCTACCAAACCGGTTGCAAGAAGGGTAAGTGCTCGACGTATCGGATTGCTTCTGAGGCTGGCAGCATCATTATTTGCCTTGCAAGACCCGCAGCTGAGGCTCATGTTGCTATTGCTGCTTTCATTCTGCAGAGGCTGTTGCGGACAGGAACAGCTAGTTCTACTGCATCGAAATACAATGAGCCGGCATTTTCTATGGTCGACTCGCAAGACCCTCCAAGTAATCAGCAAGCCTCCACTTCACGCTACGGCGCAGCGCATATGTCTTCTACCTCCGCCGCACGAGAGACAGGACCGGGTGCAAGCGTGCATACAGCAGCTGTGTCCGCATCCGCACCTACCGCAGCACATTCACGCGCGGCTAGCGGCCTTCGCCGCCGCCTTATCACCGGCTCAGCAGCGCAGCAGCGCATCGCTCAAGCCGCTGGCAACTCCAGCGGCACCGCATCACAGCGTGTGTCAGTCATTGACGAAGAAAATGAGCCGCGAAGTCGCAAATTCAGGCGGCAGCTCGAAGCCGAGTCGCGCGGGGATACGCTCGCGATGGACTTGGTGAGCAACGATGGCGCGCAACAAAAGCAGACTCACGGCGTGCGTGCGTCGCACACGTCTTGTCAGCGCCAGCAAATCGGACAGGACGACAGCGTGCCATGTGCGCAGCGCCGCACCCTCGTTCTTGCCACGGACCGGCAGGCAGCGCTGACAGACAGAGAACAGGCTAGCGCCGAAGATGGACATGCGGGCGTCCAGCAGTCGCGGCAGAGCAAGGCGCAATTCTCGAAGGCCATCGAAGCTGCTAGAAAAGAAGTGGTCGAACAGACCTCAGCCTTCGACATGGAGATCATCACTGGCGTCACCAAGACGCAAGGCGGCAGGGGTACTCTTACAAAGTCACGCATCGTAAAAAAGAAGCAGGAGCAACACGTTAATACTGGGATCGACGAGCTCGAGATTGATTTGCAGGCATGGCGTGCGTTGGATCCTGAGACACTCAGGAATGAGCCCAAAGACAGCTGGGTGCAAGTCACCCAGATCCCAATGATTCGCACGGATCGTCGCCGCTCGCAACGGCCGCTTACTGCACGGTACGATCCCAGTATCCCAGACTTCAAGAAGTTCAGAAGAGTAAGCCTTGTCTGAGCTAGTGTCCACAAAGAACAGCAAAAGACGCTGACTGGCCCTGTGATTGACTCAGATATCAACCCAACAATACCGACGCCCGCCGGTTGCTCTGGAACTTCCAGAGGCGAATGACTATGGTTTGGGAGAAGGTGAGTACAAGGCACACCCAGGTACTTTGGTACAGCCACTCGCGAACTGACGGCATGTCCTTGTCCTAGCTTACTACAGACGCGCCGAGCCTACTGGTGGTGACTTTCAGATGACGGCTGAGTCTGGCACGCAGGGACGAGGGGCCTCCGCCATGCAGAAGCAGAACCCCAAAGGTCGTCTGGTCCTCAATGATTCCGAATCAGGTAGCGATACCGAAATGGCGCCTCCGCCTCCCTCGTGCAAGCGCGGCGAAGTAGCTAGTATCACAAAATCGCCGGCTGAATTGGCTGCCACCAAGCGGCAGTGCTTAGGATCTGTTTTGTCGAACGACACGGACGGTGACAATACTTCGACATGCAGCAGGTCCCTCGCGCCAGCACGTGTAGAAGACGCGGTCGGGCTTGGCGCATGCGGAGGCAGCAACAATGGTAAAAGCACGCTGAGGGGTCAGTCAGTCAGTGAAACGATGGAGAGTGCAAGGTCCTCGGCCAGCTGCGGCATCATAAGACGTCATGCTGCTGCCGCTAGCGCAATCAACGCAATCGATTCCGATTCTGATGGTGAAACATTCAAGTTCTCTACGACCAGATCCAGGATCAGACCTGGCGCAACTGGATCAAGCTCCAGAACTAGGGCCGGAAGGCGTTGAACTTAATTTAGGATTTCGCTGGCTCACTGCGCTGTATTTTTTACACAGTTTGTAACATTCGTTGTGATCGAGTTCCGCATCGCCCGCCCAACGAAGACGGTCATGAGAAGGACCATCTCAGAACAGTGTTGCGGGAAGCTGTGCACGCTTAATACCTGTCAATTTTTCGATTTGATCGGAGGCGTCCAGCAATGGCTGAGGGCTCAGCGTAGCCTCTTGATGTGTAATGATGCTATCCGCGAGCTGAGCTAGGTCTCTCACGGATTCGAGTAAGCCGGCACTAAGGCAGAAGGTCAGGATGAAATGTTAAAGTCACTTGGCTAGCGCCGGCTCCTTGCTGACGGCCTCGCACTCACCACCAGAAGACCTCCCTGTGAGCAGACTTGCATGCATTTCTAAGCAAAGCTTTGCTTCGGAAGCGGGCCTCGTTCGCCTTATCATGCAGCTTCGCTGTGAGTTGCTCCATCATGAGCTGCAAGAGAGAAGTGTTCTATCAGCCCGCATTCGCCACTCGGGATCCAGCGTTGCTCTAACACTCACGAGTATAAGCTGGTTCATTTTGTCCTGCAGTTCTCTTAACGTTGGTAGATTGGAGCTTGCGGTGTCAACGGTGTCCTTGCCAGCGGCTAGGAGTTTGTGGAACTTCCTGCGGCGAGCCCGAGCCGTAACCAAGGCTGCTGAAATGCTTGTGTCCAGTTCTTCTGGCGCTTCGGAGTTAGCCGGATGACCATGCGAGCGACGAGTTGGAGGACCACCGGGCGAGCGCATCCGCCTAGGAGAAGTGAATTGCACTGGCACGTGAAGCGACATCGGAGCATCAGGCAACATATGTACAGCATCGTTGGCTCGCTTCAGCTCGTGATCACTTGCCGCGCTAGTGTCGACTTGGATTCTGCCAGCGCAGGCAGCCCTCACGGAGTCCACAATTGGAGTCTTTTCGTGGTGTGAAGCGGCCGAAGTGATATTGAGACCACTGTCGCTACCAATGCCCGCTTTGCTCCCAAGCAGCTTGTTCTGGGAAATGTCGTCCAGTTGCGCTCGGATTGTGGATGAAGTTCTCGTATGTAGGTCACCGACAGCCGACACCTCACTATGCAATGAAGGAGATACCTCGTCTGCAACAGCGTGAACGGCTGGGATGCGTGACGTTGTGGTAACAGACGGAAGGCTGCTTGAATCACGCTTTCGAGCCGCATGTGCGGGAAATAGAGCCTTCCTTTCGACCATTTCCTGAGTGCTCTTGGTGAGAGTGACGGCCAGCTGCTGATGTTGCTCACTTTCAACAAAAACTTGCTGAGAATGCTGAATCGAAGGAGGAAGTTCTACACCGGAACGGAGCGCCTCTTGTTCATCTTCAACCTGGCTGTTCTCTACTATCTCTTCTTCTTCGTCCCTTGGCGCCGCGCGCGAAGTCTCACTCTTCCATTTATCTTCAAAGGGTTCCCCGGCAGTGCCCATCTCAGGTATGTGGCTAAAGCGTGTTCGTTGGAGAGCTTGATGTGTTGCGGTCATCCACGAAGCTGTGACATTTTTGAACCCTTTCTTGGACGCCTTTTGCGTGTCGCTAGTGATACTGTCTCTTTCACGCGGCTGAGGCTCTGGCGGGGACTTCTGCGGTTCTGCAAGCAGCTCAAGTGTCACAGAGCCGGCAAGATCGCCCTTCTCTTCCTCCACATTGGGGTTGCTCGGCACAACTCCTCGCAGGGGATCGAAGGCACCAGATTTGTCGGGCTTGGCGTCGAAGGTTGAGCCTCTGGGGGACGAACCCGTACTAGTCCGAGCATCTCCTCTCGCTTGCGTGTTGTCGGCGCGAGGAAGTTCGGCATCTCGCTGTAGCTGAGCAGTGCTCACTCTAGTTGTAGTGATCTTATGTGGTTCTCTTGCCTCCCAACCATTCTTGCGCTTCATGCTAAACTGCGTCGACTTTGTAGCGCTTACTCGTGGCTCGTCACACGCCTTCGCCTTTTTTGAAGACATCTTCTTGCTGCCGACTTTTGCTTTTCTTTTCCTCGAAGTAGCAGTTGGCAAGTCTTCATGGTCAACGTCGTCCTCATCCTCCTTATCCGATGAACAGTCCACTCTTTTATCCCGAGCTGAGGCTTGATGCGACCGCCTGTGTGAACGTTCGAAAGTGTTTCTAACCTGTATGCGTGGTGCTGTAGCTTCTTTGAGGGATGGCTGCCTCGTCAGCGTCTGTTCAAGTACAGTCTCTTTCTTAGCTTCGGGAGTTGTTTTCGCTTCGGATTCTTCACTGTTGGTAACAGCATCGGCTGCTTTGCGATTTCGCATGCCCATGAGCATTTCTTTCGCCGGCTGTTGAATTTCGTGAGCTGATGCAGTGCTTAAGGAGGAACTGGAGTTGTCGTGAAAAGGCTCGTCATTAGCGCTGCCTCTCGTAGACAGGGTTGCATTCATCGGCTCGGTAGCTGTGTTTCGACTCCTAGCTGCTTCTGTAGACTCCTTGACCCCATGCTTGCGAGCCACACGCCGGCTGCGGCGCACAGGATCCGATGGAGGGGCAGGCCGTTTGACCGCCTTGTTCTGTCCTTTGATTGGTACTGAGGGGTCATTCTTCGCGGTCGGAATGTTTCGAACCGTCGCAGAAGTTTGCGAGGCGGTTTTGCCGGGCTTTGCTTGCAGATATTTTTCCGGGCCTTGATGAATTTTCTCAACTGAATCACAGTCTTTACCAATGTCGCCAGCATGAGTGCCTTTTTCTCCGTCGTCTTGTGGCCAGAAGCTCTCCATTTCGCACAGAGGATCAGCTGCGGCCAGCTCAGATAGGGTCGCGTTCTTTGAATGTGATTGACTGGCTTTGGGCGCACCATCAGCTGGTGCTTGGGCTGCATCGCAAAGCTGCCTCTCCGATCTCAAGGTCTCGTCGTTCATTTGTGACAGGTGCTGCATCTTTTGAGTGCGCCTCTGGATCTGGCTCGGGCACGAGGCGTGCGACACCGGCGGTGAAGCTGTGATGTTGGCGCTCTCAAGAGCTTCATGTTGTTGAGCGGATCCTTCGCCATTCATGGGTAAAATAACAGAGCAATCGCCCCGGTCCGAAACATCGATGCTAGGAGCGATGGCGCCCTTGCGCTTGCGCAAAGCTGGCGGCTGCTTTGTGAGTTTGGATAGCAAATCGGTAGGCAGATGCGTCGGTCTTGCAGTCCTCTGCACTACTTTGTCCTGTTGGTTGCAACGGGTAAGGGCAAAGCCAAGCTTACGGCGATCCTCTTTACTTTTCACGGTGAGCTCAATTGCAGGACCCAGCTTTCTGACGATCTGACTTTCGAACCACGGCTGCATCCGAGTCTTTGGGCTGCATTTGATGCGCACCACCTCTCGCTGCCCGTCAGCGCCTAATTCAATCGCGTCGATGTTCTTCCATTCCATGGAGAGAATAGAAAGCTTTCCTTGCAGGATGATGCTCAGCTCCAGCCCAACATGCTGAATCCATAGTATCATTGGCGGTCCGTGGCTGCTGAGTGGCTTCTCTTGTTGTTGGTGTCGCACTTGCAAGACTGTCACAGGCACTGGACGTCTGCTGGAGATCGCCTCGAGGCTGGTGCTCAGATCGAGGACTGCCGGTGCCAGCTGGCTTGCAGCGCTCCTTTCGATTCCCAAGACCGCCTGAATGCAAGCACGCTTCATCTGCTCTTTCGTATTGTGGCTGATAGCTGCAAAGTTGTCCCATACTTCGTTCACATTGCCCGTTGCGATGATGTCGTCAGCTGCGGCTTGCATGATCCCTTGGAAGAACCCCAGCGTGAATGTAAAGGTCGGTTGCGACAAGAAGGAGAACATATCTTCGTAGAAGCAACGAATCATCCGTTCGCTACCGTGCTCTGGGCGCAATAGGTGGCAGATCCAAAGAAGGTCTTGCATGCCGCGAAGGCCATGAGATGAAGCCAATACTCTCCCCAAGGCATCGCTGTCGAAAGAGAATATAGATGTTGTCAGCGCAAGGGAAGCGTAAGAACGAGGCGCGAAAGGGAACACACATTCGTATTCCAGATCTGATTCTGTCACAAAGGCTCTTGCTGCCATAGGTGTCCGCCAGGTCTGCAAGAGCCATGCAGCACTGTGACGTCACAAGCCCATGGTTCAGTCGGTGCTATTGTCGCGGATGAGGCCAGCCACTCACGCTGGAAATGCTCTTCGTCGGGATAAGCCAAGGGTATTCGGAAGCGATGACAAAGATGTTTACGAGCAGCGGGACGTAAGTTTCGAGCAATATGTCGCGATCTGTGCACACCGAAAATCTCGTCAGAAAGTGGAGCAACCGTCACAGTGCGCATACAGCCAGCCTCATCTGAAGTGAGTTGGCGATCCAAGCTCACACTTCGTCCGATGGGCTTGATTTTTCTCTTGCAAGGTATCCAGGGCATCTAGAGCGAGGTTAATGAGCACGCGGACCAGCCGATGCCACCTTTGGCACTCGCTCTGCTCTGAAGCGTCGTCAATATGAGGGCGGGTGTTAGTCGCGATACTGCTAGCATGATACAGGACGGTTAGTATTGAACACCCCAGGGCACAGACAGACGGCAAAGGCATATAAATGCTTACTTCCGCATTATCGGCTTCAGATTAGTGACTGAGGATGGTCTGTCGGCATGCGTGCCCCGATTCTGAAGGCCAAAGTCCGCGTGTGCGCCATCTTCTTTCGCGTATAGCTCATAAGCGATCTTGACGCGTTGCTTGAGCACAAGCTCTGCCAGCTTGACAATCAGCGGGACGTAAGTACCAAAGTCATTCACTAAGGCTCTCGTGTAGGAAAGCTCCGAAGGATCGTCGTCATATGCAGATAGCAGAGCCGCTAACTCTGCAAGAGCTGTTTGGCGCTTCACGGAGAGCTGATAGACGCGCACTCAGCATGCATGTTTTCGGGATCTACACCTGCAATGAACACCTACCAGTGCTTTGCAGCTCTGAGAGACTTCAGCGTGAGTGCCACCTCGATGGTGCGGTATTTTGTCCATGAGCTCCTGCAAGGGCGTTGTCGAAGGCATCTTGTGCATGACAGTGATCGCGAGGTTAATATATGCGCTGCTTCATGTGTTCAGCTGCAATAAAGAGAGAGTTGGGAGGCGTCCCAACCGAGTGAGAGACTTTTCTGAGCTGAAAGAGGCCAAGGGATCTTAGCTTGATCAATTGATCGCACGATAGGGAAGCCGCTCCAGCTATGGTGACCTTGGTACGGGGGTCGGTAGCCACCAGGCACACTTATGCGCACATACTATCTGGGCCTGTTCGCGGCAACGCAGTAATGCGGCTGATCGGCTTGCACAACCCCCCAAAACACACTGTCTCCGTCGTGATCACGGAAGCACCGGTGATTGAGGTAGAGGAGACCAGGGTTCACTTAGTGATTCATTGATGTGAATGGAGGAGTGCTCAGCCTTGCTCTTGCTCGAAATGTTCAAGGCGCAAGACTAAATCGCTTCGACTGCCTCTTGTCTCGACTCAATTAAGACTGCCCTATAGTGCCGGGTGGCCCGTGCTCATTCACCTGAGACATCCTCGTCATCTCCTTGGCCCTCTAGCTTTTTCTCCATAGCGCTGATGCTACCAAATGGAATCGTCTTCATCGCTCAAACAGTCCTTCACCAGCTCGTCTTCATCCTCATCCGAAAGTCTGAAGGATAGCGAAGTCAAAGGATTGCTTTCCAAGCCTCTTTTGAAAACACTGAGTGAACCGCCATTGATGCGGCCTCCACCACCTCTTCGACTCCGAAAACAACATGGATGGATCACAGGACGCCGCCAGGCGCGACTTCAATATGCGAGTTCTCAAGCGACATGACAGTAGTATTGAGAAGATCATCTGCTCTGCGTCCTTTGTTGTGCTGTACTCGCACCAGGAGCAATGGGTGAGGATGCATTCATGAGTCAAGCTAATGATGGACCTGAGGCTGATCTGATGTCTCGGGGAACTTAGACCAAGACTGGTATTGAAGGTCCCATGTTCATCTATCAGCGGTGAGCGTTCTTCACGAAGAATCTGTGCTTCCCGATCTTGATCCGCTGAGCACTATTTCCACATGGGTTATGCGTTACGGTAAAAAGAGTACAGTCCCCCCACTATGGCTTCTTCATCATGAACCGAAACGGAGTCGAAAACTTTAGCGCCAGCATTACACCGCAAGACGACCTCGAGCTCACGCCAGAATTCATCATTTACCATCCTGGCTCTCCTCAAAAGCAGTCAAGTGACGATGACAGCGAAGGTTCGTGGCTGGAGCTCATACACCTGACGTATTGAAGATTCTGGATCCTGACCAGTGTTGCTTGATCAGAAGGAGATGATACGTATGGCATCTGGATTTTCGAAGCCGCTCAACGAGAGTTGATCGGAAAGGAACTGATCCGGTGAGATGGATGTGCCCTCGCCTTAGCTTCGCTGCTGTTCTGACCACGGTGCACTTGATGCCGAGCAGACTGCACGCAGCGCCGAATTCTGCTGTGCCTGCTTCTAAACCGAACGAAGCCAAATCTGTTGGGCAAAATATCACTCTCGACGCACTTTTTGGTTCAGCAGCGCAGCCGCCCAATGATACGCCGGGTGCCACGTCGTCTCCGCCTGCAACCAAGCAAGGTGAACCACCTTCACAAGCTACCGGCCTTTCATTGATGGATCAAATCTTTCAAGGCGCCAACGCATTGACACTGCCTGCGCTGCCAGCTTCACATGCGCTACGGAACGGCGGCGTAGCGACGATACGAACTCCTATGATGGCACATGCTTCTGCTGGCCCGCCATCTGCAGCTCCGGCCGGACAGTTGCCATCTGCTCCAAATGGTGGGACGGCACCGCCAAATGGGTTGTCTCCTGAACAGCAAAATGGCACTTCTGTCGGAGTAACGAACCTGCAAGATTCTGGAGCGAACCAAGGCATTGGAATCGCAGCGGACCTGATGGCCATGCTTGGAATCAAGACATCATCTGCCCACATGTCTTCGTCATCTCCCTCGACACCCAGCGGCGGGACCGCGCCGGTCGTAACCAATGGACAACATCAGAAGCCATCGAGCAGGCTTACTGCAGCTGCTGAGCCGCTCGATAACGAGTCCACTCGATTATCGCCAGGCCAGACCACATCAGTGCCGCAGAAGGCAGGTCCCGTCGCCGCCGCATCCTCGGCAGCATCACGAGACGCTGTCGCACCTCTTTCGTCTCGAACTGCCGGTGGCATCATCGGCATGGCTCTGAGAGATCCGGTCCTGGCAATCAACGGCCCGGGTGCCGAACCTCTGAGCAAGCGCGACTTTGTTCGAGAGCTGCTCTCCTTGATTCACACCGACCGTAGCTTCGTGGACACTCTTTACGCCGACTATATTGCAAGATGTTGATCTGATGCAATGCAAGAGCACGCACTAATGAGCAAGAATGTCAAGAACAGCAATGTAGCGATCTACGCCGCAATATGTATTTTTGGTGTATCATGAAAGATACGGCAATGACTGAACACAACACCATTAGGAGCCTTCGCTCGCCACTGTCCACCACAACTTGCTACTGCTGCTTTTGTCCTTTTTGACCGGCTGCGTGGAGTTGCGGAGTCGGCTGAACGCGCCTGCTAATGAGCGAGACGCGTCGTCCTCGAAGCCGTCGGCTTGCGCTCGCTCCGGGTCGTGTACATTGCTGCGCTCTGTCCGCGGCTTAAGACGGCGCAAAAGAACCCTAGGTCCTTGTTGTGCCGCAACGGTTCCGTTGACGGAGGCCGCGGTGGTAGGTGCAGGTGCGGCAGTGGGGGACAGAACCTGGCCCATCGAGTGCTGGACAAGCTGAAGCTGCTGCTGATCCGCCGCAGAGGTTTTGGCTTGGAAGACCAATTCTTCAAGATCGGACGTAGTTGACACCGAGGCCATATTATCCCAGAACGACGGCAAGTCACCGAGCGCGCCTGTACCGGGAGGCGCGACAGGTGAACTGAAATTGGCAAAGAGGTGCTCACGTTGGTGGGGCGGTTGATGCAGCTGAGGTAATCGCTGCAAAAGTTGTGGACGGCCCGGCAGCGCGTGTTGTGGCTGCTGCCCGTTACCATTGGTTGGAAAGAACCACGACTGGCCAGTGTGCGGGCACTGCAGCGAAATGCCATGGGGCATGGGATGAGCAATGATGGGAATTCCGCTGGAACCGCCCTCTTGACCCTGCGCTTCGAACGGCAACATGGGATTGGCAATTGTCGATGGTGCAGGCATCGCCGCGCTGTTGGAAAAACCGCCTTCGCGCAAAGTGTGAGGCCAATTCATCGCGGCGTCCAACGCCGGTGTATCCATGCTTGCGGGAGAGACCGGCGTGGACACCGTCGACGTAACGAGCTGCGAAGTCATAGGCGTTGCAGCAAAGGTATCGCTCTGTGTTCCAGCTTTGGGCAGAACATCCGCCATGCCGCTGATGCTACTTCGTGCCGAGCCTGGTGCTGACGCATTTACCCCGGCAGCAGCCTCACCGCTCACCTTCTTGGCCTTCTTGTCGTCTGCCCTCTGTCGCTTTCTGATGTGGTCCATACGCATGCGCACCGGCCTGGGCGTCTTGTGCAGACTCTTCCAAAGTCCACAAGCATTGCAATTCGGCTGTCCATTCTCATCCTTCCTCCACAGAGGCGTTGTAGTTGTCCCGCAATTCACGCAAGTCTGCGGATTTTCGTCCGGCTCGATCTGGCACCCATGCGTCTGACACGCGTGCGTTGTCGGCGCCATACAATCCGGATGATGCTGGAATGCCGACTTGAGCGTCTTTGGTCGCGGCTTCTTGTGAAGTTTTTGATACAGCCCACATGCATTGCAGAGAAGACGATTCTCTGGGTCGCGACGCCAGAGCGGCGTGCGATACGAGTCACAATTGGAACATTGTGGCCGATCGGCATCCGCCCGCGGGGCTCGAGCATAGGCTTTGGCTTGCACTACAGATGAGGCTGCTGTGGGATCGCTCGATTCTGCCAACTGTTGTGCATCAGGATGTGCTGCCATGGGGCTTGAGCGCGACGGCGCCGCGTCCATGGGTGATGCATTTCCTCCATTGTATGGGCTTGAGAGCGGGCTATCAGCAAGCGTGTTCCGGTGAGCAGTCGCTGCTGTGCCAGTTAGAGAACCTAGCCCCGGCACAGATGTGAGAATGGTCGACATAGCATCACTCGCTGCGCCTTGGACCATTGCCGGGGTCGGCAAAACGAGCTGCACAGACGATGTAGCGCATGAACTCGCAGGCGCAGCTTGCAATGTTGAAGCAAAGCTGGACACAAAATTGGGCCCTGTGATGAACCCGCTTGCGTTGCTCGCACGGGTTGCACGGGTCGCACCTGCCTGATCGATGTCTGGTGAGTGTGGAGGATTCTCCGCGTGGGTAACAGGTGAATTTGACTGTATCCCTGAGCTCTCCTTGCGGTTCGTTATGGTCCCCGCCAATCCAAGCAAGCAGCAATCTTCAGCCCCACAGCTGCCGACACGCCCACAAGTAATGGGGATGGCTCGAGCTTTTCCTTTGCGCGATTTTTTGGTCCCCTCCTTATCCACAGTAGAGAGCGAGCTCGAGCCCAAGCTCTGTCGAGGATCTTGAAGCGAAGTTAATGCCTCAAATACTGGCGTTCCGGCCGTGAACACCCTTGATGAGCCGGAAGTAGATCCAACATGCGCTGGAGAAGTCACTGAGCTGGATGTAGATGTAGATGAGCCATTCAGATCGATCGGCATAGAAAGCCACTGCTCGAGGTCCATATCACGAGTACCTGCGGCCGCTGTCGAACTGGAGATTGTACTTGACCCGGACATTGGGCCTGGCCCTGCAAAGATGGACGATGATGAAGAGTCGCTAAAGAAGTTCATCTAAAGGCCAACGAGTGGGGTTGAGCTTGTGATCCACATGCGTCCCCTCATTCCACCTTCACATGACTCACAAAGTTCATATCGCCTGCAAATCCATTACTCGGTGGGCTCAAGGTAGTTGGCGTCAAGACGCTCCCTGGCTCGGCATAGACGATCGCAGACCCGGGGAGATTGGTGCCACAATCGCATTCAACCAAGTGTGATGCTGGTCTCTTGCGACTTGATTCCCTCGAGAGGGACATATTGGTCGTTAATGCGTGATGTGAAGTTGACCATGAAGCCTGCGATGGTGTCCCCGTCGAGCGTGATAGCTGCGCAGTAGCTGAGGTAGAAGGCGAATCCAGCGCCATAGCGTTGTCTGCGTTTTCAGGTGCTTTCCCTTGCACCGATCCTGAATGTAGCCAGCGCTTCCTTCGTTTCGCTGTGCTCAGCCCCCACATTCTCCAGCTTCCATACTCAAAGCGTGCCCCATCCTCGATCAACTCAGCCAATTGATGGCATACTCTCCAAGTGCGGACGACTGGTGCATCTGGCAATGGCGACTCGCTTCGACCCTTTTGACCCTGCAATGCTAAGGTATCTCGGTGCTCGCTAGGCTTCTCGGTTGGCACCTGCTCGCGAAAGTGTGTCGGGAGAATGCAACACGTTAGCTCGGGAACCTAGCACGCGCCCAACATGCCACTCAGATCTTGCACACCCGCGAACAGCATGCCATCGGTTCTCATGACACGCTGTGCGTCACCTAAAAACTATTTAAGCACTTCTGCTACCTTTATCCACCATCTGACACTGTTTGAATACCCCTCACCCATGGCGATGGTGAGATCGAGCTCCATCAGATAAGCATTTGCGACAAGGACGAGGAGGGTTACTCGTTCGCGACAACTATGCACCACTCGGTCCGACGCGGCCCCCAAGACTCACCGATTTGAACTTGATTGGCAGCAGTATGGACGCCATTCTGGTGAGCTGCGTATCTGCAGCTTCCTGGCACCATTGAACAGCTCATACCCTCTCCCCATAGAAGAAAATGGCATGTGCAGGGCATCAATTCTTTACGGAGGGGTAAAAATGTGATCGACCTGCACGCGCCAAAATCTCCAATCTCTATCACCGTAATTTTTTGAGTACAGTATCGTAGGGCTCAGAGTCATCAACTACGGTCAACAGCGGCGTAACAACCCTAACCTTGCAGCAAACTGAATATCGGTGACCTTTCTCCATCTGCTACTGTATTTTTTCAAGTATACATTCTCTAAGTGTCACGTCATCTTGATGTCTTCATCTGGATTCTCAAAGCCTGGGTTCTTGCGCAGGATTGCGAAAGATTCAAGAACTACACAATGCGGAAAATGGGAAACATGGAAGACGTGAGCGGTCGATGTTCCACAGGACAGAGGCGGCATGCTCAGTGAACACTCACCATGCGCATAAGATAGGTACTCTTCCGTGCCTAGCTCGGCGCGATCGTACGCATTGAGCCTGACGGGCGTAGTGTGCGTTTGGAAGCCGGAGATGGTCCGCGGCTTGCCAGCCTGGCCGACAACATCGACCGCCTTGCCGACGCGCACAGACACTGGTAAGGGCTTCAGATCCTCGTCGAGCGTGATGAGGAAGCGCGGGAACATGGCGGGTGTAAGCAGGTATAGGAGCCAATGTGAATTGCTCAGAACGACTGCGAGCGCGTGCAAAGAGCAAAGAGGGGAGCAATGCGATCAGCGCCTCCGATCAACACGAAATGTGACTCGTTCTTGGCCGCTGAAACTCACATTCCCGAGCATCTGTGAAGGAAATGAGGACAGACAACAGACCGCACACCGCGGTGCGACTCATAAGCGAGCGATCGGTGTGAAACGGATTGATGCCAATCAGGCCTTTGCCCATGTGCACGAGACCTTGCGCGATGCGGACCATAAACAAGCAATCTGGCTCCTTGTGGTAGTACCCAGCCAGCTGTCGGAGCATCTGCGCGAGTCTCGCATTGTTCGTTCCCGCGCCAACGATGCCCATTGCGAGGATGGCATTGATGGCAACGTCAAGGTCATTGTCGTGCGAGTACTTGGACAGCGTGTCAAGAATGCTCATTGCGGGGTTTGAAGGATTGAGCAGCGCGATCGCCAGCGGCACGCTCCTCCGAATGACAGGCTCGCCGTAGTGCATGAGATGCGAGAGATGTCGAATGGTCATTTCTGCGCCAACATCTTCGCCCATGGCCAGCAGTGCGACACCGAGCACAGCGTACGCCTGATGCAAGTCGGACTTGTTGCTCTCCTCTTCTTCGTTGCTGTTGACGCCCTCGCCATTGCTTCTGCCGGCGCTCGGCGCAGCGTCGCTGGTCACACCGCCTCCGCTCCCGCCCGCATCGACGGTATCATCTCCGCCACCATCCTGCCCGTCCTCGCCGCTGTCCTCCTCATCCTTCTTCTCGATGTGCTCCAAGCAGTGGTGCAGCATGGTCTGGATCTTGAGCACATTTCCGGTGCCGGCGTAGCTGCACATATCCACCAGCACCTGGGTCTGCAGGGAGATAGGATGCTCGATTGCTTTGAGCGTCTCGATCGTCGCGTCGCTCTGGTCCTGTTGGCCGAGGAAGAGCATGGCGAGACCGAGAGACATGAAGCGCGCCCACTTGTCATCGAGCTGTGTTGGCTCGCGCTCCATCATGCTCTGTAGGATTGTCGGCGTGATCTCCTCGTGTGCAGAGCCGACAAAAATGAGCCCGAGCGCCAGTGCCGAGATTGCCGCGACCTCCATGGGCGCCGTCTCGTCGCTGACGTGCTGGAGCAGCAGGGGCACAATGTCCTCCCGATGCGAGCCAGCATACGCAAGGCCGATTCCAACAATGGCTGAAACCTTGAGCGGCGTGGAGGACGAGTCGACGTGCTCGGTGAGCAAGGCAAGCGCCGCGTCCATCTCTGTTCGGACGCCAGAGTGGAGAATCCCGTACGCCATGAGCGCGCCCGCCTTGACGTTCTCGTCGCTCGAGTAGGTATATTTGTCAATGTGGCTCATACCCATCTCCGTGTCCCAAAGCAGACTCATTCCCAGGCTGGCTGCGGCGGAGAGCATGCCGTGGTCTTTATTTTTGTAGATCCAGCTATCGCCTTCTTCCGCGCCGACCATCAGCTTGTCATTGCCGAAGCCTGCATTGACGAAGGCGTTTACAAATGTACTCGCGAGGTTACCCCGTGCCGAGTCGACCGTGTTGCTGAGGCCGGTACGAGAGTTTTCGAGGTGGGTCTTGTAGATATCCTCGAGACTCTTTGGCTCATAGACGTTCAGCTCTTTTGCGAACGAGATGAAGTGCTCTGAAAGGCGGGTGTTGAAGATGGCATCGATGAGGTCCTGGTCTGCAATCAGCTCGTCTTCCTCCTGGAGCCATTCGATCGGCACATTTTGCCGACCAAGCAAGAAGGCAAGCTGCTTCTTCATGATCGGGTTCTGCGGCGCCTCGAAGTCCTTTCTAATCAGCTGCTTGTCGCCGATGCGCAGGGAGAGGACGAGCGCCTCGGTGTGTCGGTCGTGCTTGTGGTAAATCTCATGCGCCGTACGCAAGAACTGGATGTCATCTGGCGGTACCAGGAGGTTGACACAGCTGACCATGTACAAGCAGACGCGCGCATAAGTGTCCTTGTCGACGTGGGGCACGAGCTTGTCGATAGCTTCAAGCTCGAGTAGCAGGTCGACTGCGTCAGCCTCGGCATTGTGTTTGAGAGAGAACGGGACGACAAGCATAGCAATATCCAACAGGTCCTGATAGGAAGCTGTCGAAGCGGTAATGTGCTTGCTACCGTCTCCATTCGTTTGTGGTTTTTGTGCTCCCTCGTCACCCGCAGCGCCATGCTCTCCTCTTTGCACTCGCGTGTTGTACTCCTCTCCGATCTCTGCTGCCAAATGCCTCATGTACTCATGTCCCCATACACCTGGATCATCGGCCTTGCCGTCTGCATCAGGTGTGCTGGCTTGCGCCACCCTGACAGCTTCGATGCGGAAGGCAAGGGTCTCGCGGTCTCCTGTGTCCGAGTAGGTCATTGCGAGTACCGAGAGAATTTCGGCAAAAAGAGACTTGTCGAGCGAGTCTGAGCGCCAGTACTCGTTGGCAGTGGAAGAGGCAGTAGTGAGCGACGATGTGTAAAGCGATTTGAGCCCTGGGAAATGTGGTCGTAGGAACTTCAGCGGCTTCGGAACAGATGTCATGGACGATGTGCTTGTTCGTATGAGCGTGCGGAGCGACTCCAAAGCTGGTCGATACAGCGTCCCTTCATCCTCCTGCAGCAACAAAGAGCACAAGATTGCGTTCGTCAGCATCAAGAGACCGCGCGCCGCTGGCTATGACATGAACCAACGCACCTTGAGCCTCTCCACAAGCATTTCCAGCTCATTCTTGAGCTGCAGATCCTCTTCATTTAGCTCATCCTCCTTGCTCGTTTTCTTGTCTGCATCTTTTCTGTCTCTCCCATCTGCATCCTCCTTGCCAGCCTTGTTCTTCGTCTCGTCCTTACTCGACTTTGGATCCTCGGACGGGACGGCGAGCGATTGTGTCGCCTTTTCAGGCTCAATTTCGCGGACCATCTTTGCGAGGACCCGGTCGAAATGTAGCAAGAGTGATCAAGAGCTACTGCGCCAAGGTGACGTCCTTGCTGTTGCTTTGAACGTAGCGCGCTCGTGGTGAAGGTCGATGTCAACCCCCCTAAATCGCAAGACCTTCGATCAAAGCGTTACCAGCACGCAGCACATTTGGAGGCTCAAGGTGGTGACGAGTCGTCGTGTTGCTTTCGCGCCTCTCTTCCAAGTGAGACTGGAAGCGTTCCGCGCATTGTCGCTCACTGGCTGACTGCACACTGTTGTGCTGAAGTGCCACGGCCAGACAGAGTCGGTGCGTGACGCATCGCCCTTCATGGCTTCTTGGCTAATGGTGGGACTCCCCCAAGCAGGATCTCAATTTTGGGCCCAGCTATAGAGATGTGAGGAGGGAAGCGAGTGAAAGCTGCTGAGGTCCAAGGGCTATGGTAGAGGTCATGGTGTATGTGCAGGAATCTATGACTATCGCTTCAACGCTCTCGCTCAACGAGGACTGAGTGCAGGAACCAAAAGAATCAGCGCCGCTAGCTGCTGACGGCAGCGACTGTCTCGTGCTTGGTACAAGTACAGAGAGCCTGGCGGGACGGAGTACCTACAGCCTGCACGGATCCTTTACATCCTCGGATGAGCAGTGCGCCATGTCCCCGCCAGTAGCCTCTTCTTCGCGGCTGATAAGCGGATATGCATCGTACAATCATGCTCTTGCATCTCAAGGGGCAGAAAACTTGGCTGCAATATCCTCCGACTCGCCAAACGACAGCATGGCTTTCTTGCCAAAGCATCATCCATATCGGATAGACGTGCAAGACGTCAACCCGGTCTCCATCACATTTCTCATCTCCCTCCGACCACCCCCAATCAGCCAGCTGCATCAGGATGAAAAGAGCGCCAATAAGGACTCAAGGTCTGTTTCAAACTCGCGAGGGAGAGGTAATGGAGATGGCTTGGGTTCGAGACAACGCCGAGGGCACCGAGAGGAAGAGGAGGAAGATTGGGACGACAGTGCGACCGCTGTGGATCTTCACGACATCCCACAGCAGTCTGTCCAGAATGACACAGGGCAGGTACTGCAAGAGGACGGGGGCTACTCGTTGAATGAGGACGGAAACGCCCACATTGAAAGGACACTAAACATGGAGCGTCGGCGGGAAGAGGTGGCGCGGCTGGAGCGATTTAGGCGGCAGAAGGACAAGCAGCATCAGATCTTCCTGCAGCATATGGCACATGCAAAGGCGCAAGTTCATGGCAATGGCACCACCTCGTTTCATGGCCAGGTGTCGGGGCGGAGTCGAGGCTCGTTGCCATCGTCACAAGACGGCCACATGGACGATGATGCGGATGCAAATGATCTCGGAGAGGAAGAGGAGGATGCCATCACCTCACCCTCAGCACTCGTCATCGCCTCCGCTTTATCATCTTCGAGTGCACAATCTCCCGTATCTCACCTCTTCGCTGAGGGCGTCTCCGTTCTCGTCGACGGCTCCTCATGGAAGCACGTGCTTATGTCCGACTCCCATCCTGGCGAGGCCGTCATCGTCGTCTTTGGCCTGCGACCCGGATTCAGGCACAAAGTTGAGCTCTGCATCGGTCCCGAAGCCGTCTGCAATGCGGTGGGCCGGGCGAAAGAACTTCGGACGAGGGAGAGGCGCAGGAAGGAAATGGATGGGCTGCTCAGGGAGGAACAGGCAAGGCAACGGGATTATCATCGACTCCCGCAATTAGCCAGCGAGGCCGATCATTCGGACGAGTCATACGAGATGACGTCGCGGATGCCTCGTCAAGACGGCCTGGTCGTGCCTGGTGAGTAGGCTGTGCCCGTTGCATTTTGCCAGCTTTGCCCAACCAAGTGCTGACATAACGCACGTGCACATAGATGACCATGCATCACCGCGGCATGTCTCACCCGCCCGCTCGCGGCGCTCTTCATTCAACGGAGACCGCGGTGCCCTTGGCGACATTGGCGATGAGTCCACCCAGCCTTCCGCCCTGGCCGACACGAGGACAGCGCCGCTAGCGCTCCGCCTCGCATCGCTGCAAGCCGAGCTGGCTGCTTCGCAAGAGACGCGCAGCCAGCTCAGTGCGGAGGTGCGCAAGGCGCGTAAGGATGCGTCGCGGACCGAAGCAGCGCTGCGCAACGAGATCGAGGCGGTCAAGCGCGGGCTCGAGCGCATGAGCGGGACCGACCACAGGAGCAAGCAGAAGGTGCTCGCTCTACAGGAGAGCATCCGCCAGGCGAACATGCAGGCCGAAGAGGCGGAGCGCGAGGCGAAGGAGGTGGAGCTCGGTCTAGACGAGTGGCGCATCAAGGAAGAGGAGCGGGAAGAAGAGCTGAAGAAGTGGAGGATGCAGGCACAGGAGAAAGAGAGTGAGCTGGCCACGATGACAAAGGAGACGAACGACACGATCGGAGCCAAACAAAAGGCACTGGATGCTGTCATCAAGAAGGCAGACGAAGCTAGAGCGGAAGCTGAAAGGCTCGAGCATGAAGATCTCGCTACTCTGCTGAACGAACTTGAGAAGCTGAAGGAGGAGACAGAGAAGATCGAGAATGCTCCAATCGACGTCAACTCCACCGAGGCGTTCGAGCAAGGCGGTCGCTTTGGTGGCAGTGGGCCCAGCGGCGCCATTGCGAGCCATAATGCATTCGCACCCGGCCCCCAGAGCGGCGGGAAACACGGCAGAGGGTTAGGTAGCGGACGTGGCAGTGGCCGCACTGGTCCTGGCGGTAAAGGCCGAAAACAGCAGCATCCGCACGTGCAGAATGCTGCCGGCCTCTCCCTGCCAACATCTGCAAACGAATTTGTTCCGAGCAGTCGCAGCTTCTCCCAGCCCAATGCCATCTCTGCGACGAGCAGCAGCTACTCGCCGATGTCCTCTGCAACTTCCTTTGCGCTCAACCCGCACAACCCCGAATTCGTGCCTTCCTCCGTCCTTTTAGCGCAAGCGCAAAGAGAGCAGCAGCAGCAACCACACCAGCTCCAATCCTCGACTCCGCCACATGCACATGCCCAGGCACATGGCCCCCCACCGCCGTTCGCAAACAACACTAACACCTTTTACTCCGGCGTAGCAAGCGTAGCAAGCGCGGCAAACAGTCTCACGGCACTTCGCAATGCTCAGATGATACCTGCTCTTCCCGCTGTCCCTGCGCCGCCGCCTCCCTTGCCGCTCAATATCGCAGGGCCACCCAGTGGAATATCTGCGTTCCAACCCTTCTCTCCCATCGATCCATCCCCGACGGGAAATGACACGCAGCATTCGAGTCCGGCACGGGGACATCATTCCCCCTTGCCTCCTTTCGGCGGAAGTATGGGCGGCGAGCTCTCGGCTGCATCAATAGGCAGCACATGCACAGGTGTCACTGCTTCTTCCCTTTGGCCGGCGAGCTCAGTCTCTGCTGCAGCAGGATTTGGCAGCAGCACACTCGTCTCACCCCCCTCGATAGGAGCTCCTCGCTCCGCGACTGCTTCCTCACCTTGGAATTCCCCTCGGCTTGGCGCTCGACGTGGTTCTGGCCTCGGCGTCGGACCTGGAGGGGTGGGCCTCTCGAGCACCAATGTCAGTCCTTCCCTCGGCCCTCTGCCATCCGCCGCCGGGGCGATTGAGAAGGACATATGGGCGAACCCGGCTAGCAGCCGGACTGGGAGCAACATCTGGGGTCCGCTCTCCGGACTACCGTCGGCTGCTGTGGGCGTCGGAGTCGGAGTTCGCGACAGGGATACTGGCGCCGGCTCCGTCGGGTCAGGTGGAGGAAGTGGGAGCATACACGGCCACACGCTGCACCACCGTGCCAGTAATAGTAGCGGCGGATTGCGCGAGGTTGCCAATAGCATGGCCAGCAGCACATTCGGGGCGGCCGCTGGACCATATCACTCTCACTATCCTCACCACCACCATTTACATCATCCGGTCCAACACCCAGCAACGTCACCGCTACTAGCATACGTGCCGGGCGTGGTAGGCTTCAACAATGGACCGGGCTCGAGCCCGTCGTCTCCTGAGCCGCAGAGCCCTTCCAGCCCGTCATTCGCGCCGGGAAATGCATTCGGCTTCGGTTGGGATCGCTCGACGACGGCAACGAGAGAAGGCAGAGGGAGCGATGGCAGCACCAAGGCGCCAAGCCCTATCCAGCCTCCATCCGCGGCCGCTGCCACGGCGTCCGGCAAGCGCAGCCCCGTAGGCTCGCCGCTTGCTGCTCACGTGCCTTTGTTAGCTTTGGCTTCCCCTGGGCCATCTTCGCTGAGCACGAAGACACGCATGTCGGCATCCGAAGACGCAGTCACTGACGCCTCCGTTGATGTTGACGCCTCCGATCCTAGCGTGGAGTATGGGGAACCTGCCGCGCCCTCACCATCGCAGCCAAGGAGCTTCGCTAGCGTCGCAGCTACGCAGCAATGAAAGCGCGCTAATCCACACGAACGTACACTGTAGCATAGCTTTCAAAATGAAACACCGCGGCCACCCTTCGTCGCTATTTATCCCATCTGTTCTTATCTAGTCCATGCAATGCTGTGTGGTGTTATGCTATAAGACGGCCTTGTGACCATTACCGTCGTCTCTTACCGCCGCCGCCGCCCGGTGCTGAACGCGTCGGGGCGGCCCCTGCCGAGCCTGCTGTTCTCGGCTCGTCCTTGAACAAGCTGCCAATGTCGCCGCTCTGGAGGGCGTTCATCTTGGCTTGCATCGCCGCTTGCTGCTCGTTTAGTTCGGCGAGCGATTCTGGGTCCATATTCGCCTGGACGAGGAGAAAGTAGGTATGCCAGGCCATTTTTGTCAGATTTGATCCTGATATAGGACCGCTTTGCTTGCACGCGGCCCCTTATTTCCATGCTTCTCAGAACTCACCATGAGCTTCGGCATGAGAAAGACGAGGACTCCGCCTGCGATGACGATAAGCATCATCGGGTTGCCGAGCAGCGCCTTGATGTTAAAGCCTTCGGGCTCAGTAAAAAATTCGAACGCGGCCAACGGCTGGACGATGAAGGGCGATGGAAGGACGGCATGGGTGAGGGTGGACGATAGCGGTGTGCCACTGTCCATCATGGGGTGAGATGAAGATGCAAAAGAGGCGATGAGTTAACGGCTAGTAAGCTCAGCACCCTTTCCCCTCTTCTTCGAGACATGAGCATCTTTGCGAGCATGGACTTACGGCGTATGCGACCGAATCTTGACAGAATTCCTGGCGCTGTTCCTAAAATCTGGTACGGCAGTTTGCCCATGCCCCTCGCCTCCGAGCAGTGCGCTGACGTCTACGCGGTAGGTCCTGAATGCATGCCATCTGCTGGAGATCTTGAGGACGTACGCGCCAGGTATGACGTCCGGAAATACAAAGGAACCATCTCGGCGGATGAAGGTCTGGTACACTTCTCGGCCTTGGGCTGCGGTTGTGTTGCGGCCGTTACTTTCGCCTTCAGCCGAAACGCTCGAATCGCTTACAAACGTCGGCGCGTCAGGTATCCGCCTGAGAGATATCTTTGTGTGCGGTCCGAGAGACGAAAGTTCTCGCAGATGCTCGTTGGGCTGGATCTGCCCGCGCACCACGGCTGCACGAGCTTGTATGCATGTCAGCAGCAGCAGCAGCATCAAGGACACCACAGCGGGAAGCAGCCTGGGTGACCGCATGCTGAAGATGAGGTCTTCTTCCGGCTCTATCAACTAAGCGCAACGGCCCTGGCTCACGCCTCAACGTAGAGGAGAGGTAACTGCACCGTTTCTATGGCTGGTTCGCAAACGACCAAGCAGCGAAGATATAGTCGTGTGAACCTGGAAGACGACGAATATTATTTGTGTTGTTGCAACGTGTGGTGACGGCGGTTGAGAGACACTCGCAAGCTCTCTGCGATCAAGAGACTGGGTCCGCGTTGGGAAGACTGTTTTGGCTAGACTAAAGTGGGGCACCTGCGCTCTCTCCCCCATCCTTTCTTTTGAGAGGGGGGAAAAGGTCTCAGCGGATGCCCCCCTCAGCAGCGACAAGTTGAGTCTAGTTCTGATTCCAAGCATCTCGGACAAGCTGTGCAGCCATCACGAGCGACAGATGTGCTTGATCTCAGGAAGGACCATCAGGGTGCCTCTGTGCTCAAGACAGGTCGCAAGGGCCGCCATCACGATCGTGCTTCGTCGCTGCGATCGACCAGCACCGACGTGCGAATTTGCTTGACGCATCGCGGCAACGACGCGCTGCTCGCTTCGCTCATCGCTCACAGTAAAGAGGGGAGTCAGCTCCAATCCTCCCCCCTTCCTTTCCCTCGGCGTCAATACGCTCTGATTGATCGCACGGCCTTGTCTTACCCACGAAACGATAATATACACAGGCCGTGAACAACCTCAGCAGCTGTCGTTGCACGTGCTTCCAGCAGGGCATTCACTCAGAGGCTTGCGACTTTGCTTCTCGCTTCTCTTCCCGCTCGCTTTCTCGCGCGTCCCCTGGCGCTCGCAGCTTCAGGTCAGTTTTGCTTCTCCGTCCTGCTTGCTGCGTATCAGCTCGGTGTTTTGCGGCTGCAAACGACACACAGGTAGCAACGCTGCCACAGACTTTTACGTCTCCGTTCCACCGCGTCTCGAAAGCACCAACGACGGCCCACGACTATAAAAGCGCAGGTCGTAATAGCAGTGATATGAGCTCCCACGCACCTGCGTTCTCCTCGCCGAGCACCACCGACGAGGGCGGCCACGCCGCTTCGACGACCTCGGCGCCAGCCACTGGCGCAGCTCCAGCAGCAGACTCATCAGCATCACTAACAACAGTGGCAGCAGGCACGAGTGGGCCGGGCAACGCGACTGTTTCCACGTCTAGTCCACGACCCACCTCTGGTGGGGCCATGGCTCAGCTCGGGCTCGTTCCAGCGGGTGCTGCCATGTCGATCATTCGCAACCAGTCGAATCCTTCCACCAATACTTCTACCATTGGCGCAACATTCCCCGGACAAGCCAACAATATTGCCAACGGCAGTGGCAATGCGTCACCGATGAATCAGCCCACAGCGCCAGTGGCGCCAGCTGTGCAATCATCGAGTGGTCCGCAACCGCTGCAAGAGGGGGCGAGCGCGACCAATGGCATTGGCATTGTCAGCAGCAATAGCAATATGCCACCTGGCCTCGTCTATCCGGCTTTGCATCTGCACCCGGTCAACGATACATTTGCGCCGAAGCAGATCAACCTCGCTCCCCCCGGCCCGCACAATCGGATCCGCATCGGAAGACAGACGAATGCAAAGACCGTGCCGCATCCTAGCAATGGCTACTTTGACAGCAAGGTGCTCAGTAGGATGCATGCCGAGGTGTGGAGTCAAGATGGCAAGGTGAATGAGAGAGCATTTTATCTATTGTCTGGCTCTCACTGAATGCTCTGCCGATCGATCGGTGTATTTCCACAGGTCTACATCAAAGATATCAAGTCATCGAACGGGACATTTATCAATGGCGATCGTCTGTCACCGGAAGCGCAAGAGTCGGAAATCTATGAGCTGCACAATGAAGACCTCGTGGAATTCGGCATCGACATTGTTGGTGATGATAACAAGACCATCATCCACCACAAGGTCGCCTGCCGCGTCTACCTCGTCATCACGGCCGAGGACGCACTTGGCATGCGCAATGACTTCAATTCACTCTACCACGGCGGGCATCGCGCGCCGCTTGGCCATAACGGCATCGGACCGGGTGCAGAGGGCGGACTGCGTCGAGGCAAGAATCAAGGCATGAGCTTCGATCATATTCTCAGTCGCCTGCAGAACGAGCTGCAGAAGAGCCGGGAGACGGGCAACGAGCTCGGAGGCTTGACCACCACGTTTTCCGATATCCATGACACATTGGGAGGAGGATTAGCCCCGACATCGCAGCCATCTTATCAGCACATGGTACCACCCCTGGTATCAGAGAGCGACGCGGCGGCCAACAAGGCGGCGATCGAAGATGCCAAAAAGCAATCTGCGCAGGTAGCGGCGCTGCAGACGTCGCTGGTGGAGACGCAGGCTTCGCTCGCCGCGCACGTCGACAAGATCCGTACGTTGGAAAGCATGCTAGCGGAGCACGAGCAGATCAAGGCGGAAGTTGGTCTGCTGAAGTACCAAATGGAGCTGGCGAAACACGAGGTCGATGTGATGATCCAGTCGCGTCGGGAGGCGGCACCCACTGGCAGAACGTCAACAGCGGCAGGGTCGGACGCAGAGGAGGACTTTGACGATGGTGCGAGCGTCGCCAGCGTCTACACAGTCACACAGGACACTGCTGGAAACGAGATGCCAAAACTCCCGAAAGGCGTGGACGAGGTGGAAGGTGTCGCATTCGAAGCAAAGCATGCTGCTCCACGCGACCACATCGGTCCAGCAGCGCCTCCGGACGTCCCACCGCACCTTATGGCCAAGGGCACGGAGATTGTCGATTCGCCTTCTTCCTCTGCTGCGCTTGACGATCTCACGAAGCAATTCGAAGCGCGCAACGCAGCACTCGTGCATCGGCTAGAGTCACTTGAAGGCCAGCTGGAGCAGGCTCTGTCGCTCGGACGCGATCTGCAGGGCCGGGTGCAGAGCCTGGAAGCGCAAGTTGCAGAGAAGGCCAAGGTGATCGAGGGCACGGCCAACTCGATGAAGGCTATGGAGGGTCGCTGGGCGGAGTGGCGCGAGCAAATCGAGGAAGGGTGGCGCAGGGAGCGAAAAGGGTGGGAGGAGGAGCGCGAGCACATCCGCAGCGTCGTGCTGGCGTGGGATGAGGCGAACAAGAAGCTGGAAGAGGAAGTGGCCAACGCATCATGTGCCCCTGGTTCCAGTCTGCGAGCAGGCGGTGGGTCACAGACGCCCTCCTCTGGCGGTGCAGGCAAGAGGCGAGGGAGCAAGAACGCAAAGCGACGGGCTGGGAAGCGACACGTCAACCGCGACTTGCGGGCGCTGCTCTACAAAGCCGACTTCAACCGTGATGCCAGCACGCTCTTGTCGTCTGATGAGGCAGATGACGACGAGGCAGACCACAAGTCTACGTCCACGACGGACCGCAGCACGAGCTCGTCCACCGCTAGCGGGAGCGGCAGCGCCGGGAAAGCGAGCACGACGGCGACGAGCCCGCCGCTAACGGCTAGCAACGCCAGCTCCGGCTCCGAGGATGGCACGCGAAATATCCGCGGGGCCAGTAGCACGGCGAAGAAAGTCGCCAATTCGCTCTCGCAGAAGCTAGGCAGCAATGGAGGCGAGGATGCTCCAACCTTGCCGTTCATGTTCAAAGACAACGTGCGTATCGTGTTGGGCAATCTGTACCCCTCTTTGTCTTACACTGTGCTGACGTTGTGCCCTGTTTGTATATGTGTATGGGTCCTAAAGGCGGCAGCGTTGCCCTTGCTTACAGCATGCGGCGTCGTACTGGTCGGCGCGGCAGCGTGGGCTTTCGCCAAAAAGGAGAAGACATGAAGATCCATCCATCTTCACAATATCACCCTCAAGGGCAGTGAGTGTCAGGCCTCGGCTCTCGGAGCAACTGCGGCTGCTCCCACGTTTCCAACGAGATACACCCTCTCTCGCGCTGGTTTCGATGGTTATGATACGCAAAAACGAGGCGATCGCCAAACTTTCGGCCGGCCGCATCGCAACAATTCGCAAAAAATCACGTTTTCACGTTCACATGCTCTTGCGCACTTCTAACGACATTCCTGCACAGTAGCCTCATCAATTCCCAATTGAATCTCTGCAATACGCGACTCTTCCTCGTTCGGGCCGCACACGTCAACCCATTGGCCTCCGCAGCGCGACGCAGCGAACTGCAGCAGTGGTAAAGCACCGCTCATCACGTCTGCCGATCACCGTTCACTGTGCTGCTGCATTCATAGTAATATCATACAAGTGTGGCCCGTTAGCTGAGCATCATGCGAGGTGTAGGAAGGGCGTGAGGGTGATGATGTGCAACGGGGAGACAAGCGTGAAGATGAGCTTAGTTCTTCTTCGATGCCTTGCCCTTGACCTCAGTGACGTTCAGGCCTGTTAAAAGTGTATACGTAACGTCAGTACCATTTCGCTCGAAGCAAAGAAAACAAAGCGAAAGTTGCTCCGCCTTGACTGTAAGCTGCTACTTCCTGCCCTGTGCCAAACCTTCAGGACCCGGTGATCCTGATATCGATGCGCAAGAAGAGTCCCTGGAGCGCGCCTAGCCGGCAGGTAGGCTGGCCATAAATGTTCTTCCATTCAAACCAATCTCACGCTGCGCCTGTTCGCTTTCCGTCTACTCCTTTCCCGCCAGCGCCGCCATCAACGTAGACGGTGCATTGTCGCAGAATGGCTGTTGCCGTTGCGTGTCGCCTAAGACTCACCTGGCGGCAGACTGTTCTTGAGCTTCTCTGCCTTCTCTGCATCCTCGACCACGAGGGTGTAGAGGTACTTGCTGCAACGGATCTTGAACTTGGTCTGTGTAATCTTGCCGCTGGAGCTGCTCGACCTCTTCTTGCCAGACTGCGCGGCGGAGGACCGGATGACAGTCCGCTTGATGCGGGCCGCCGAGGCGTCCTTACGCCGGGCGATCTCGAGGAAGTTCTTGATGTCGGTGACTTGGCGAGGCTGTAAACACGAGTTCATTCGATGTCAGAATCAGTTTCTCGGGCTGATGTTGCAAGTCAACGGACCGCGCTCGTTCTCTCAAGGTAGGCTGCCGACAGATCGTTCGAAGATCCAAGCCTGATGCGTTGGGAAACTTCTTCCAGCTGCATCCCGACTGAAATTGGTAGCACGTTGCCACTCGCCCTGCCGCATGCTTCATACCAATCGCCTACTTCAAGGTCTGAAGTCGGATCAATTGCATGGAGTCTTGTCGCCGCCGCCCGTTCGTCGCTTGGCTCTTGATGCCCATAAAGGGGCTTGCGAAGCTTCGCTGTTCCACTTCAGGTGCTTCCAACACTTCACCCATCCCTATCTACCCCTGCGCGCAAGTCTCCCCATTTCACCCGCTTCTGACCGTCGCCCGGAAGGCCATGATGCAAGCTGTGCGCCTCGCAAACTCACCATCTTGTTGTGAATCCTGGCGGCGAGTCCTTACTGTACCAGATGCACCTCTCGAAAGGCAGTTGAGCTCAAAGAATGAAGAAGCACAACCATCAGCTGCATCCCTGGTTCGTCCCTCAGCCTACTGTAGCGCTCGTCCGGTGCAGCGGGCGAGTGTGGGCAACGACGAGCACCTGGCCCCAGCGGTGGGGCGGAATGGTGCTGCGGCACGCTTGCGCCCACACACCACCCGCGCTCGCCGCAATCCCCTTCCGCCGCAAGGAGGCACTGCGCGTGTTTCCTGCTTGGGCGGGCGCACTCGCCCCCAGCAACCCCACCAGCAGATGCCACACTCGGTGCGACGACTTCACTTTTGGAGCTGTTAACACTTCATTGATTTCGATAATGTTGGAAAGGTTTGCAAGGACGCCATCTACCCTTCAGCACACAACACATACATCAAGGTTAGTACGCTCGTCATCCAGCATAAGTGACCAGCGTGCAGAGCGAGGCCTTTTGCCTGGTCGGGTTGGGCAGGTTGAACTAAAGGAGTCGGGACGGGGGACTGGATAGCAACTTGTCGACCAGTACGATGGCGCTTGGACGCACCATGACACATCGGATGCAACGATGCGCTCCGCTTGGATCGTTAGTGTCCGGATACAAACCTCCGGTAGGCCAGCCGAAGGCAAATAGAGGGGCGATCCGAGCAATCCTCTCATTGAGCACGATGGCCGCGCTTGGCAGAGCAGCTACTTCAGCTTAGGCTTGTCTTCAGCTGGAACTCGATCCGTTTTGGTCAAATCGACCAAGGTAGCGATGGAGTATGTGCAGAGGTGGATCGCTACGGATAGAGATCATGGAGTGAAGAGCAGGGGAGTATGAGATGGAGGCGACAAAGGAGCGGATGACTATGGTCTATGGACAGGAGGCAATGTTGGGACGAGCGCACTGGGGACCATCGAGGCAGTCTTTCGACGAAGCAAACGTTCAGCTCCGGCAGTCACAGAGACTTGACGACGGTCACACCACGAAGAAGAACTGCCAAATAACTGACTAAAGCGTGACTTTATTTCCCTGTTCACATTTGCAGATGCCGCCCAAGGTTCGCGCTGCCGCCCCAGAAGTCTCGCTCGGCCCTCAGGTCGGCGAGGGAGAGCTCGTTTTCGGCGTTGCCCACATTTTTGCTTCTTTCAACGACACTTTTGTCCACGTCACTGATCTCTCTGGCAAGGAAACCATCACCCGTGTCACTGGTGAGTACATTGAGCCTTTCGAGCTCTGAGCTCTACGAATAAGTGAATGGGGATGGTAGATGTTCGGCTTCTGAAAGGCCACGGAAAGTGGGCGGCAGAGCGAAGAGCAGTAAGCATCGAAGCAACAGTCGATATTCAATTGCAGGATATGCAGACCGGGTAGGCATAGCTTCCAGTTGGTTATTGCAGGAACGTTTCGGGTCTTGGTATGATAAGAATTCAAAGTGGACGGATCGATGGCTGCCCTGGCAGCAGTTAATGGGTTGGCAGGCATCCTCAGCAACTTTCAGCAGACATTCAGAGCATGCGACTGACGCTATTCGACCGTTCCATTCTTGACCTACAGGCGGCATGAAGGTCAAGGCAGACCGTGACGAGTCGTCGCCATACGCAGCTATGTTGGCCGCGCAGGACTGCGCGGCGCGCTGCAAGGAGATCGGCATCACTGCCCTGCACGTCAAGCTGCGCGCCACCGGCGGCACTGGCACCAAGACTCCCGGCCCCGGTGCGCAGAGCGCTCTGCGTGCGCTGGCACGGTCCGGCATGCGTATCGGCCGCATCGAGGACGTCACGCCCGTTCCGACTGACTCCACGAGGAGAAAGGGTGGTCGCCGCGGTCGTCGTTTGTAATTTGTGGCTTCGGTCGGCTCCGCGTCCCCGCCGCTGGGCTATTCGCACATTCCTAGGCTTTCTACTGTATGCTTTTTTGCGTGCTTTTCTTGCTGTATCGCTCGTCAGCTGGTGGATGTCTCTTGAGAAATCGCGGGAGATGGAGGCACACAGCCGTGCCGCGTGTGTGCTGGCTCGCATATGGGCGAGGCAGAGACTTGAGGATGTGAAAACACGAGCCAACACGCCTAGCTGCGTGGCCCCATGGCTTGTGGTTTCAGCGAGCGGCCTTGTGTGTCCCGCGGGTTTCACAGGCCTTGCATCCATTCACTCCAGGGACAGGCGACGCGGTGGGTAGGGTAGGGTAGGCGTGACATTGGCAGCGCAACAGCAGACTCGCCATGTGAGGCCACACGTCGCTCTTGTCGTGGCAAGTGTGTATGGAATGTACTCGTACGTACCTCGCATGTATTCCCGATTTGACGGCAGACATGCAGTGTGCGGCGGACGCGCTCAGCGCAGACAGCTCGGCGTCTTGTCAGGCGCGGCCCTGCCACAAGTCGGATGCAGTTTGCAGAGCTTACAAATGTGTATACATCATGTGTATGTGTTGCCCGCAGCGGCGACAGCGGTAGCGATGGCCGCGTGGTCGCGTAGGCCTCTGATGCTTTGCATGGACACAGACCGGCACACCCTGGCGCCAGGCGGTAGGGCTGGCACTCGGCTGCCTGCGAGTCGAGGACTGTGAGAAAGGACTCCCCGAAACGTATTCGTTCGGACAGCTTGCAAACAGACTGCAGCACCAGGCTCTAGATCGGCGGGAAATCGCACAGAGGTACTGAGGTGATACATGCATACACTCGGCTGAGGGGTGCTGATCCATATGCGATTTGGAGAGACCTATGATCTACATGGGCATATACCAGTCGCTTAAGCTGAGAACCAGCCACCAAGCGCTCCGCGCGTTTTTTCGAGCGTGTCCATTGACCCATCCCTCTGTACCAGTTCCATGCAGCATACTAAAGCTCTTTGTCGTGTTCTAAACAGGTGTGTGTATATCTTCCGCAAGCATGGGTGATGAGATGACGAGAAGTTGATGGCCTGGTAGAGAGGGAAACGTCTCACGTCTCTACACAGTATATTCCGACCTACGAAGTCTCTGATGAGGCTAATTCTATTTTATTTATTTATCTCCCATCGGCTCCGAAAACGGCAGGAAAAGAAAGAGAAGAGCACGCGGTGAGGAGCGCGGTAAGGAACCGGTCGGTCCCTACTAGCCGAGCTAGCGCGCTTCATCATGGATCACACACAACACGTGCACTGTCTTGACGCTTGCTCCTCGCCTGCTCTCTGTGCAGAGCATCTCTTCTCTCTGCCCTCTGCACACAGCGCCAAGCTGGGCGCGGGAGTGTGTGAAAGAGGGGAGCCTCTGCACTCTGCAGCCCCCTGTCCGCCAGGCGCCGTCCAGTGTCCACCGCATGGAAATGGGGATGGCGAGGAGAGGAGTTAAGAGGAACGGGGAGGGGAGGGGTTAGGCAAACGAGCCACAGATGGCAGCGGCCCGACGAGTCACTGCACGCACGCTCTCGGCGCCGTGCCCTCTGTAGGCTTCTGTATTATACCTGGAGAGGTGTGTGGATGTGGTGGGGGCCATGTGGCTCTTATCTCAAGATCTCACATCGAAACTATACATGCACATATACCATACATAGATGCTGCTGGCCCTCCCTTTACAAACCCACCCTCCTCCCTGCGCCTCGGGTAGAATCTACACCCGCTCGCGAGCGTCACCTCTTGCTCTCTACACCGCCGCCGCTTCCTCCCATCTCCACCTCACTGTTTCCCTGCCCGTTCCCCATCGCACCATGCGCGCCACCCTTTTCATTGCCGCCGTCGCCGCCGCCGTAGGTGGCGCCGGCACGATCGTTGGTGCGTCGCCGTCCGGACCGGCGCAAGCAAGCCCTGCCGCCGCCGCGTTCGGCGGGTCGATCGGGAACTACGTGCAGTGCGCACGCGCGCTGACCGTGCGCTCGTGCTCAGCCGCGTCGGCCGCGTTCAAGGCTAACTCGCCTTCGGCGTGCTGCACCAACACATGGATCGACGCCAGAAACCAGACTGACGTCGGGCAGCAGAGCGGCCTCATCCTCAGCACCCAGTTCTGGGACGGCGGCGCGTCTGGCCAGGCGGACCTCGTACGCAGCACCTCCATCCACGGCCTCTGGCCCGACCACTGCGATGGGTCGTACCCGCAGTACTGCACTGCGCAGACCGGCATCCCCGAGCGCACCGCCGCGCAGATCGTGCAGATTATCAGCCAGAACGACCCGGCGCTGTTCGCGTACATGCAAAAGTACTACCTCGGCACCCCCGACGCGCCGTCGTTCTGGGAGCACGAGTACAACAAGCACGGCACCTGCTACAGCACTCTCCGCGCAGAGTGCAACGCCCATCTCACCCAGCCGGGCCTGAGCGTCGAGGACAGCGTGGTGCTCAACTACTTCCGCGAGATTGTCAAGCGGTTCCAGCGCCACCCCACGTATGACTGGCTCGCCCAGGCCGGAATCACCCCGTCCGACAAGAAGACGTACAACCTGGCCGAAATGCAAGCCGCCCTCAAGAGTGGTAGCGGCGCCACGCCGTACATTGGCTGCACCTCCACCGGCGCGTTCGACGAGGTATGGTACTTTAACTACGTCTACGGCCCCCTCATCAACGGCTACTACGTCCCCACCGAGAGCACTTCCAAGAGCTCCTGCCCCGCAACCGGCATCAAGTACCTCCCCAAGGTATAATCATCACCTCCATAATCGCAACCTGCTGCATGTAAATAGATCTGGGCCGCCAGATTGCCCGTCGGCCCAGATGCATTGTCCACAATAGTAAACTTGCATTACAAGAAACTATTCCATCAGAGCAGAGCAGCGACTCGCTTTCCTGTCTGGAGGGTGTAGAGGCAACCCCATTTTTTGTATGATCCGTGCATGCATTTCACGTCACACCAAAGATGACGCAGGCAACGTATCGTGGACGCCCATCGTGATGCCGTTGAGCGCACTACTGCCCTACAGCTCGACCGCGTCGCTGAGCGCGGAGTGACGGCGAACCTGCCCTGCTTGGGGAGAACGGGTTCCTCCACACCTCGAAGATGACATTGGCGTTGCCCGCGATGGCCTTCGCGAGGTTGACGTGCGCAGCGCATTAACGAGCGTCGCATTCGCGCACCGCGCGGGTGTCTGCAGCCCGCGCAACAGCAGGGTCGTGCTCGCCGCGCCGGCGCAGGAGCGCGCAGCACGCGCGTCAGCCCCGAGCGACATGAGGCCCGACTGCCAACTCCAGGCGGCGGGCCCGTAATACGCGGCGCAGTCGAACACACCGACATTGCTCCGGTTCGCCTCGGCCACCGGATTACCGACGAAGATGCTCACGTTCGGCAGCAGTCGGTCCGAGAACGGCGCACTGCATGTAGTCCGCCGTCAGGTTCCGCCAGGAGTCCAGCCTGAAGCCCAGGTCGGAGTGCAGCACGTCGATCACCGAGCTATTGTCGCAACGCGATGGCTGTCCAGCGTCTTTGGCGCAGTGTAGATGCTAGCCGTCTCAGTCGTCGTCGTAGAATTCGCCGCTCCATCCTCCTCGCGCGCAGGGAACATCAGGATTCATTCTCGGTCGCATTCGGTACCGTAGCCCTCGGGCTGGAGCTGTCGTCGGCGGTGGTGATAAGGGGGCCGTTTCCATATAGCAGCGATGTGGTCGAGTTGGGCCGCAGCAAATAATCAGTTAGGAAAGCATTCGCCTCGTCCGCAGGGATCATCGACTCGAAGAATTGCAGCGACTTTTCCTCTCACGTCTGCGCATAGCTCCTCACCGTAGCCTCCAGCGAGCTGTTCCAGTTTCCAACCTGCACCAAGTCGGCAGTGACGTACAGCGCAGCAGGTCACAGCGCTGTGTTGACCTCGGATGCGCGCGAGCCGAAGCCGAAGCTCTCGTTCGAGTCCCTCAAGTTTTCAACGGGCTGGCGGTCGCCGTCAACGTCTGGTAGGCCATCAGGTTCTGGAAGTTGCTCGGGTCCGTGGCAAAGGCTTCAGAGGAGTTGAGAATGTACTGCACATTTGCGTCGACAAGTTTGCGGTAGGTCGTACCGTTAGCTGGCGAGACTACTAGTGCGGTTGAGGAACGCCTGTGCGGTCTGGCTGGCTGTGTCGGAAAACGTGCCCACCCGCTGCGAGCAGCGGGGTCAACGCAGAGTGACAGTATCTTGAATGACTACATTTTTGTTTCGCTGCTGAAAGATGTTGTTGAGGGAAGCGAGTGTCAGAAGGAAAAGAAAGATGAGCAAACAGATAGTAGCAAAACTACGTTATATATTTATTGTGAGCTGTTGCGAGTCGGTTCGAAGAGCAAAATCTTGTCACCCATCGGTATGTGGGGGTTGCGCCTCGCTCTACAGTCTACATGCTGCAATGAGAACAGTAGTGAATGCTCCCGGGTTGACCGCTGGCCGGCCGATCGTTGAACCTTTCGAGGAAGCGTTCTGCGATAAGAGTGGAGCAAGGTCACACGAGCTGTGTACGGGATGTTCGCCAAGGCCACCTCAGGTCAAGCAGCCATCTCTCTCCGCAGACCACATTCCACAGCACAGCCCTTCCGTTGCAGATCGCTCGTGCATCGCTTGTTTCCCTTTTTTTATGCAGCTGACTTGCTCCGTGCGGTGTGATCGCCCGTTCAGCTCCCTGGCGGCGCTCCTCTTCAAAGTGAGGTTGTTGAAGACCAGGAGCTGGAGAAGCCACATGAATCGACCGCCAAGAAAACTCTCTCTATGATATGACAAGATGTAGCCGGTATTTATTGTCCATCTAGAGACACATGTGTCGGGACATGCTCCGAGGAGCCCTCAAAGCGATCTCAAGACGTGAAAAGAAAGCACAACTCACCTTGCAATCAACAATTCACGATCGAAGATCGGCGAAAAACTTGGCGTACATTCACTCTGCGCCAAAAATCGGCACGTCCTAAACCAGACCGAGATCCCAGATCCTATAGAGGCCGTCACCTGTTTGCACCTGTCCATGGCACTCCCGTGGTTGCCCATGGGCAGTCAACCGAGATGGCTGTCTATGAAGTGTGACGATATGATTAATATGGCGTTGCACCGTGGACCAACGGTGCAACGCGCGACTACAGGCGCCACCAGCACCTCCGCGGCGTCGCCAATACTTTCGTCGTGCTGTCTGTAGGTTGCCGTGGTACGTGCCTGATACGCCACCGGCGTGTATACTGCGAGTAGAACGGTCAGGAGGTACGCCGTCGTAGGGCGTCAACAGGTCCTCTCAGTACGACATCCTTAAATGTCTCAAATCAACAATATTGTGCCATTGCACTGTGGTCGGCGACGAGAATGAAGCCGATTATGTCGAGGTTGCTGATCTGCACTGCTTAAGCACCCTTTCTCGTCCACATCCGCATCATTCAAACGTCAAAGGTGGCTAGATGATCGACGCCCCCGCTGACAGTGATCGCCAAGCCTGTCCTGCGAGGGTCAGCTCTGACCTGGCCAGCCACAGGGTCACCTCCAGCCTCCTCAGCGTCAGGTATATTTCGACCAAGCTTCTCCCCCCCCCCTCCCCTCGGGATACAGTAGCTACACCGCCACCCGTCGCCGCTGTGGAAATACTATCAAGGAGAAAAAGATTTACAACATAGTTGTTCTTGCCGGCGACTCGCATGCTTACTGGGTCTTTGACGGCAGCCTGCCCGAGGTTTGGACAAGTACGGTGAGTCAAGCTTGAGCTCAAAGAAGGGTACTCCCCTCGTTGACAACTAGCTCTCTCATTGAAGACACTGGCATGCAAAGATCCGGCCACAGGAAAGGGTGCAACTTTTGTCGAATCCTCAGTCACCGCTGTCTCCCCACCAATTAATACGGCAAGAACCTGGCTCAGGAGAAGGGTGATGCGCATACGAAGGCACTCGTCACGCACAAGAACTTGGCCTACGCCGACGGTGCCCGCCGCGACTGGTACAAGCTCACCGTCTTCCAAAACATGGTGCAGGCCGACTATTACGATGTGGACAATGTGTCCGACCCCAACAGTGCCGTTGCACAGCTTGCCTCCTTCGATGTTAAGGACGGTGCCAACATTATTACCCACCCTATCAATGGCAATATGAAACCGGCCAGCGGAGTGATTCATCGGAGTTGTCAACTACAAGTTGCAGCCGTGGGTTGGCGCCGCTGTCCGTATCGCTCTCTGAGCTCCTGCTCCTTTATGGTCGCAGCGGCACCAAGTAGATTCAGATACCAAAATCGCATGTAAAATATCCACGAGAGACAAGCAGATGTGAAATGATGTCCGCTATAGGCTCGGCACATGTTCCTTCTGTAATCATCCGCGGATGTTTGTGTCGACTGGGCTACATGGCGCACAGCGAAGCCTCAAAACCGGTGCTCAGAATGAGGAAGGAGAATACCAGCGACATTGGGAGATCTGATTACTGACCAGCAGTTTCAACTGAAGATGACGGGAGACAATTACGTCAAGTTCAGTGTATTTGCGCATGCCATGCCGAGCCTTGAGTCCTGGGCAAGTCAAAATACCCTACGCTCGGTACGCTACTCATTGTTGGGTGTGACGGGTGAAATGGTGGTTGTGCGAAGTATGATCAATGGATTCGAGTCATCGACTACGAGGAGTCACACAGTCTTTTGACGGATGGGAGAAGAGGATTCGGAGATTCGGAGCTGAGAAACGTCGCTCAGAAAGGTGTCAAGGCCTCAGGCTTACACGTCCACCAGATATACCTGCGAAAGCGACACAATTGTCGAAGTATATGCATCCTGGTACACCCTTTATACCCAAGTATCATCTCCTTGCTTGCTATGGTGCAGGACTTGTGGAAACCTCGATTGGATTGCTCGTTTGTTTTGGTTCCCGGTTGAAGCTGCCACAGTGCGAACGCGGTCAAGGTCCATGGAAGCTCCCAAAAAACAAATCAAGGTCGTGCTGGCCGAGCCACAAGATGCAGATACTTTGGGCGACATTCACGGCCGAGGTAAGCTCGCCGACGGTCGAAAATCCTATCCTGATGCCCTACATAACTCCATTAACTCTCTCTATTGCTGGTGGCAGCGTTCGCATCATGCCTAACCTCCATCTTCCCTATGGGTCCGGAACTCACTGTGCCCTACTTGGATTTCCGACGATCGCAGTGCCGTCGGCAGGCTGTTGCCGTCCATGATCCAGTGCAAAAGTCTCTGCGCAAGTCTTATCCGTCAATTTTGCTCAAGGCTGTCCTTCGAGATCAGGCGACTGGCAAGGACGAAATAGTAGGCGTGCTTGTTGGCCAGGTGGTCCCACGACGTTCAGACTCGGTAGCAAAGGCGTCTATCGACCGTGCCGATGCGTCGTTACCGGTGCTGAAATTCCCAGAAGGATATAATGAAAGGATTTGGAACGCCCTGAGGGACCTGATGATCAAGGCCGAAGCGGATTTTGTCGGAAATCAGACGGTCCTCGGTCAGTTCAAGTGCGCCTTTGCATGAACGGGCATTGCCAGCCCTTTGATGACTCGGCTGCCTTATTGAAACAGAATTTCCTCTCTAGATATCGGAATCCTGGCAGTATCGTCTGCCGCTCGAGGCTATGGCATCGGCCGAGCGATGATCGATCATCTCAAGTCTCACTACCCGGGCTTACCCATCTGTCTCACCGCGTTCGAATCCGCTGTCGGCTTCTACGGTCGCAATGGCTTCGAATGTCCACGGGACCGCATGATCTCTCATCCAGATTGGGGCTTCAGGCTATTTCCGTGCATATGGCGGCCGACAAGCACAGATGCTGTAGACGAAGAGAACATCGATAATATGTGACGAATGATCAAAGCTCCGAAAGTATCCTGTCGAAAGAAACGACACCCTCTCGACCTAGTGACGTCGCCAGCGCTACTACTGCTGCCCCAGCAGCCTGCATTCTCCTTGCAGCCGCACCATTCGTGACACCTCCAACACCAATGATCTTGATCTCGCGTACAGATGCATGTTGCGAAGCATCGAGCATCATGCGGAGGCGCTTCACGGTGCCCAGCGCGAGCGGGTGCAACGATTCGCCCGCCAACCCTCCAAAGCCTTCAAAGTTTTTGGTGCTGTCCACAGGCAGGCTGGGCTCAAGCAAGTGCCCTGCTGCCTCGTTCTTGAACCATGTGCAGCCACCGAGTGTATTGATAGCTGTCAGGAATTGGATTGTGTGTGGCCTGGCCCCATCCGTGGCAGACTCGCTCAGAGCTTCCGGCGAAGTCTCCTCCAATGCTTGAACGAGCTGTGAAAATTGAGCTGGGTACGTGTATGGTGGGATCTTCAGTCCAGTCGTCACGGTCGTCCGAGCATGTGCTCTGGAATTCTTCGCTGCGTGGATGAACAATTTTATACCGTCTTTCGAGTAGCCTGGGGGGACGGTGACGCCGCGAATCTGTTGCCACAGTCATCGTGCTGGTCAGGTGTCATGCGACCCGTGCACGTACTCGCGAACGGCTCACATTAGGACAGCTCAAATTGATCTCGCACCCAAGCAAGGTGGACCACGGCGACAATGGCCCAGTTCCCGAGATTTGTGAAGAGAGCTCTCGAAGCCCCATGTGCACCGCTTCAGGGTCGCCGGTGATGGAGACAATAAACGGTTTCTGAGGATTCGCACTTGCAGACAGAGTCTTGCGAATTTCGGCCAAGAACATTTGCAAGGGACGAGGGGCATATCCATAGGAGCTGTTTTGAATCATGCAAGCCGAAGCTGTCAGAGGGTGAGATATGAGCGTGGACTGTCCGATTCTAGCACTTGGTCACCCACTTTAACGATCCTTTTTCGACGCCATTTTCGCGCAAGAATACGTGCGTATGCACTTTATCATCTTGTTGGAAAGATGAATCACCGACATCAGGTTGGATCAACAGCACTGTGCGAGTTGTTACCGCCGATGTGCTGGACGGGTGACAGCGGAAGAAAGATCTATGGTGAGGTGCGAGTAGGCGCGAAACGCAGCTGGAGCGGCTTTACCTCGGGGATTCATGTAGCTGATGGAGGTGCTCTACATCTGCCCAAGGAGAAGCTGCAAAGAAGCCAGTAAAAAGGGATTGTGAGATCCGAAACCGATGCATGACGCACAGTCGGGAAACTGACCCGAATTCATGAGTGGTGTTGCGTCTGATGGGGCTTTCGCAGGAAGGCGAAAGTGCAGGTCGCCGATCGTCACCATCATGGGAACGTCACGCTACGTCGATGCTGAGCGTCGCTGAGCGGCAGGCTGTATGGAGCAGAGTACGGACGACCTACCACGGTCGCTTAAGCGGCCAGGGGCCTGGAGGGGATGATCGTAAGACCGGGCTGCCTGTATTCCACCTGATGAGTGTGCTACCTCTTATCAGTCCGTTATCTCGACAAATAACGCGCGCGCTGTGGCGCGCACTGCGGCGCAAGAATGACTTGCGCAAAGATGGAGACAACCTCGATGCATTTCATACAAAGCAATGTACACAGTCATCATCATCATTCTAGATAGAATACTAATGTTTGCTGAACCGATATCGCACACGATCAGCAGCAATGAGGAACTCCTGACGAAGCCGTTGAGGCGAAGCGTCTGAGCCGTCCTGGCCCTGCTGCCCTTGACTCGTATTAATATCCTGCCCGACCTGGTGCGCCAGCCCACCGCCTGTCAGCGACTGCGGCAGGATGCTGTACCCAAGCGGGCCGCAGTCGCATTCGGCACAGAGCAAGTACTTGACAGTGAACTCGGGCGCGCTGTCGTTTCCGCCGTCCAGAAGGTGATCGGAGAGCTCGCCCCATGTGGGAGACGCAGAACGCTGCGGCGAGAGACCGCGTGGAGGCGACACGGACGGCGTCATAGAGTTTTGGCGCTTGGCGGCTTTGAGCGTCGCCTTGCGCTCCGCTTTCTCTTTCTTCTCCCGCTCCTTTTGCTCGCGCTTCTCCTCCTTGGTGGTTGGAAGCGCTCCGCTTACGTGGTTCTCCGCCCTCGGGCTCGTCACCTGGGCGCCCGGTACGGGCTTCCACTTCGCATCGCGGGAGAAGCTGATGTTGTCGAACGCAAGCGGCGTCGGAACGATCCAGAACGCCTGGCCGGGCGTGACAGGTAGCGCCGGTCCGTTTGCGGTCGACACGCGCGCCTGCGCAGGCGGCTGCGGCGGCGAGGGATGCATTGGCGGTGCGGGCGAGTTGGGCAGGTTGAGATCGGACGACATGAGTGGACCGATTTCGCGCACTTCCCACATGCCGCGGTCGACGCCCATGATCTTGCAACCGCACTCTGCGCGTGGGCAGTATACGTCCGCAAGGTTGGTACCGAGTTCGCGCGAGACGAGGCGCGCTTCGAGCGCGCTGAACGCGTCCTCGTGCGCCGTCTTGCCCGCCAGCGCCGAACCGAGGATGGCAGAGAAGGACTGGCCCGGGTTGCGCTGCGAGCTCTGCGACGCAGAGAGCGATTGTTGGCGCAGCGCTGAGAGCAGCGTCGACGTGCAAAGGCTGTTGTTACCGGTGGAAGGGGCGGATACATGCCCGCCGGCGTCGTCGCTGTGCACAGTTGAGGCAGAGGAGCCAGTGTTGGAGCGGGAAGACTTGCCCGCCGTCGCTGCAGGACTTGGGGAAAGCGTGCCGGATGGCAAAAGCTGCGGCGCATCCATGTGCATAGGCGACAGGCACAGCTGGGTCTCCGAGTCGGAGCTATCGCGAGTATCGGCCTTGCCTGATGCGGGAACTGCCCCGCTCTGAATATACGCAATGGCCTGCTCCTTGCGCTCCGCGCTCTTCTTTTCGAGCCACTGCCGCTCCTCTTCGCGATCCTGCAACTGCTGTGCCGCATCGTCCTGCGCCCAGCCGTCTGCAACGACCTTCTTCATGTTCTGCGGGACGATGTGGCGGCGGCACTCGATCCAGTCACCACTGCCGTACTGGACGTGGCTGTTGCCGAGCACCAGGAAACCGCACGCCTTCATCAACGGCAGGAGCTCCTCGTGCACAATCACTGCGGCCGTCTCGTAGCCACGCTTGCGGATGACGGGCATGCCCAGCCCGCCCATCGCGGCGCTCTGGTTATCCGACGTGCTCTTGCCGAGTTCAGCGTCGCGGATGCGCTGCACAAATGTGTCGACCATCGTCTTGGCGATCCGCCGGCGTCGCCAGATCTTGCCGACGACGATCGAGTGCATGCAGACGAGGTGCGCGTCTTCGCTGTCGTCGTGCAGACTTATTGCACGCGCAGTGTAGGCGCCGGCGGCGGTTGCGCACACAAAGCCGATTAGTGTGCGCTTCTCCTTCCGGCTCCTCTCCGACGCCGACGCTGACCCTTGCTCGGCCGCCGCGAGGGGACTTGGGGGCTGGGCGCTCTGTTTTGCGGTGCTCGTCGCACCGGTGCTGACAAACAAGCTGCCCGTTCTGCCATCCACATGCGTCAAGTTGTTCGCGGCGGTGTTGGTCAGCCCACCACCGGATGGGGCAGCGCCAGATGCAGGGCCACCCTCGTCGGAGCTAGCGCTCGAGGCCGTCTTGGGGCTCTGGAGCTGCTCAACGGGCAGCGCAGCAGCGTGCCGCGTTTCGCCGCCTTGCACCATTTTGTTTGGGAGGAACGCGCCGAGGAAGAGATGCGGAGCTCGGTTGTGGCGATACCTTTGCCATAGTCGCCACCGGAAAGCACGGACATACAGTCAGCAATAGAGTTGGCGCGCAAATAGGCCGGGAACTCCGAGTGCCAGACAGGCATGCACGAGCGAGCAACTCACCTGAAGCGTTCGAGCGGCGCCGCGTCGCCATGCTCATAGCTTTCAGTCTCCATCGCGTGCGCAAGCTTGATTTCATCCGGCTTGAGGTAATCAAAGTAAAGGCCCATTGGGAGGCGCTTGCCGCTGGCGCCCTTGCCAGAGTTGAGGCCACTCGTCGCGGCGTACAGCGCGCTCGCGGCGGCCAGCGCTGCCGTGTCGACGTGCGACACGGCAATAGCGCTGCTGCTGCTGCTGCTGCTCGGCGAGCTCGCCCCCATGTCGCCAACGCCGCCGCCTCGGACCGACGATATGGAAGCGATGCGAGCCTTGTCTGAGTTTGAACCGTTGCGCTTGGCCTTCGGCGACGAGCTGGTCGAGATGTGATTCCGCGCAGAAGACGACGGTACGAACGCATACGATGCGTTGGGCAACGCGCGCAGTTGCAGCGCCGCTTCCCTCTCGGCTGTCGGCTCCTCTCCAGGTAGGAAGAGCGTCCCTGTTGGGAAAGACGGCTCTGCCGAGCCTGGGGAAAGCATCACATCTTGTGCTACAGCGCTCGTTTGCGCTTGAAACGGTTGCGACGCACTCGTTTGCACGACATTCTCCCAGTTGCTTGCTAGCGCTTCTGGGCTGCGAGAAGACTTGCCAGGTGTTGCTGCACCCTTCTCCGCATGATCTTTCGTCGTCGCGGCCGCGGCCGTTGACTTCGCTGCGGAAGCAGCGGCGGTCTGTGCGGCAGCATTGAGCATGTTAATGCTGTTGGCGCGCCTGATGTGCGGCGTGAGCGACAGTCTTGCGCTGTTCAGTCGATCTCGGAAGCCAGGCTTGGGGGCGCTCTCGCTGCTAAACGTCTCGCCGCCGCTTCCGGACCCGAATCCCCCGCTTCTCGTGCGCTTCAAGAAGCCGCCAGCGCTGAGCCCTGAACCGTCGCCGCTGTCGCCACCTGCAGCATCTTGGCCGTTTCCCTGGCCTTGCGCCGCCGTCTTGTTGCGTCCTCCGCTGCCGCCTGCGGCGCCGCCTCCGTGTCGCCCTCCCTGCGCTGTGGATGCGTTGCGCGAGATGGTCGACGTCGGCGGTGGGAAGAGCGATATGGGATTCATCTTGGTTGACGCAAGATCTGTCTGCGTGAAACTTTTCAGATCCCTTTCCGTCTTTTTGGAGCACAGAACCGGGAACGGGCTCAACAGCACTCTTCGCGGTTGGAACTGAGTGGCGATGGCATTCACGATGAGGCGTTATTCTCTTTTGTTTTGTGACGGTCCAAGCAGTCGGTTACGACACTCATTCGTATCGCCTCGGCGCGTCGAGTGGTTGAGCTGCAAGAGGTGCACCTGCCGGACGTAGAGGCTGATTTTCCGATGATGTCTGACGACACTGCTGCTCGCACACTTTGGGGGCCCCTGGATGCTGTCGACTTATCTGGACCCCTGCAACAGTACGAAGCCTAGCGGGGCGGAGTGTAGCGGCATGCGTCCTCAGCGTGCGTGGTGACTGCGGCGGACTCTATGAACAGCGCACAGCAGAGCATTCCCTCGCCTCAGAGGTGCATGAGAGAGTATGCACAGAGCATGTACGCCGTCCGCTCCAACACCTTGCTCGTTCTTGTTACATGCAGCTATCATTGATGGGATGGACGATAGTGACCGAGCGATTGATCAAACAGCCAGCCAGCCAGACCCAAATCTCCGGCTCCCCTCTCCCTCATCCACTCTCCTCTTTGTCAGCGTCCACACTGGTCGGCCAGCCACCGGATGGGCGGAGTGAGTGGGGTGGACGCAGGGCAAAGAAAAGTGGGCCTTAATGCATCAAGGCGCCCGTCAGAGTGACGGCTGCCACAGCAGTGAAGGAGAGGCCGACAGAGAGTCATGTGACACGACCCTGGCAGCCATTCCGCCTTGTGCTGCATCTCCGGCTGTTGGCGCCCACACACCGCACAGGCACAGGAAACGTGTCACCCACTCTAACAGCCACTTTGCGCTGATGATCCGACTAGGGATTGGCAAAATCATCGTAATCACTTAGTCACCAATAATTGTGAAGAACGACTTTCGGGACCGTTGATTTTATTCGGTCCGTAATTCGGCTAGCCACCATATGAATCGGGCTGCATCCCTGAAATGATCATAAACATTGACAAATATTGCATATATGTACATCCATTATTTTAATCCGTGATATTATTGATACATTACAGGGTTTATGGCGTCGTACGCATGCAATCGCATCGCACACCTTGAGCTGAGCCTGCCAGAGCCTGCTATGTGGGTTGCAAGTATATCAGTACTGAAAAGGGCTTGGGCCACTTCCTGGTGCCTCCCCCACCTAGGAAGCTCAGTCGATCCGTCCGGACCTGGAGCGAACCCACCCACGAGTCTCCCGTAATTTCACGTTTATTGTGGCACGTTAAAAGGGGGATTATTGCCCAAATTTATACATTGGATTCATTCGGCAAATGGGCGTGGGAGCTGTCTTTCCGCCAGTGGTTTGCTTTCTGGTCAATACCCAATATGCAGTATAGCGCGGCACGGTCATCAGTTGTGCAAGTGCTGCCTGCTAGCTGCAGGAGCGCAGCTGTTCTCTCGTTCGAGGTCAGGCCACCCAACATCTTCATCAGCACATACATAGTCATGTCGTAATTTTGGTTTTAGCCAAGGACTCGCCGAATTGAGGGGGCTCGACAATGGCGAGGCGGGCATGTAGCCTGCACTGCTGGCAGCAAGCAGATGGGAGGGAGGCCGGGCGCCCTGCTACTCGCCAGCCGTCTGGGGCAAAGAAGTGGGAAGGAGCGCTGAATGCAAAGAAAAGTGCACCGTGCTTGCGCAATCCTCTCTTCCACTGCTGTGCCTCTGCTGAGCGCAGTGTAGCAGACGCACGGACCACCTATAACCGCCGAATATTCTGAGACTCTTTTATGTACCTGCTATACCAGTAAAGGATGTCTCACACACTTCAATGTTGTTGCCACGACCCTACCTTCCTGCGTTCTCTTCTCTCTTTGCCGCCACCTCAACGACTCGGCCTGCTCTCCTTTCGCACAGACCTTCTGCAACGTTCCTCATATTCTGTGCAGTTAGAACTTGTCTTCAATTCCACCTCGAAGCTTTTCACCTTCTCTACAGTGATCCCAACATCGTCGAAGCCAAATGTGAGTATTTTGTATATGTTACAACCCGCGACCCATGCTGTACATATAGCCCCTGTTGGATTGCGCAACTCCTTCTGACGCCCTCTACGTCGTTGACTCAGCTTCTCCCCCTGTGCTCAAACATTCATGCAGCCATCCCTTCTTCGCTCATTCGCCACGACCTCTCGCATCATGTCGAACGTATTCTTTGACGTCGCCCGCAACGGCCAGCCGCTCGGCCGCATCACCTTCAAGCTGTACGACGATGTCGTCCCCAAGACGGCTAGGAACTTCCGCGAGCTCGCGACCGGCCAGAACGGATACGGCTACAAGGGCTCCACCTTCCACCGCGTCATTCCCTCGTTCATGCTCCAGGGTGGTGACTTCACCGCTCACAACGGCACTGGCGGCAAGTCCATCTACGGCGCCAAGTGCGTATACACGAAGGCCTCCCCAAGCGTAGTGACCCATAGCTAATTCTATTCCTGCTTCCCTATCCATCTGCTTCAGGTTCCCCGATGAGAACTTTGTGCTCAAGCACAACAAGCCTGGTCTGCTCTCGATGGCCAACGCTGGCCCCAACACGAACGGCAGCCAGTTCTTCGTGACCACTGTTGTCACCGAGTGGCTCGACGGCAAGCACACCGTCTTCGGCGAGGTCGTCGATGGCATGGACATCGTCAAGAAGGTCGAGAGCTTCGGCAGCCGCGATGGCAAGACAAACGGCCAGATCACCATTGCCGACTGCGGCACCCTCTAAGTCTCGCACTTTCCGAGTGCAAGGAAAATGACATTAGTCGAGGCAATGACAGACTCTTGTGACATGACGCGCGAACAGCCAAAATGTAAAAAGAAAGGGAACGAAGCCAAACTGAAGTCTGAGAAAGGATGAGAAGGAAACGACACTCTCAGAGACCGCAAGTCGTGCACATCAGACATACGATGCAGCAAGCAAACTGCGAGCGCTTGCAATTCTGTTTTTGTAAGCCTTTGCGTCGTGCCTGCGCAATGAAAGCGACCATTCGGACGCGTTATTTCAGATTCAGGCTCGCTAAGTGACAAGCGTCCTCCTAGAAGCTGGATGTCTACTGCTCTATCATTTTCTTGGTGTTATTATGGAAGGTCGAAGTGCATAATTGAATGATCACCGTAACGCAGCATAGGTACGACTCGGACCTGCCGCCCTGGACGCCAACGCTCGTCCGACGGCGTGTTTGGCTGCTCCGCAGACATGATGGAAAAGCAGAATCTGGCATTCTCACGGCCTCCGGCATGTAGAATGTGTGTGATGGACAGAGACGGTGATTCTTCGTTGGACAGCCGGCCAGTGTCGAACCATTTCTGTGCTACGAGTGAAATAGCGGAAGAGTGCAAGCTTGCGTTGTGTAGAATTTGCAAAAAGTGCTCCGTGCTGGAAGGAGCATTGAACTTTCTTCCTAACGCTTCAGGGTCAATGATTCAACGCATGAGGCAGTCTGTAGCAATTTGCTATATTCTGGCAGGCGTGCACACTACCTATTTGTATGTCATGATGATGTAGCGGCCAGTGGGCAACCATTAGTCTTTGGCCTTCTGCACAGGGGGATTGGAAAAGGACAATGACGAAACAACTCGAACCTGCTGACATTTAGAAGCATCCTCTCTGTTCTCAACAAGAGCGGTAATGGGAGAGAGATGAGTGTGGCTGTCTGCAGGCGGAGACTGCTCTTCGGCAACGAGCGGCGTGGGGTGTTATAACTTGCCGATGATGAAGAAAGCAATGCCGCTGATTGGCTGCGGATCAATGATGGACTGCGCGCACGGTCCACCGTGCTAATTCTGCAAGCACTGACTCGCTTTCGGCGATCCGGGGAAGTTGGGACGCCGTGAGACGTAGAGTCGGGGGCGAGACAGTGGCAAGTGGCAAAGCTGCACAGTGCACAGTCCCGCATCTCCATCCACACAACCTTCAGTGCTCGTTGTCTCCCCTCTCAAGAAGGCGTATATATGTCCCCGGTAGCCCACAATTGCTCTTTCTCTCGCCACCAACATCCTGTATCGCACATCGCATACGGAAACAAGAAAAAACGTCATCCATCATGCCATCTGCTGAAGTTTTCAACGGCGGTGCCGAGAACGTCCTCTACACCACCAGCAATGGCGCGCCCTACGCGCAGCCATATGAGGCGCAGCGCGTCCACGTTGGCAACAAGCAGGTCGGATCGATTCTGACTCTCCAGGATTTCCACCACATTGGTACGTCATGGTGGTTCCCAGTACGGCTTGCTACGATTTGGGACACGTGTCGCTAACAATCCCCCCGCTGTTCACTATAGACCTTCTCGCGCACTTTGACCGCGAGCGCATCCCAGAGCGTGTCGTTCACGCCAAGGGTGGCGGAGCCCACGGTGTCTTCGAGGCCACCCACGACATTTCGGACCTGTCCTGCGCCAAGCTTTTCGAGGTCGGCAAGAAGACACCCATCACACTGCGTTTCTCGACCGTTGGTGGCGAGTCTGGTAGTGCAGACACGGCGCGCGATCCCCGTGGCTTTGCGATCAAGTTCAGGACCGAGGAGGGCAACCTCGACTGGGTCTTTAACAACACCCCCGTCTTCTTCCTCCGCGACCCGGCAAAGTTCCCGCACTTCATCCACACCCAGAAGCGTGACCCGCAGACCCACCTGAAAGATGCGGACATGTTCTGGGACTACCTCTCGCAGAACCCGGAGTCGATCCACCAGGTCATGATCTTGATGGGCGACCGTGGTATCCCCCGCGGCCACGCGTTCCAGCACGGGTACTCTGGCCACACCTTCAAGTTCGTCAACCACAAAGGCGAGTGGCAGTATGTCCAGATCCACGTCCGCTCCGACCAGGGCGTCAAGTTCTACACGCAGGAGGAGGGCACCAAGCTCGCTGGTGAGAACCCCGATGTCCACAACCAGGAGCTCTTCGAGCAGATCGAGCGCGGAGAGTTCCCATCTTGGACCGTCTCAGTGCAGACCATGACGCAAGAGCAGGCCGACAAATTTAAACACTCTGTCTTCGACCTCACCAAGGTCTGGCCACATTCGGAGTTCCCGCTGCGCCCGGTTGGCAAGATTACACTGAACAAGAACCCGAGTAACTACTTTGCGGAAATCGAGCAGGTCGCTTTCTCGCCTTCGCACCTCGTCCCTGGCATCGAGCCTTCCGCTGACCCGGTTCTGCAATCGCGCCTCTTCTCGTACCCGGACACGCACCGTCACCGTCTCGGAGTCAACTACCAGCAGATTCCTGTCAACGCACCCCTCGTGCCCGTCGCCAACTTCCAGCGCGACGGCCCGATGTGCGTCAACGGCAACCAGGGCAGCCGGCCGAACTACATCAGCACCATCCGGCCGCTGCAGTACACCAAGCGGCAGACGGCCAATGCGGCGCACGAGGCCAAGATCAGCAGCGAGGTTGAGCACTTCCTCAGCCAGGTCGACGACTTGGACTTTGAACAGCCGCGCGCGCTGTGGGAAAAGGTGTTCGACGACGGCGCAAAGCAGCGCTTCGTCAGCAACGTCGCGGGCCACATGTCTGGTTGCAAGAACAAGAACATCGTCAAGCGCCAGCTCGAGGTATTCAAGCGCGTGTCGCCGCAGATCTCAGATGCACTCAGCGCCAAGCTTGGCATCTCGGCTAAGATCTAATGCACCAAAAAGTCAAGTTGCTCTCCCAGTTGTGTTTGCGATTCCTGGCGGACGAGCTTGCCATGTACATCATGTCTTCCCCGTAGGCCTCTGTCTTTATGCATGCATTGGCCTTTCCTTCGGGACTCGCTTGTGACTGCTCTTCTCGTTGCGCACTCCGAACGGCTTCATCAGATCTCATGGACGCGCCACAGTGAGACTCTCAAACGTTGCGTAATAAGACAATCGCCACCGCCCTTGTTCCGTTTTAACTCAATTCATGCGATGACGGTGCGAGGACTGTCTGTGCATACTTAGCGGTGGCAGCCTGCGTGCGACGCGAGGACGGCACTTGAGCCATTCTCATCCAGCAAAATAGTAACGTTGGCTTGCACGCTACTGCTACCCGTCCCCCATACTACATCTCGGCCAGTGCTGCTTTTGGCACGCGTGGATGAACGGCGTGGTCTGTCAGCGTTTCAGCTCTCTATAGTGGTCTGTAATGAGCGATCGCTCGAATCAGAGCGCTGAGAGCATGCTAACCAGCAGCGAGCATCCTTGCTTTCATCCATGTGCATGCATGTAGATAGACAAAGTCAATGGGCCATGGGTCCCCGCTTTTCGTCAGAATCGTCAGCCAACCGGGAAAGCAGTGTCTTCTTGCATACTGCATTCGTATACTTGACTTGCTTTCGTTTCGACCGCTTTTGCTTTTTGGCATGTGCTAACGAGGCGCCCGTCCACTGGCCGCGATATCAGACCTGCGCCAGACAGAATTGCCAGCCAAATGGTAAAATGTGCGTGGGCAAGGTTCCCAAATGCTCTACCCCTATCCGTCTGCACCCCCAAAGCACATCGGATGCCAGGTTACTTCTGCTTTTGGCAGGGGTTGTTCTGTCTGCCTATGCGCCGCGCAATTCGAGAACGATCCCCCCCTGGAATGTTGATTTGAATGGTGCCATAAATAATCATGCGCCAATTGACAGATGATTGCATTGACTCATTTCAGACGACCTTTTTTGTTGTGCACATTTCAGTCTGTCCACTATATCACCCCCCCCCC